GACCGGGACAAAACAGCGTATGTAGAAGCAGACGCCTCAGACTATATATCCTCAGGAGTTCTATCACAGAAGGACAACCAAGGAGTACTACACCCCATTGCCTTCTTCTCAAAGAAAATGACACCTGCTGAGTGCAATTACGAGATCTATGACAAGGAGCTACTGGCCATCATTAGATGCTTCGAAGCATGGAGACCAGAAGTTGAGGGCACAGCAATGCCAATACAAGTTTTGTCAGACCACAAGAGTCTTGAATATTTTATGAGCACAAAAAAGCTTACTAGGCGGCAAGCTCGATGGGCAGAATTCCTCTCTCGATACAATTTCCAAATCATATATCGACCTGGCAAGCAGAACGGAAAAGCAGATGCGTTAACTCGAAGACCAGGGGATAGACCAGAAGGGAATGAAGAAGATGACTGTCAAAAACAACAGCTTCAAACTCTATTACCTCTTAAGAGACTCCATCCGGATCTTGCACAGCAGCTAGAACTCAAAAGTCAAGGGCAGGCACAAGATGCTCAACTTGCCCCAATCCTACCACAAGATCAAAGCTTCCATGACCAGATTCAAGCTGCGCAGCTCCAGGATGAATTATGCAAGGATACAATCCGAAGACTACAGAACAACGAGCGAGATAGCCCAAGTATAGCCTTAGCACATTGCTGTCATACTGACATTCGTTGCACTCAGTTTGCTATCAAACTCAAGAGCAAACTTGGAAATCTCCTCCTCAAACCTACAAGTCACTATACATATTTTGGCTTATCACACCAACAACAAGAGCAATACTACTCAACGATTGCTACAACCATCTATGATTCATTACACGTCATCGCTCCTTAGTTACTGGGCCGATATTACCACATAGCATATCTCTACAACCCTCTATGATTCATTACATGACATCACTCATACTACCACATGACATATCTCTACCAACTAGAGGCCTAAGAGCATGAACGATAGCTCTAAAAGCTCCTACGAACCTCTATGATTCATTACATGTCATCGCTCTTTAGTTACCCACAAGATTGGTTAAGTTATGACATAATTTGTCTATGACATAATTTGTCTATGACATAATTTGTCTATAGGGGTACTCTGACCTTGGACCTCCTTTTACTTCCTATAGGCTACGAACCTAAGAGATGGTTCTATGGGATTCTCTTACGTCGACTACAGTTACCAAGCCTGGTAATCATGGAAAGTCTTGGAAAATGAGAGAACTACACTCCTTTAGCATAAATAGGATTGCCCTTTCCTTAAGAAAGGGCAAGCAGACAATACAGTAAATCGACTATCACATACTTCCACGTCTTTTCCAAGCTTCCAAGCATTCATCTTGTTACTCCTTGTTTCTGAAAAGTCAGTGAGGTGTTAACCTCTGACTTACCCCTGAGTTCCCAGACTCAACATTTGTTGCAACTTGTCTGAACCACTTCACTACATCACACACCTGATTGCTGCGTTGTGGAATAGTCTAAGCTACGACCCTTTGGCTCTGTTTTCTAAGACAGTGTGTTGTCTTAGTAAATTCATCCCTTCCTTGGGTGGCTAGATTCTCACATCTGGTGCACCCACCATTACAATTGCGAAGAGAGAAATGGACTCTTACTCTACCAAAATTGAGTTTGGATCCCAGAGGACATCCAAGTTAAACTCCTACAAGAAGTTCATGACCAGCCAGCAATGGGGCACCCTGGAATTGGAAAAATGGTTTGCATCATTAAGAGACAGTACTACTGGCCTCGTATGGACAAGACTATCACTCAATATGTAAAGAATTGCCATATCTGCAAGAGATCAAAAGCAACCCGAGAAACAATTCTATCCTTGTAGTAGCATGCTGACTTACAAAAGAGCGCCATTTTATCCCATGCTTTGCAGGTAAAGAAGGCACTACAGCAGAAGCTACAGCGAGGTTACTACTCCAGCATGTATGGAAACACCATGGTTTACCAAATTCCATCATCTCAGACAGAGGGCCCCAGTTTGTAGCTGTAGTGTGGAAACTCCTCTGCAAAGTTTGGAAAGTTACAATCAAATTGTCTACAGCCTTCCACCCAGAAACTGACGGGCAAACTGAGAGGTTTAATGCAGAACTCGAGCGATATTTACGGGCTCATGTCAACTATCTCCAAGACAACTGGGTTGAATATCTTTGCATGGCTGAATTCACAGCAAATGCCCTTCCATCAGACTCAACAAAAGTTAGCCCATTTTTTGCAAACAAGGGTTTCGAGCCAAGAATGAGCTTTGATATAGAGCATAGCACGTTCCAAACTGCCCTTCAAGAACATAAGGACATAGCTCAAAACATGAAAGATATTTGGGAATTCCTACAAGACCAGATCGCCCTCTCACAAACCCGAATGGAGCACTTTGCAAATCAAAACAGGAAGCCAGCACCAAGATATGACCAGTTCACAAAGGGTGCATCACAAATAATGCACTAGTTCAAGTTACTGCACATAGAGAACCAAAATCTTCGATGAGCAAATGATGTAAGGATACAGGGCACCCTGCTCACAGTAATAGCATATGAGAGTGCGAGTCGGAGGCTAAACGGATGCTATCCTATAGGTCTACTACGAAAGATACAAAAAAGATGATGAGGAACCCCATTGGGTCAATCCCCTTAAGTACCCGAAACAGATCCGACTCGGCTAACCGCCCTAACTCTCCCCACGTGACCATAACCTGCCGACTCCGATCCTTTCTGTCACTGAGGGCGGAGGCATCCTTACACTACCCCCCCTCTTAAGAGAGTGTTTTGTCTGCGAAACACGCTGTGAGAATCATTTCCGCAACATCTCTGAATGGTATCTGTGAGAAGAGCATTCTATGTTGGCAGGAATTCTGTTTGTAATTGCATCTGTAACAACCCTGTTTATGTGCCGTGTCGGGAAGGTGCGTTGTATGTCATGCTAGAGCTGTGCTGTATCGACTCCGTTTAGTGTGCGAAACCAGAGTTTGCTTTGTTCGCTCTGGGGTACATTCGTGGTGGTCCGAGTGGGCTCCGAATCGCATCCGCGAAGCGTTCAGGTTGGACTGTCCTAAGTATGAAAGGAGAAATGGCTGCGCTAACCCGATTCGGAGTTCATTGTTGTAAGCCAGACTATGAGTATGCAGCTGCGTCCACTTCTTCTTGTTGTCTCCAACAACAACGCCAGTGACCACCCCTCCATGTCTGGTAAGTGACCCCTTCTCGTGGATTATTTGACGGTGTACTGACAAATTGGATAGTATATTTACAATCCACACGAACGAGTAGGTGATGGGAACGTGTTGGTGCATGGGTGGCAACGTGTGCTGGGCCGACGGGATTCGTAGAATTCCAACTTTTGACAATGCCGGTTCCGATGCCCTCCGGGGCCCTTTCGGCTGCGTTCTGAGTGCTCTGTCTGCGCTGCCTTCAGGCAAAAGCTCGTGGGATCTTATACTCTTCATTAAGGGTTTTAGTTTTAATGTTCCTAATCTTATTAATGAGGTGGTTTGTGCTAAGCTACCAGATCCTTCATAGGATCCTACAGGCGAGCTTACGGGCATAGTTATCTCTACTATGACACATGGGCCATGTGTAGGCTGCGCACTACTCGCTCAATACTCGGCTCACTCGCTCAGTGGGTTACTCAGCTGGGTGAGTAGCTGAACCTTTTACTCGACTCGGTGAGTGAGGTCAATACTCAGTTACTCTGTAAAAACCCGGTGAGTACTCGGCTATCACGTGTAAGATTTATGCATCATGTGAACAGTCCCTCATACGATTAATACTGTTTTATGGTTAAGTTAAAGTATTACATCTATTAGCATCACTCTCGCCATCTCTAGTAAGCTGTGAGAACGAATCATGTATATTCCTCTATCTAAGTACCATGATTATCAGAAGATTATTAGAACGCTATTATCTATTATATATGCTTAAGAACATCCCTCCACCTTGCTTGATGAGGCCGGCCAGACCTACTAATACCTAAAGTATTTATAGGGTCTTGATGAGGATCCTCGACTGAGCGGAACGAGCTATGAGTCAAGATAACTGTGTATAGAACTTGTTCATAAAATGTCTCTTGTGTGAGAATATGATCTTATTATAGGTATTAACCTACATAATTCTGGTAATAATCTGGTAATCCTTACTTGTTGAGGTTGCATTTGATTGATTCGCATTTGATAGAGACTATCCTTCCCATCTGTGACTTCTTTTTGCAAATGTCTGATGCAAGATGTGTTGCCATAGACTTTGGGCCAGCAGACTTGATTGCAGGATGCGTAAGGGCCTTCGAACAATAAGTACAAATAACACATGGTTCTCCAGAAAGCCGGTCTGCTCCTTGGTGATAACTTCTCCAGTATTGAGAACTCCAGTTGGTTGAATCCCATGCAATCTTCATAAGGAGTTTTGTAGTATGATCTGAGTGTTGTTCATACCATCGTGATAGCTTCCACCACTCAATGAATATATCGTGTGTATCCTTAGTCCATTTGACGAATTGGTTTAACTTGCCAATATATTCAAGGCCTGCAGGGACTTTGTAAGGATGCCTGTCCCTCAGTGATGGAAAGGATCTGAGTCGGGCAGGTTACGGTCACATGATAAGAGTTAAGGCAGGTTAGCTGAGTCAGACCCGTTTCGGGTACTTAAGGAGATTGACCCAACGGGGGTTCCTCTCTTCATCTTTTTTGTATCCTTCGTAGTAGACCTATAGGATAGCATCCGTTTAGCCTCTGACTCGCACTCTCATATGCTATTACTGTGAGCTGGGTGCCCTGTGTCCTTACAGACTTAATTTAATGAGGATAGTCGTTGAGAAGACGGAAAAGAGTCTGAGAATACTGTCAGAATCAAACAACTCTGAGTATTGAGATGGCATTTGGCAAATTGCTCGATTATCAGAAGGTTACCAGAAGTCTGGCTACGATGAAGTACTTAAATACCTGGTTTTCCAACGCGAAAGGTACTCCAGCGCTATAACTTTAGCAACTCAAGTTCTCCTCTACTCTAGCTCCAGGAACAACATATCCTGTGCAGCTGATACCTTAGCCCACTTTTCCTTATCAAACTTCTTAGAGTAGACAAGTAAGAACGCCTCTTTGAAGCTAGAACTATGAGTGGATATTTGCAACCATCCATTGTCGACAAAATTGTAAGACTTTGGGTACCACTGCACAGGTCCTGGTAATTAGGCCCACTTTCCAAACTGCCTGCTCGTACAAACAGAAATATTTATGTGGTGGGATAACCTCATGAAAAGTGCTATAATAAACAATTAGTATTGCCAGAAGATTGCTAGGATGATCAGAGACGTACCCTTCCTCTACATCAACCCACGGCATATACTCAAAGAGACGCTCAGGCTTCTTTCTCAGCTTTCCAGCCTTTCTCGTATATGAGTGGATACAGCTATCCCAGAAATGTTGCCACTTGCGGAAATTGGACTCTTCATGGGCCTATCAACTATTAGTATCACCAGAAGATTACCAGATTATGAGGTAGCATACATCAATGTGCGCTTGAGTTAAGAGAGCCTGGGTGCTAGTGATCTCTTCATCGGAAAGCTCATCCGGTAGAACAGCCTCGTCATTTAAAATATCTCGCGCTGTAACATAAGCTCCAACTCCAAATCGTCTTCAACCTCAGTATCCTCCCATTCGCTGTTATGATTGTCATCGATTGGAATACTTGAGATACCCTCAAATGCAGCAAGCTCAGACAGAAGTTGTTTGGGCGGAGTAGATGGTGGGGCTTGTGGAGAAGAAGAGGCGCTAATATTCTTGACTTTCTGATTCGCAATGCAAGATGCATGGGTACCCTTCTCAGTCCTGTTTATAGTTAGATTGAGGCTACCAGAGATTACCAGTAGGAACTTACCGAACACGAATACGCTCAACCTTCAATTCATTCTGTAGACATGTCTTGTCTTCAGTAGAGGCAGCGATATACTTTGCAGACTTATATAACTTCTTTAAGTAGTAGCTCAGATCAGCATGGTCAGCCTTGAGTGCTAAGTGAACAGCCTTCTCATATTCAGTAAGGTTGGAGACGCGGTGGTGAGCTTTGATAGTATTCACATTAGTGGAGAGTTCTTCAGGTGCCTTGCGTTTCGCCATACTAAACACGTGATTAGCAGAAGATCGCCAGAAGTTCTGGCTATAGAATCAAGATAATAAACTTACTTGAAGTCCTAGTGAAGAGGTGAAGGCGCAAAAGGGAAGAAGAATGTGTAGATTGGAGGGAGTAACCAAGGAAGGTGGTTCTAAGGTCGTGGTTATTTTAAAGTTGCAAATAAAAATATTCGTGAAGGAATATTCACCTACAAAGAATTATTGTTCCAAAAGCAACACCACAACATGCACCTTCATATAAAACACATACCTTTCAACCTCTACCTCTTTTCTATACTCTTCTTCTGCAATATTCTTCCTACAAACTCACTGTAAGTACACATATCTTTTGATCTACTTCTTTGTCTTGTGTTTACTTCACTAACTCACCTTGATATTAGCAAATGGCTCGTACCAAGCAAACTGCTAGGAGATCAACTAGTGGCACAGCACCAAGGATGCCACTTGGATTACGAGCTGGCTCTGGGCTTGGTGGAAAGGGAAAGGAAAAGGCCGTGGGCACAGCAAGAAAAGCTCCAGTTCGCTCATCTCAAGCTAGCAACAATCATGCTCAGAAGGCCACGCGCCGCGCAAAGTCTGGTAAGAGGATTACCAGAGGATTACCAGAGGATTACCAGAGGATTACCAGAACTCTCTAATAAACATATAGGCACCAAGGCTCTCCGCGATATCAGAAGACAGCAACTCAATACTAGCCTAATTATCCCAAAGCTCCCATTCCAACGTCTTGTTAGGGAAATTGCAGAAGACTTCAAGTCCAATCTTCGCTTCCAGCAATCTGCTATCCTAGCTCTTCAGGAAGCTGCTGAATGCTTCCTCATTCGAGAATTTGAGAGTATGATGTTTAAACATAGTGATAGGGACATACTAACAGTTATAGTGATAAACCTTCTCGCTATTTATGCGAAGAGAGTGACAATTCAGGCAAAGGATATGATATTGGTTCGGCGTTTGCGGGATATGATGTTTTAATCATGGAGCTGTGGGCTTAATCGATGGAAATGTGTCTCACCCAGGAATTGAGTTCTGGCAACCTTCTGGTAACCTGGTACCTAAAGGCCAAAGGTTATAGTGTGGAATAGGACATCAACAATATGGGAATGGAGTTATGGAGTTATGGAGTTATGGCGTCTTGATCAATGAAGTCGCGCCCCGTTTTTAACATAAGTAATGGCTAATCAAACACGTGATATAACTGAGTTGCCAAGACCCATACTAGGTACTCAGCAAGTGAGTAATCCTCATTCAACAATACTCGGGACATGAGTGAGTAACTCAGCTGGGTGAGTAAAAATTCTACTACTCGACTCGTGAGTACCCAGTGCGCAGCCTAGCCATGTGGAGATGACTACCCACAGGCACCATGTATGGCCTGTAAAACGCCTACTTCACCTCTACGCTGTTCAAAGCAGTTCCCAAAGTCGTTTACAGCCTCTACTATCATTAATGACGAGGGTTACCCTAAATATAGGCACTGGGATGACGGGCGGACGTTTACAGTTCCACGGCTAGGTTTGCGGACTTAGAACGTCGTCCGTAACAACGTTAGGTGGTTCTATACAACCCCTTTCTGCTTTAGAAATATTGCTGCTATATGAACGTCGAAGTATGCAGTACTGTACAGGCTGTGAAGTATATTCACAAATATATCTATAAGGGCTCTAACTGGTCAACCCTTGTGGTAAAGTCTATAGATGAGATTGACCAGTATATCCAAGGGCGGTATATTAGGCCTACGGAGAAATAATGAATTAGTATCTAAAATTATGGGTTATTGTACATGGCGAATATCCGCCCGTAACGCATCTTGAGATACATTTAGAGAATTGCTAGACTGTATATTTCTAGGAGGAGCTTTCCTCACAGGAGCTTGCTGCGAGACTCCTATCTACAGACTCGACTTTAAGCGGCTTCTTCTGGTATAACGCTACATATACTAATGGGCAGGCCCTTCTATATTCAGAGTTCCCCTAGCGGTTCGTTTAGAATAAAGCTATGCGAAAATGGACGCCCCCAAGAGGGCCTTAGACCGGAATGTTGGTCGTATGTATCACTGCAGCCTGACTGCAGGTGAGAAGTTCTACTTACGGATACTTCTAACAGTTTCTCAGTCTAAATTCATTAAAAGCCGCATTAGAAACCATTAGAACAGCTCACCAACATCAGTTTTTCGTGCAATCAATTAGGGAAGAGTACACAGAATCTAATGCACTCGGTCGTCCTCGTTACAAGTGAGGTAGCAAAACTCCAAGATGCAAACCATACTTTAAGCAAGCGGAGAAGGGCTAAAATAGCCCGTGTCAGGCTTGGAGAATCACTTACTGTACAAGAGGGACAAGACATCCAAGGCCAAAAGGACGTTGAGCAGCAGGTAATGGAGGAAATGCGGGTGCGGGGTGGCCGGGCGAGGAGGGTTAAGACAAGAGAACGGCGCCGTAGGACATGTGGCAACAGTGGACATAATGCGCGCACGTGTATAGTAGATGTGATTCCGAGTAGTTCTAATTGATTTTCTTGCCCTAGCGTGCTGGCAGGCTCTTATACCTATGGGGTGCGAGTTTGTGATGCGCTCGGCCGGGTGATGCGCTCGCGTGTGAGATACGTTACATTATTTATCCATCTGCCACCCCATATACCGAACAAAAAAATAGTAAATGCTTCTAGTCTGTTGCTTTTATTTTAGAGGAGTCATAGGTAAGTCGTCATTCACCATGCGTGGTATGTTTATCTCACGAAACCATTCACTGACAACCCATTCATCCACGTCAAAGATGTCATATATCACCTCTCGTCTCGGTCCTGGGTCTTGGTGGCCTTGGTCCATTATCATATTTTCTACATCCTAACTTCGACTTTTTATATTGCCTTCAACATACCTATCATCGCAAGGTTTTGAAGATACCCATCAATTTAAAACACCTTTGCACACGCCACCTTGAAGACCTCATCCATTAAACAGCACAATGGATTCTCACAATCCTGCACCGTCACAGCCTCCAGTAGGAGGATATGAGACCGACTCCTCATCCGCAGCTCAACCCACAACCTCCGCCATCATCACCTTTCCCCTCTCTACCTCAACATCCACGCCTACCCCAGCAGCCGGCGCCCCAGCCGCAATCTCTCCACCCAGCCCTCCCACCACGCCCATCGCCACAATGCCGGGCTCAGCAAGCCCCCCATGGCCTCGCCCACCTACGCCAAGACCTCCGCTACCTCTCCCAGACCGAATATTTGGCTTGGACGGCGCGGACACGCCGCCGGGTACCCCTATCGCTGGCCCTAGTTTCCCTCAGCACCCGTTCTCTTCATACCCGGTTGCAAGCAACTACCCTGGGCTGCTCGCTATACAACCCGTTGATGACAGCGGCTCTCCGATCCCACTTCCGGAAATCTTTGGACCGCCAAAAGATGATTCTGGGGCACCACGCCCGGTTTTGTGTCTCCGTCCTGAAACTGGGGTGGGAGAATCACATGGCGATGTGGAAAGGAACGGTGTGATGGGATCGCTAGATGAGATTATGAACTCAAGTGGATTTGAGATAGGCAATCCAGCCGATGAGGATTTCTACGCAGACGGCGATGTTGGATCGGGGAGCGAAGCCAGATCCCTCAGTTCGCTATGGGCCAGCCGGGCCTATCTCGACCGCGGAAGCGAAGATTTGGGCGAGAGTGTACGGATTGGACCTCCTGACCATGAGCACCACAGCAATAACGACAACGGTGCAGTTGAGGAAAACAATAAGGGCAAACGCAAGGCATGCGATTGTGCGTACTGCGATCTCGACTCAGATCCCCACCATGACGGATATTTCAGCGATTCTGGGACAGCGACAGGAGATGAGGGGCCTCGACGAGCTGGGCCATTCGTGCCTTCGTTCCATAATTCGCAGGCGGCACCTATGAAGCGGGGGAGTTTTGTGTTCCGTAACAGCTACGAGGGCGAGAATAGGGATATTCATGGGAGGGGAGGTGATGGTGAGGATAAGGTAGTGCCCGTTGGTTGTGAAGTCAAGTTTCCCTTAGCGCCAGGGAGGAGCGAGAGTCAGCACAGCAGCGATGAGGTTGTGAGGTTTGTGCCTCCTGGGCCGGGGAGGGAGATCCATCGCTTGCCGGCCCCGCAGCCAGTATGTATTCGAAAGCCGCCTGCTAGAGATGTGTCCTATCGTGGCCGACGACGCTATAGGGTAGGCTCCCTGGAATTCATTCCTGATCCCTCGGTAATACAGCTTCTCACGCCACAGGGCACAGTCGGTGCACAGTTTAATGATGTGGCCGAAGTACAGGTGACGACTGAGATTGGGTTGCTGGGGGGAGGCTATGGAATGAGGGAGATCAGGAGCAACGGCGGGTGTGACGAGATCAGGCGCGGGTGGGGAGGCGTCAAGGGGTCTGTGATTGAGTTCAAAGGTGGTGATAAATGGGAGCTCAACTTGAAGGGGAAGGATGCCAAATTAAACAAGGCGGGTAAGATAGGAAGAGATTCACCGAGTGGTTTCTACGACGGCGACGACGAGGGCACGATAGGGGCTGCATCAGATGCTGAAGAAGCAGTAGCCCAGCTCAACGCCCAACCGGCTAACCAGGATTTTATTCTTGGGCCTGGTGAGACAAAACCGTATATTCTTGATGTGATCCACGATGATCCCAAAAAGGCTGTATCGAGATACATCGATGTCGCGGACTACAGCGTCGATTTGCGAGGCGCTGAGGAGGGGAATAGCTTTACGGTGCGGGTGAGGGATATTAGGGGTTCTCTAGTGATTATGTGGAAGAGGGTTGCTAGGGTGGAGGTTGTGCTTGTGGGAGGGGTGGTGATTGAGATCACTGCGGGTGATGGGAGAGGGAGTGAGGATGATGGTGGTAAGGTGGTTGCTGACAACATTGGCTTGAGAGGAGGTGCGGATAAGAACAAGGGGAATGGATCTGGTGAAGAAGAAAGGGCTCCGGCTCGGGGTCTCCACAGCGACGATGAACGCGAAGCAGACACGCCAACGAAAACAAGACAAGACAAGGGCAAAGGAAAAGTAGTTGAAGATGGCGATGCTACCCCTCGAAATCACTACCACTCCGACTCCGAAAGCCACGGCTCCATCCCACTATTCTACGAAACCCCAGCCGACTACGTCCAAACACTCGGCCCGCCCCACCGCATCGAGAACCCAGAACCCGACTACGTCCTCGGAAGCTGCCCCTGTCGGGACCGTCCCATTACCGATGCTGACACCAACGCGGATCCCCCGCAGTGTACCGGCATCCGCCCCGCGAGTCCAGAAGCCTCGACCCCAGAGCCTTGGAGTGGTGGCTACTTCAGCACTCGGTACCAGGCGTTTCTCTGTAATGGGCCACCAAATGCGCCGTATAGCCATTCGTGCACGGCACACTCAGAATCCCACGGTGGGTGGGTTGGTGAGGTGAGAGGAAGCTTGGAAGATAATCTTGTAAACCAAGCTTCAAGCTCCAAGGTGCCAGAAGATGCAGCTCCTCCCAACGGGGCGTCGTCAGCGCCGAAGCCTTTGGGTTCTCCCAGCGGGAATACACCGAAAAAGCAGCGTGGTGACGGCGACGGACAGCAGGTGAAGGATCATCCAGCTCCAGCCCGTGGGCTGGGTGAGCCACTTGAGCCTGCTATACCCGAGAGTTCTCGGAATGGCTCTCATGCACATTCCAATCAATGCGAAAATGTCGAGAATGACGGCAACAGCTCTGCAACCGTAGGTGAAGAAACTGCAAGAGAAAACACTGCAGAAAGAAACACCGCAGGAAGAAATACTGGGGGAAGAAATACTGGGGGAAGAAATATTACAGGAGAAATTACTGCAAGAAGAAATGCTACAAGAAGAGGACAGCGGCAAGCCTATACTGATAGGCTTGCTCACGGGTTTCATCCACTTCAAGGGCCTCATCATCTCCCTACATTCTACCCCCCCCATCCTCTCGCCTCACCCTTCCACTTTCCAGGACAACCTACCATCACCACGATTCAATTTTTCCCACCCCACGAATTCCCAAGCATCCATTACCAACACCCTCCCCAGCACCCCACCCCCAATTCACGCACTACAACACCCCCTTTATCCCGCCGCATCCTCAAAACTCATACCCCCACAGCGACCGCCAGGCAACCCACCAACCCATCTCCACCTTACCTGAAATCCCAGAGAGCAACTATTTCTACCCCGACGGCCGACCTGCAAGATTCCGCTTCCCGACACCACCTGACCAAGCAGCCGGACAGCAGGAATCCGGCAGCAGCCACGAACCTACGCCTCCAACTACCACGCAAAATCCGGCACGCGTCACGCAAGCGACGGCTTTACAGTCAGCTCATCTGGGCCCTTCATCTCGCAGATATCCTGCACACCTAGCCGACGAGGAGATTGTCAGGTTGGCGGGGATGTTTGAGTTGTTGCGCGACATGTATGTGGATCTGGTGCAGCGGTTGGATTCGAGAAGGTTGTAGGGTTATGATGAGATGTACCATTAGCTTTGGCGGATGTCATTAGCTTTGGCGGATGTGATGTGGTATATGGGTTATAGATAGGTTAGGCTTTGTATAATTCAAGCAGTGATTTTATAATACCCCTTTCTCACCTTCCGGCGTTCGAAAACCACCCATGCTCCAAAGCCAAAGCCTTCATCGCGGCCATCCGTCTCGCGGCCATCCGTCTCGCGGCCATCCGTCTCGCGGCCATCCGTCTCGCGGCCATCCGTCGCGCGGCGGGCTAGACGCAGATATAGCATTTGTAGCGAGGTCAATGGTAGAGCTCAGGCGACGATCCGAAGACTGCGGGGGGTGAGGTTGAGTTCTTTGATCAGGGATTTGTGGCTGTCAGATCGACGAAAGGGGTAGTGGGGGTGTCATTGGTTCTGATAAGTGATAAGTAGTAAGTGGGGGGTTCTGGGGGGAGCGACTCTGGGGAAGGAGGCTGGCTGACGAGTGACGAGGGACGAGGGAGTTGATGAGGCTACATAGATAGACGTACCTTCTAGCCTTAGCCTGGCGGGACTGCAGGTCGTTGAGATTACTATCGACTCATTCGGATTGGTTTGGGCTGGTATTGAGGTGCCAGGGGACACGGTCCTATTGGGCTGGAATGGGCCAGATTGAAGTGGATGCGGTGAGAGAAAGAGATGAAGAAAATCAAATCCGGCGAGGCAGCAAGATGTATTGGGCTGGAAGGTTCAAAAGAGGGTTTTTATATGTGTAAGGTAAGGTTATACGATATATATACGAGGAATCTACTCCGTAGCAAACTAGAATTCCCCGACAACGACTGCTCCAAGCAAACCGTGGAGTGTCACGTGATACACTTCTCTGATAGGGCAGAGGGTCCGGAGTCCGGAGTCCGTACCTTAGGTAGAGATTAGGTTAGTTGGGCGATTTAGTTTGTGGGGAGACCGTGATTGGCTCGATAAGCCCGTGGCGGCGGGGCGTTTTCTTTGTAGTGTAGTTTAGTGAAGTACTCTCATACGGAGTGCGATACGCCTCAGATACGCCTCAGATACACATTTTGTCTATTTGTCTCTATTTGTCTCTATTTGTCTCTATTTGTCTCTATTTGTCTCTATTTGTACCGTGTCTATTACTGTCCCAGACGAAACAGCAATTCCCTCTTCGCTAGGTACGTACCACGGTATTCCCGCCGTACCACTCCTGGTACCACTCCCCGTACCATGGCAAGTACACCACCACTACTCCTAGTACTACCAGTACACTGCCACTACACTCCCACTACACTCCCACTACACTCCCACTACACTCCCACTACACTCCCACTACACTCCCACTACACTCCCACTACACTCCCACTACACTCCCACTACACTCCCACTACACTCCCACTACACTCCCACTACACTCCCACTACACTCACCCAGTATTTCCCTCATCCCACCCACTATCCCACCCACTATCCCCATCCCACTATCCCCATCCCACTATCCCCATCCCACATCCCACATCCCACATCCCACATCCCACATCCCAACATCCCACTTCCCACTTCCCACTTAAAGATGATTCATTCCCTTCAATTCTTTCCTCTCTACCTGTCACCACCAATCCGATTTACTACCGAAATCTCCCCTCAGCTCCGACTCTTGCTCCTATCCTTGACTTCTATACTCTTAATACACTAAATCAACCTCTTTGTCGGCACAGTCGACACTCTTCAAGCCACCGGTTTGACTCCTCCAGCTTACACCCAAAGACTTTTTTGTCGCCCCCCACACACGCGTTTTCCGTTTCTTCACACACAACCGCAGTCATGGTGAGTTTGACCCGGCACGATAGACTCCCAATGCGCTCAGTGCACCCTCTATATTATCTCTCTTTTCAGGATTTTGACTGACCATGACTCCCAGGCGAACACATCATCAACGGTGTCATATACGGCAAATGTGAGTTTTACCTGCTTGTTGCGACCACGGCCTTCGCCCCGACCCCGCCCGACCACCGATTCCGCAACCCCACGAAATAGATAGGACATAAATATGAAATAAATATGGTTTACTGACAAACCGCCATTATAGTTGCTCAAGTACATGAGCCTCGACCAGAAGGGCACGGCGATGGCCGAGTACATCTGGATCGATTCTTTCGGTGGCGTGCGCTCGAAATCGAAGGTGAGTCGCTTCCCCCCATTTGCCCCACCCCCACCACCGAGACTTTTCCTAACGCATCACACACAGACAATCCTCAAGGTCCCCGACGACGGAAAGATCAATCTCGCCGACCTCCCAGAATGGAACTTTGACGGCTCGTCGACGGGTCAGGCCCCCGGTGGCGACTCCGACATCTACCTCCGCCCCGTCGCCATTTTCCCCGACCCAATGCGCGGCGACCCCAACATCCTCGTTCTGTGCGAGTGCTGGGACCCTGATGGAACCCCAAACAAGTACAACCACCGCCACGAGGCGGCGAAGCTGATGGAGACCCACAAGGCCCAGGAGCCGTGGTTCGGTCTTGAGCAGGAGTACACCCTCCTCGACATGTCGGATCGTCCTTACGGATGGCCCGTGAACGGCTACCCTGGACCCCAGGGCCCGTATTACTGTGGTGTCGGTACTGGCAAGGTCTTCTGCCGTGACATCGTCGAGGCGCATTACAAGGCCTGCCTCAATGCCGGCGTCAAGATCTCCGGCACCAACGCTGAGGTCATGCCCGCCCAGTGGGAGTTCCAGGTCGGCCCGTGCGACGGAATTGAGAGTAAGTCCTAACGTCCATCCATTGCATCATAATCAAAACTAACGAAACGCAGTGGGTGACCACCTCTGGATTGCCCGTTTCCTCCTGCACCGCATCGCGGAGGAGTTCGGCGCCAAGATCTCTTTCCACCCCAAGCCCATCCCCGGTGACTGGAACGGAGCCGGTCTTCACTCCAACTTCTCGTCCGCCGATATGCGCAAGCCCGGCGGCATGAAGTTCATCGAGGCCGCGATCAAGAAGCTCGAGCTTCGCCATAAGGAGCACATCGCCGTCTACGGCGAGGACAACACGCTGCGTCTGACGGGCCGTCACGAGACCGGCAGCATTGACACATTTTCGTATGGTGTTGCGGACCGTGGTGCGTCGGTCAGGATTCCCAGGGAATGCGGTAGCAAGGGTTTCGGATACTTCGAGGACAGGAGGCCCGCGAGTAACGCGGACCCGTATCAGATTACGGGTATAATGATGGAGACCATGTTTGGCGGTCTCGATTCGGAGGAGTAGAGAGATTTTGGTGTAGTAGAAATAGTTTGTCACTTGGGGGGTAAGGACAGACGTTAGATATCAAAGAGGGATCGTCATCGCAAGAGTTTTATAGCAAGAATACAATCAAATAAAAACACTACCTTTGGTAGCCGCACGAGTTGAGTGAGGGCGTGGGTGAACTATCAATATTGAATGAATATGCAAGTGCAATCATGATAAGAATCATCTGCTCGTCCAACCTGACTTTCTCAGTCCCTCTATTCACAACACCATCTCCGAATCCGCAACCATTACCACTCACCCTCAATTCAATCACTTCTCTACCCAACATCTCATATAGCCCGCCCTCTCCTCTCCCACTATACTTTATCTGGCAAATCTCTTACACACAACCCCCACGCCATCATTCAACCATCGACGCACACCACAACCCACAAGATGTCATACTACCCTGACTTCTGGTCATCCTTCGACTCCTGGTTCCCAGGCTTCAATTTCTCGGACTTCTTCGACTCCTCCTACCCCCCCTTCGTCACAGCAGGATATCCCTCTCCTTACCCCCCGTCTTATCCTCCATCCTACCCTCCGTCTTACCCTCCCTCCCAAACCCCCTCCTATCCCCCCTCCAACCCCCCACAAGGAGGCTACAACGATGGCTGGGACGGACCACCAGGCACTAGCGGTGGTAGTGGCGGAGGAGATAGAGGAGGCGACAGCATAGGAGACTACGGCGGCCTCCCCCCCTTCCAACAAGACCAACCCCAAGGCGACCAAAGCACCGGTCGCGGGAACTACATCCAATTCTACCCCGACCACGATCCCGACCTAATCAACACCTCCCAGCTCGACGGACTCCCCTTCCTCATCCGCCGCTCCTCTACTGGAAAGGGGAAAGATGTCCGGGGGAAACAGAAACTGGACATTTCGAAACTTCCTTGGTCTCGCAGAATCGAGGCTATGGCCCTGCATGCGAAGGCAGCCGGTGGGAAACGGACCACCGGCACCGCAAGAGGAAGGTGCACTAGGGCGCGTGGAGGGGGTGGTGCCGCGACTGCGAGACCGCCGCGGACGCCGGCACAGGAAGCTATTGCCAAAGCGGCGATGAACAGGGCCCCCATCCCCATGCGCTCCCCTTCTATGTCAAGTTTTGCGTCTAGCACTAAACCCGCTGCTCTTGGTACTGCAACACGCGTCCGCACCGGTGTTGCGGCACGTGGCTTCGACGCTGCCGCAGGGAGCAGCCACACCCTCGGCAGCAGTGCCCCATCCCGTGGATTCGACGCCGGAAGGGCAAGCAGGAGCGCAGCAGCCGACGCAGCAGCTCGCCGCGATGCAGCTACGAAGGGTGAGCAAGAGCGTAAAAAACGAGCTCTAAAGGAGGAAGAAGCGCGAAAGGCATGGGAGAAGAAGAATAAGAACCTTATTGCGAAGGAAAAGGCAGAGAGAGAGAAGAGAGAGAAGAGAGAGAAGGAGCGTGAGGAAAGAGAGCGGTTAGAGAGGGGAAGAGAGGCTAGGGAACGGAGGGCGAGGAGGGAGGACAAGGATAAAGCTGCGTTTGCTAGGGAGAAGGCGGCCGAGGCGGCAAGGAAGAGGGATGAGGGGAGTAAGGACGCGCAGCTACGGAGAGGGGAGCACTTAAGGAGGGATGAGGAGAGGAGGGAAAGGGAGAAGAGAGAACGTGATAGGGAGAGGAGGGAGAAGGCGATTAGGGAGAGGGAGGAGTTGGAGAGGGCAGCAGAGGAGAAGTTGGCTAGGGACAGGGAAGCAAGGGATAGGAGGGAGCGAGACGACAGGGTGAAGGCTGAGAAAGCTAGACGAGCGGCTGCGGAGGTGGCGAAGAAGAGAGATGAGGGTTCGAAGGGGAGGCAGGGGAAGGAGGGAGAGAGACAGAGAGAGGAGGCGGCAAGATGGGAGAGGGAGAAGGCTGATCGAGTTCGGGAAGCACGTCAAAGGGCTATAGAGGAGAAGGCTAGAATGGAGAGGGAGGGGGCGGAAAAGCTAGTGAAGGATAGGAAAGCGAGAGAAAGGAGGGAAAGCGAGGCGAGGGACAAAACTAGGGGCGTTAGGAGCGCGGCAGCTGAGGCGGCAGAGAGGAGAAGGGAGACGGAGAAGGTGCGGGAGGAAGAGGCGAAGGCGAAGAAGGATACTAAGATGAAGGCTAGCACAGCGAAATCTTCCGCAAAACCACCTGCTACTACACAGAAGCAACCTGCCAAACCAGCTCTTAAATCCGCACCTGCCTCTGCACCTTCCAAAACACCAAACGTCACTTTCGCCGAGTCTAAACCAGCTGCGAAACCAGCACCCGTCAAACCAACACCTCTAAAACAGCCCGAGCCTGAACCCGAACCCGTGCAACCCCTCAATCCTCGCGAAGCAGTCGCAGCAGCAGCTCGTCGACGCGAAGAGGCAGCGCGAAAGCAACAAGCCGAGGAAGAAAGAGAGGCGGCTGCAAAAGCTGCAAAAGCCGCCAAAACAGCGAAACCCGCAGCAAAGCCTGCTCCAAAAACCACAGCTGCGGCGTCCAAACCCGCTCCCTCGAAATCTGCACCTGCGTCCAAACCAGCACCTCCGAAGCAAGAGCCTCGAAGGCGAAACCTGATAAACATCCGAACTCCGAGCCTTTAAACCCTCGTTCTGCGGCTGCGGCGGCTGCTGCAGCGAGGATGGAAGCTGCAGCGAAGCAGAAGCGCGAGGATGAATTAAGAGAGATTGAGGAGGGGACTGGAAAACCGACGTGGGATTTTGAGGGACTGGATGGGAAGGGTGGGGTGGCATATATTGCTGGTGGCGGCGAAGGAATACACTAGCCTACAGCGCTTCATGGAAGGCGCACAGATGCCACGACCGCAAGCATCACTCTTCTCCAAGATCCATGAGGAGAGGGGCCGCGGCTTTGGGGTTATAGTTGACGAGGCTCAATATATAAAACACGCTGGGAACCATGCTTGATAACAGGTGGTCGGATATTCACGGACTCGTACGAATGTTGCCAGGCCACCCCTTTAACAAGTTCGGTACTTTCACCAACACCTTTGGGGACCGGACTTGAAGGCCAACCCTAGTCCCGCCAAGGTCAGACGTCTGCAGAAGTTTCTGCTATACCTTGCAATCGACCCGATGATGTGTTGGCTCTACCTGGCGTCACCGTCGAAGATGTCCCATTTGAACTCGACGCCACGAATTGAGGCGTTCTGACTACTAGGCGCAGAAGTACCGCAAAGCTTTTAGTAAGGGCAAGGGCAAGAAGAGAAATGCAGACAAGACTGCACTGACTCTCGTGGTCCGTGCAATCAGGAGGCGACGCACCCTGATACTACCATCAAGATCAGACAGAGAGAAGCCGGAGAAGATAGCGAAAATGTCCCAGGGCTTCTTGGCTGGATGGTAGAGGACGAGGACGAAGACGAAGATACGTCTAACAACAGCAGCTCAGATGACAGCAGCAGCTCCGATGACGATGACGATGACGTCCCAGACGATGACGAGTATGATGTTAAGAAAGTTAAGCACCGAGAGGAGGTGCCGCGCATTCAGATAGTTGGATCAAGGTCGCAATGGTTGGAAGCAATCCGCAGAGACGGCACGGCAGGTGAGTCAGCTAGGATGAAGGCATTCTTAGAGGTATTTCGCGAAGCCCAACAGTAAGTCTCACTATCGATGGGCACGAAACACGAAACTAAAACTGTCCGTAGCCTTTATCCTGACCAGAGAGTTTCTGCTACCTCCGAGGAGACGAAGACCCTTGATATCGTCGCCCTTATTCTAAAGGATGAAGGGAAAATCTGTGTGCAATATGATGGCATACTTCCGCCCCGCGATAGGGCAGCAGCGCTAAAGACATTCCAGGATGGGGCTCCAGGTAAGACTACCCTTTGAAGACCTCGGATTGTGGCTAACATGGTTAGCTACCTTTGTCTGACTCATCACACCAGGCACGGGGCACCAGGTTTAATATCCCGGAGTCCTCTATTCTCATCCAGATGGAATGCCTATAGAACCTTAACCGTCGAGGGCAAACGCAGGTTGTGAAAGTTTACTGGCTTATATCTAACGCTGCGGTTGACGCGATAATTCTTGATAATCAGATTGGGAAGGACGGACAGAACCAGATTTTGATGGGTGAGGCATGCCGACACCGCAGACGTCCCAATCCTTTCCGTGTTTGAGACGAGGGAGCTAGATGAGGATGAGCTTCGGCCTTGAACCCTGGTCTTGCGGCGAGGAAGGCGTGAGCAGCGTCCTTGAGCAAGGCGACAGGCAAAGAGGTAGTAAGGGGCGAATTTCAGCCGTGGTCTCTACATGGAATCGAGGCTTCTAGGCAATCATGGCATATCAACGCTCCGGATGGGAAAGGTCGGATAGGGGTACAGTGAGCGTTTAAGAATGCTTAGGCGCCCTGCGTAGCCGGTTGAGTTTCTTACCGTCGTCATGTCTTGTCTGGCTGGTGCGAGGTGATCAACATGGACAGGCGTTGAGCAGCATATTTCGGGGGGGAGGATTACTTTGCTAGCGAACGCAGTGAGGAGCGGTGTTATGTGGGCGTTGGGGGGGGGGACGGGAGAGGCTAGATTTTGCGTTTCTCTTGGTTACTGCTCGCATCCATGCAATGGGGTTGTGAATGGGACATCACTACGAAACCAGTGTGCGGCACAGATACCTGATTACCTGTGGTGTTCAGGTAATTACCTGGGTAATTACCTACCTGGGCTCATTCTCAAAATACCTGAGTATCCCGGTATTTTCAGATACTTACCCAGATACATGCCAAGTATTGCCAAGTGTAGCCAAGCCGCACAAATGCTAACGTTGAAATACTCGTCTTCATGCTTGATATGGTGATAATTGCCGTGAAAATGAGTGACTCTCCGTTGTCAGACGTGCCGACGGACCTTGATGGCTATAATCCTCACGATGAGCCAGCCCTACCAGGGCTTTTTACCCCTTTTCAGCAATCAAATCCAATTCCTGTCCGTCTACACCCGCCTAGCCAAATGCTACCGCCAACGCAGTCGCTGCTGTTCACGAAGGAACTATATTCAAGAATACTACTTGAGAGCAACCCGCCAACTATCAAAGTATGCTGTATGCAGCCTAATTGCGGATACTCGCCCGCAGCTCAAACCCATGCTCAAGCTGCTGCTTCAACTGGCAATCTTTGGAAACACTATAGTCTTAAGCATAAAGGAATCTATGATGCTCTTAAACACAAGAATACAGCGCCTTCAAGTCAATCTAGCAGCACATCATCATTTTTTGAGCCTCAGAGACCAGCGACCCATGAATCAAGACCAACAAACAATCCAGCCAAATATAGAGAGTTAGTGCTATCGTTTATAGTATCTAATAACCTGTCTTTACGCATTATCGAAAGCTATTCATATCGTCAATTAGTACAGTTCTTAAGTCCATCTGTGTTATCACTTTCGTCAAGAACATTGCACCGAGAACTACAACGCCAATTCTCATATCACCGAGGCATACTACAGCTTGAACTCCATTCTCATATTATACATGGAGGCCGGATATCCATAACGACAGATGCATGGTCTGCACGGAACTATACAGAGTATGCTGCTGTTACCGCTCATTGGATTAATGATAAATGGCAGCAGAAATCAAAATTGCTTGATGTGATACATCTTCAAGAGCCTATTCATAGCGGTGAATACTTAGCTCAGCAATTAGCAGCTGTAACAGATAGTATAGCTATTACAGGCGCTATCTTTACATGCACCCGAGACAACGCATCATCAAATACTGTGATGCTCTCAGAATATGAGAAATTGGCTAGCAACGCCCAAACATCAACTCAACAACCTTGGACATTTACTGTCAAAGAAGGCGATGTCCGGTGTATTGCACATATCATAAATCTCGCAGTTCAAGCCGCTCTTACGAGTTTAAAAGCAGAACCAGATGTAGAGACAGAGACATACCGGTGTGAGCAAGGTGCAGCTCGGATTCCATTTAGTAGAGATAGTCATGTGGAAGTCATGAATGCTCTTGCAAAGCTACGAAGACATATCTATGTCTTTCGTAATCGACGAGCATGGAAGGATGCTTTACAACGACAAGTCAAAGCTATAGGTTTAAAACCACAGCAACTATCACTTGATATGCCAGTACGATGGAATTCAACACATCGTATGCTTGATACAGCATTAAAACTCCAAATACCAATCACAGCAGTATGCATAACACAACAGCTTGATATTAGTATGAAAGATATTGCATTAACTACAGGAGATTGGGCTGTTATTAAAGATCTTGAACGACTGTTCTTAATATTTCTCAAACCATCAAGACGGCTACAAAGTGATACATATCCGTCACTTAACTTTGCTATTCCACTTTATCTTAAAATGATAAATAAAGTTAAGAAGATGCAACAAGAAGTTGGCGAGCACTCAGCAATTGGTATTGCATGCACAGTAGCTTATCAAAAGCTTCACGCGTATTATACTCTTGCAACAAATCAGCAATGTAAGCACTCAGCTGTAGCTACAATTTGCGATCCACGGATGAACCATACAGTGTTTAAAAAGATATATCCAGATAGTACAGATCATGTACGAATCACACGGGCAAGAGCACAGTTTGAAGATGTTTGTAGAACATATAAGACACGGCAATATCATCTTGATACAGAGCGTATTGAACGTGAAACAGCTCTTGCAGATGCATTAGGAAATGCAAATACTAGAGTGCAAGAACCAGATTCTGATGAAGATTTATTTGCATCAGAGGGTATATCATTTGAAGAACCAGAATGGAAATGATGGATGCTTGAACCACGGCCTGGTGAGCATACTGATATTCTCAAATATTGGTCTGCAAAGCAATATCAATATCCAATAATTGCTCAAGTTGCTCGAGACCATCTTGCAATTCCTGCGACATCAGCACCATCAGAACGGGTATTTAGCAATGGTAGCGATATCATTACTAAGAAAAGGAATAGATTGTCGCCATCGACAATTAGATATCTGCTTTGCTTACGGAATTGGGGTTATTTACCAGATGCCGACAGCGACGGTGATGATGCAGATGATGAGGCAGAAGAATAGGAATAGGGGCTGTCTATTTTATTATTATATTTGTCACGAGTTTCACTTTTCTAGTTACATATTCTAGTTACATATCATTATCTATTTCAAATATCAAAAGCGTCATTTTTGTATACGGAATTGAGGCTCAACTACCTGCTAAAGTATCTGTAAATACCTACCTTACCTGAGCAAAGTCGCTCAGATACTTACCTTACCTGGCGAGGACCCAGATACTACCTGGGTAGTATCTGCCGAACACTGTACGAAACGAAGCTCTCGAATGAGGCTAGATTATTCTGCAGATGTAGCTATGGTTATAAATAGCAAAATGAAGCTTTCAAATTCGTAGTGCAAATGTTTTTAGACTATTTTTGTATATTCATAGGACATAAATAATATATATTTAACTATTAAATGATTTCTTCTTAAGGCTGACTTATCCTCCTTAAGTGATATTTAAATTATATTCATAGGAATGACGCGTAAGTAAACGTAAAACCAACCAAGTCCAGCCCTTATGAAGCTGGGCAACTACGCGGCAAACCGTACGGGTAGTTCTAGCCCAAACCGCTTCTTCTTCTTTCTTCATTAATTAGTCACTACCACTACCACACCACTAACTACTAGCCTACTACTACTACTACCAACTATCCCTACAATAATTTAACTCATGCTCTATAAACATCACGTGTAGTCTTACCTTCTCAGTTCTAGCTCTTGCACCTCACTTGTTACGACTCTGATATTACATACTCATATTCGACACAGCTTAATCCCCCCATTGATTTGGACGATCCTAAGCTTGCCTAAAATGGGAGTCATTTGCAGAAAAAGAAAATACGCGTCGAGCAGTTCGCTCGAAGACTTTGACCCCATCAGTAAGTCTGTTATATCTCGCCTTGACTATATATCTAACACTTCTCAAGCTGGTGCATGTTCCGTTGAGAAATTTGCTGCAAGCAAGGATGCCTTTAGAGTTGCACCTACTCTGAAACTCCCAATCCCGATGCCCTACGACTCGAAGAGATGCTCGGCGAAGGTCCGAGACATCACAGAGGTGCTGTTTGACAGCATCATAGAGGCGGCAGGGACGTTTGGGATTTCATGCCAGACGATAGAGGTTCACCACATGTGGCAACGAGGTTTCCCTCAGACGGCGGGAGATACAATCATCCTCTCAACGCTTGATGTAATCGCAACACGATGGGAGGCAGCCGCTAACTATATCCTCGGCATGGTTGAAGAGGCAGTGGTGGACATTGAGTTTCGCATCGAAATTCGCAACCCTGATCTTATGTATTCTGACATATCGATGCCAATTCGAGATCGTGAAGTCTGCAAGGTACTTACGGAGATCGCCCCACCCTTTGAAGCAGAGGTGGAGAGGAGCTGTCCCAGCCTATGGACTAGCATTGCCTGCCATTCCCGGAGGCGCTATGATGCCTACGAAGATCCTGGTAACGCTACCATCGTCCTTTTCATCGAACCAAAGTCGGTATCCCTATGGGGATTAATCGAGGAGCGACTCCGGGAAGTCATGGAGTCGGTCCAGTCCGCACGCGAGTTTAACATCTCGCTCGAGATTCTGCCTGGCTTTAATATACCTGCCGTCACGCCGTCTGAAGAGATGCTCGAGGAATCTGCTCGGTATCAAGGAAGAGTACCTGCATCACCGGCGAATGGTGCCTCGATTGGGCCAAGAGTAAGCACCACGCGGTCGGGAAGCATAGGTCCTGTCGTTTACTTCAAGGCCCACGATAAGGCAGAGCCGCAGAAGGGCATATTGACGTGCCATCACGTCATATCTTCTGGAGATCCACAAGGGAGACGAGATAACGACAGGCTTGGAATTGGCCTTAATGGAAGCAAGGTGAACCGCCGTATTGACATCGACTGGCCGTCACGGCAGGACATCGACTACACTAAGAAACGGCTTGACGAGGATATTCTGAAGGGCAAGGACAAGAATGGCGAGTTAGCATCCATGCGCACATCCGTAACGTCGAGGTTTACGCCAACAACTAGCATTGGTCATGTAGCATTCTCATCTGGCATGCGTCTCAACGATAGTAAGACTCGGATGGATTGGGCGCTCATCATCTTGACTTCTCCAGGGCCGGGAGATGCCATAGAGAATGTGTTGCCACTACGGTCTGCGTTTGGTGACGAATTCGAGGTCCCGGGTTTTGAAAATTACAAGGTCGGGCCAGGGCACAAGGTTTCTGATATACACGAGCTCATGCCAGGATCGTGGGTAGCGAAAAAGGGCCGAACGACCGGGATTACTGTTGGCGAGGTTGGGGAAAAGAAACGTGTAGTTCACTGGAAGAATGGAATGAAATCCATGGAATTCGAGGCCTTCACATACGCAACAGGAATAAAGCAATTTGCAGAGCCAGGGGACTCAGGGTCGATGGCGTTCGATCTTCAGGGGGCATGGGTGGGGATGGTCATTGGGATGGATTCCCTGAAGGAGTGCGGATATGTTACGTCGGCTGGTGAGCTTATTGCGGATATCGAGGCGAAGACGAAGGGAAAGATTACCCTGGGATAGTTACTATGGCGGCACATCGTGCTAAACGAATATATCCCAACCCTCTCCGCTACGCCTTCTGCTGCGCATACCTATGCTAGGTAACTTGGGCGGGGAGGGGTGTACATTACAGTCTACGCGCGCGGTGCAGGAGTGCTTCCGAGGAGTAACTTACCTTTACGAACGAGGCTGTGCAGGATGAGAAAGTGGATGGGGATGGGCGATGACGACGACCGCGGGCTTTGGTTGCAGCTGGGCGGGGTAGAGGAGTGGGACTTGTGCACGTACACACACATCATATTGTCTTACTCGAGTACTGTGTGGAGTATGGCTACGGCACTCTCAGCACAGGCGCCTGTATATTGCTGCACCTGCCTGCACTGCCTGATGCTGTCTGATGCTGTTGTTGTATCTGTATAGTATAGCCACCGTGGCAAAGAAACCCTTCAACGGCTTCCCCGTATTCACATCTTTTATTAGAATCTCTAAATGCCTGACTTTTGTCTTTGTTGCCGCTTTCACCCCCGTCGCTGACCCGTCGCCGTCGCCGTAGTCACCGCCGTACCACCACCGGCGCAGCCACGGCAGCCACGTACCACCGTAATGTTAAAAAATTGGCAGTAACTTACCAAGTAACTGTACGTAACTTACCAAGTAACTATACGTAACTTACCAAGTAACTATACGTAACTTACTGTTATCCGTACATACAAATGATACCCAAATATAGTTCATGCCCTATACATAAGGCCAAACAAGGTCACATCAGGCCACAATTACCCGTTCCAGTACCAGAAAGACCCCCCCATTATTGCCAAGATCGCCAAGATTTCCCACGACTGACACGCGCTATTCCTTCCACTTCTCCGTACTGTACAAAAAGGTACTTCCACTTCCACTTCCACTTCCAAAACTAAACTATACCCAAAACCACCCTGTAACAACTCCAAACCCTACTACTACTCTCACTACTCTCTCGACCCCATCCCTCTTTCTCTCTCTACGACCTCACTTCCCTTCCCACCTACCCTCCCAACCTCACCGCCGCTACTTCCATCACCAAACCGACTTTGTGCCGATTTTGATCGCTCTTCCATCCAGCAACACACTCATTCCAGTGGCACAGGCAGGACCCTTACCGTTCGCTCGCTCATCGCACATCTCCGACAGTGCCCGCGACCCCTGGCGATCCAACGTCCGGAATATATACGACAATCCGCCCATTACTCCCATCTCGGTCGCTGATTCCGATATCCCATACATGCTGCACGAACTCGCGAAAGCCTAATAAAGAGAATCAGCCCAGGGCGCACGAAAGAGAGACTCCCACGACGTCTTAATGGTCTGATTTTAGACTCCCGATACCGATTACCGAATACCCAACAACAACAACCACATACTGGTGCCGACTTGTCGTCTACGGCAGAAATCGCCCAGTATGCGCTTCGCAGGGTTCTCCCCGTTGACAGCCGTCGTCACAACCCTCTCATTACTCGCCGGGACGGCCGTGGCAGACGAGAGGCTCCTCATTTCCACATCCCTCAACACCTGTATTGAGAACTCCAACTTCACAGCCAGTCTGTTCAATGTCGTCTTCACACCTGATAACCGCACCATCACATTCGATGTCACGGGTATCACCTCCCTGACCGGAAACTTCACCCTCCACGTCGAGGGTGCCGCCTACGGATACAAGATCTTCGACACCGATATCGACCCTTGCGCGTCCAAGGAGCTGTCCGGTGTGTGCCGCATGCAGCCGGGTCCCATCACCATCACCTCGAATCTCGACTTCAGCCCGGAGGTCGTGAGCCAGATCCCGTCCATTGCGTACAGCATCCCCGATCTCGATGCCACCGTGAGGATCAAGATCGCCTCCAAGGCGAACCCTGATCTCATCAAGGCCTGTGTGGAGGCGCGTCTATCGAACGGCAAGACCGTTGAGCAGAAGGGTGTGAGCTGGGCCACTGCTGTGGTTGCCGGTCTCGCGCTCGTCGTGTCCGCCGTCGTTGCAGGATTGGGTCATGACAACACCGCGGCACACATTGCCGCGTACGCGCTTTCGCTCTTCAGCTATTTCCAGGCCATCGCCATGGTCGGTCTCACGGCCGTCCCACTGCCACCCATCGTGCAATCGTGGACCCAAAACTTCCAGTGGACCATAGGTATCATTGGCGTCGACTTCATGCAGACCATCGCGACCTGGTACCAGAAGTCCACGGGCGGCACCCCAGCCACCATCCTCAACACGCTCACCACCAACTCCGTCCAGGTGCAGAAGCGTTCGCTGCAGCTTGCCTCCGAGGCGACCTCCATCCTCCGCCGCTCCAACAATGAGAACGCCATCGACGCCGTGTCCGGCACCTACACCGTCAAGGGCATGGACAGAGTCGCGTTCCGTGCTGACATGGAGGCTACTAATCTGTTCATCACCGGTCTCATGTTCTTCTGCATCTTCGTAACCGCAACAGTCCTCGGCGTCGCCGCCTTCAAGGGCATCTGCGAGCTGGCCGTTAAGCAAAGGTGGATGAAGACCTCCCGATTCGAGGACTTCCGCAACGGCTGGAAGGTCGTGCTGAAGGGTATCATGTTCCGAATGGTCCTCATTGGTTTCCCGCAGATGACCATCCTCTGCCTCTGGGAGTTCACAAAGATCGATTCCCCGGCCGAGGTCGTCCTGGCCGTCTTCTTCTTCTTCGGAATGGGCGGAACGCTTGCCTGGGCCGCTTTTAAGGTGGCGATGATTGCGAAGCGCTCAAAGTCCATGCACAAGAACCCAGCCTACATCCTTTACTCGGACCCAACGTCGCTGAACAAGTGGGGTTTCCTGTACGTCCAGTTCCGCGCCTCAGCTTACTACTACATCATCCCGACACTGGTATACATCCTCGTCAAGGGCATGTTCATCGCGCTCGGTCAGGGCAGCGGCACCGCACAGGCCGTCGGACTCCTGATCATCGAAGCCGGCGTTCTCATTGCCGCGTCTGTGATGAAGCCATGGATGGACAAGAGCACCAACACGGTCAACATCTCGATCTGCTCCATCAACTTCTTCAACGCGATCTGCCTGCTCGTCTTCTCGGCCATCTTCAACCAGCCTGCCATTGTCACTGGTGTCTTTGGTGTCGTTTTCTTCGTTGTTAACGCCATCTTTGCTCTCGTCCTGCTCATCCTGGTTATTGTCTCCACCGTCCTGGCCGCCACGCGCAAGAACCCGGATACGCGCTACCAACCCATGGGCGACGACCGCGCCTCCTTCATCAAGTCCCAGACGCAACTGACCACGGAGCTCGATGCTCTAGGTGCTACTGCCCGCGGCGAGATGAAAGGCGGCTACAAGCCCGGACTCGACCTCGACGACGACGACACCTGGGACGCAGAGAGCAACCGCCGTCACCCAGCAAACATGCCCCTACCACCCTCAACAGCAAGCTCGCACGAGCCACCGCGCTCGCCGATTAACCCGTCGGTGCCACTCTTCCCGAGCGGCACCAGCCCATACGACGAGAAGAGCCGTGGCGTGTACCAGGGTTCGTACACTACGGACTCGAGGCACGATGAGGCTACGCCGACGACTCCGTTTGGGTTGGGGCCGGTTGCGGGTGCAGCGGCGCCGTATAACAGGGCGAATACGGCGAGTCCGTTGGGCCATAGGGGGGCAAATGGGGCGAGGTAAGATTCTTCCACATGCTTGTCTTTGGTTGACGGCCTTTATGGATGGAAAGCTAACGAATATAATAGTCCTTGGCAGCGCGGCGCAGGTTACGACCATTAGAGGAGTCGCTTTCACGAAACTTTTGTTGTGTGGATCGCAATGCATTTTTTTTACGGCTGGCGTTTTGAGAATTACTGGGAACTACGCTTCCAACCATACTATACACACGGATCATATCATAGACCGTACATAACGTACCGTCAATTATAGTTCACCTCACCTCTTGGGAAAAGAAAGGAGGCGACGCGGGGTATACTCGACAGATCGATTTCATCGATTTACCACCGAGGCGAAACAAACAACTAAATCAAACCAACCTTGTACTTTGTTCAACCTCGAAACATTCGACATCTTTTCATTATTCTGTGAGAACAAACCAACTTGCTGTGCTGTCTAGTGTTAGTTATTTTTTCCCTATGTTAATTATACTGGAATGGGATGGGATGGATGGTGGGGGTGCGATGCATTTGTGATTTTTTTTGAGGGGATGCTGGGATGGGAGCGAGAGGGGATATATGGGGGAGAGAGGAAGTGGGAAAACCATGTAGTTTTAAAATGAAAAGTCGATTGATTGAGTAGTTTTTTAAAATGAAAAGTCGATTGATTGAGTAGTTTTAAAATGAAAAGTCGATTGATTGAGTAGTTTTAAATGAAAAGTCGATTGATTGACGAGTCCCATGAGCTCCGGCTTACTAATCTATGGTTTTTGCGCTTATGTAGCAGCTTCTGGGTCTAGAATTGGGTCCTCATCCTCCGGAGGAATTAGGTTGCCAGCTCGAAGAAGAGTTTTTACCCTCTTTTTCCGGAGGCGCTCTGCCTTCCAGGCCTCAATTCCAGCTCTCTTGAGCTGTTTCTAGGCCTGGTTTGTAGCCTAGCAGGCTACCCGGGCTTCTTTGGCTGCGAGCTTCTGGGCTTGAAGCTCAGCTTTCTGGGCCCAGAGCTTGTGAGCCTCAGTAGCCCGAAGCTCACCTCCAAACTAAAGCCGGGCCCGGCTTCGGCTTGCCTGCTTCCTCGACTCCTCAACCTGCTTCCGAGTAGCCCGTAGGTCAAGCTCTTGGATTTGGCCAGCTACTACGACCTCTTCCGTTCCGGTAAGCCAATTCGGTAGCTCTCTTTTAAGGGGCTACTAAAGCCCTCCGGAACCCGGTTTTTCTAGTGTTGTAGCCCCTCTTCTACCTCCTGAAAAGTTGAGGGTTTAGGGGTAGAAACCCAGATTGGTAGGGTAGTAGGCGTAGGCGTAGGTTGTGAGTAGGTGCGTAGTTTCGTGAGGGCTGTATTACAGCTTATAGGCCAAATACCAGCTTTCCGGAAAGCTGATATTATAGTAGACTCCTTAAAAGTCTGCTCCCGAAATGTGTATGAGATCTGTTATAAAGGATTGTAGGTCGTAGGTAACATCCATAGCCTGTATGGCAGTAAGCAGCCTGTTAATGGTAGTGTTTATATGGCTGGAAAATCCCCACATCTAATGGCTGTAGAACGTGTGTAAGATGTGAGGGAAAGGTGTATATATTTATATTCTTCTGCTAGAATGATGAAATCATGGCTTGTATAGCTTACATGAGAGCTGAGTAATAGAACCTTCAGCTTCTTATGTAGAGCTGTATGCTCTATAAAATGCTATAGCCTAGCTATTTGAAAATCCTGTGTCAGAGAGTAGTACTGGCTCCATGCCTTCGAGGTTGGTATGGAGCCAGTACTACTATCCATATGAATTTTGCATAGAATGACAAGTACTAGTGGTATGACTTTTCCTACTGTAGACACAGCCTCTAGGATAGTAATAGACGTACGGTTTTCAGGGCTTAGAGTATAGAGCTACTTTGCTGTTCGTAGTACCATAACCTTCCCACCTCCTGGAATTCCAACTCTAGATCCTGTTTCATCTATATTCCAAATTGACTCTGGCTTTATATGGCGTTCTAGTACAAACTCAATGTACTCTTAAAACCATCATGTAATAGTAGGCTCATTATAACGCTGACTTCTAAACGATAGACGGCATAGAGGTTTCTTGCGTAAGGTTGACTTAACAGAGGAGGCAGGGGATTAAACACAAAGGCTTTCTAAGTAACACGTTATAGTATTATAAAGAATACTATATTAAGTTGAGCACAAAGCTCCTATCTAAGGGAATACTATCTACTTATATAGTAGTGTCATGCCTTAGGCATCCTTACAGCTAGGCTGGCGTGATTATCCAATCACGCCAGCCTAGCTGTAAGGACGCCTTCTCATCTCTCATTCTAAGGAGTAGACTCTGGGTAGCTGCGGCATGTCATACTGACATTCGTTGCACTCAGTTTGCTATCAAACTCAAGAGCAAACTTAGAAATCTCCTCCTCAAACCTACATGTAGTATTAGCCCAGTAACTAAGGAGTGATGTCATGTAATGAATCATAGAGGGTTGTAGAGATAGCTATGTGGTCATATCGGCCCAGTAACTAAGGAGCAATGACGTGTAATGAATCATAGAGGGTTGTAGAGATAGCTATGTGGTCATATCGGCCCAGTAACTAAGGAGCAATGACGTGTAATGAATCATAGAGGGTTGTAGCAATCGTTGACTAGTATTGCTCTTGTTGTTGGTGTGACAAGCCAAAATATGTATAGTGGTCTATCAACTAGAGGCTAGGAACATGAACGATAGCTCCAAAAGCTTCTACAACCGTCTATGATTCATTACACGTCATCGCTCCTTAGGTACCCACAAGATTGGTTAAGTTATGACATAATTTGTCTATAGGGGTACTCTGACCTTGGACCTCCTTTTACTTCCTATAGGCTAGGAACCTAGGAGATGGTTCTATGGGATTCTCTTACGTTGACTACAGTTACCAAGCCTGGTTAAGTCATGGAAAGTCATGGAAAATGAGAGAACTACACTCCTTTAGCATAAATAGGATTGCCCTTTCCTTAAGAAAGGGCAAGCAGACAATACAGTAAATTGACTATCACATACTTCCACGTCTTTTCCAAGCTTCCAAGCATTGATCTTGTTACTCCTTGTTTTTGAAAAGTCAGTGAGGTGCTAACCTCTGACTTATCCCTGAGTTCTCAGACTCAACATTTGTTACAACTTGTCTAAACCACTCCACTACATCATACACCTGATTGCTGCATTGTGGAATAGTCTAAGCTACGACCCTTTGGCTCTGTTTCCTAAGACAGTGTGTTGTCTTAGTAAAATCATCCCTTCCTTGGGTGGCTAGATTCTCACATCTGGTGCACCCACCATTACACGGGGTCACGTGTGATCATTTGGGTGGGCTAACCAAGTCGGATGGGTTTCGGGTACTTGAAGAATTGACTCACAGGGTTCCCCCTTGTCACATGTGATCATTTGGGTGGGCTAACCGAGTCGGAACTGAGTCGGATGGTTTTCGGGTACTTGAGGGAATCGACTCACAGGGTTCCCCCTTCATCTTTTTTGTATCCTTCATAGTAGACCTATAGGATAGCATCCGTTTAGCCTCCGACTCACACTCTCATATGCTATTACTGTGAGCTGGGTGCCCTGTGTTCTTACACTAGCCCTGCTAGCCTCGTGACTTCTTAGGTCACGTTACTAAGCCTAGCCCTGCTAGCCCCGTAACTAATATCACGTTACCATAGCCATAACACTAGGTCCCCCTCATAAAGGCCTAGTCCCTTAGGTCTTTGCTAATTAAGGAAATTGCTACTTACTTAAGTAGGGTGATGCCAACTTAATTGCCAAGCAGGTTGCGCTGCTTATCATGTGTTCTAGTAGACACACAAAAATCAAAGAGCGTCATCTTCTTGCAGACCATATCGAAAAGAACGACAACCTAATGTCGCTATGTTCTAGCTGTCTTTATAACAAACGATCTTGTATCGTTGTTGCTAGTAATCGTCATTGTAGTGAATGTACTTGTCACAATTCCAAATGCAATGCTTGCACCCCTTCTCCTACTGATTAGGAGAAGCTTCGTAAAGAAGAAGAGCGTCTTGAGGCTAAAGAGGAAGCAGTGGAATCTTAAGAGCATGAGGCTCACATCTGCGCTTAAGAAGTATATGCCTGTCGCATGCTCTCAAAACCTGTGGTGTTTAAGATGCTGCGTCGTGGTCTAAAATCCTTAGACAAGTTAGAGGAGCTTAAGGAACGTAAGCAACATGAAACTAAGGCTCGTTCCCTTCTCCTAACTGCCTCTAAGGCTACCTCTAGGAGCGATGCTTCGAAGCATGATCTCTTCCCTGTCACGGTTCACCAAGGCATAGGGCGCCAGTTGGGTATTATGAATTAAACTCAATCTAGAGAAGAAAGGAAAGAGAAGAGGAGCACTCGAGCAGTGGCTCGATCTATATACAGCTATGTTGTTGTGGAGTGAATTCTCTTTAGCGAGACCAGTTCTGAGAATTCACTCCACAACTGAAAACTTCGCTCCAACCCCGGAAAGCTCCCCACACCCCTGAACCCCCACTCGAGCTGCAAGGCGCACTTGATATCGTAACATTCCCGTCTTTGCCTTCTAGGTTCTTCGACTACTAGGATGTTGACAGTGAAATACCTCTAGCAGCTCTAGACAGCTAAGGTTTTCTACCGTTTCCTATGAATTGTCCGTAGGTTCATAACCTTTCTATTTTATCAAAAACTCTTCTTTGCGTCCTACTAACTGTTACGATGGTCATAGAGGTCATGATGCCAGTCCAGGAAAAGTAATCTAGATTGAATCTAAAGAGAGAAGAAGAAGAAGAAGAAGGAAGGAAGGTGAGGCTATTCCTCATAACATACAGTTGTCTGCTTAGCGGTTGTAACCTTGGTGGCTAAGGCTACACCCGTAATCCCCATAACAACCGTAATAACCATAATAACCGTAACAACTGTAACAACCATAACAAGCTGTGACAAGCTGTGAGCTGTAATCGTAACACTACGCCCCCCCCCTAGTAAGATTGATCTCCTGATCAAGAGTAAGATCATCGTGGCTTCTGCGGGTATTTTCGGTGGAAAGCTTGTGTGAGTTCAGGTGCATTGTTGAAGTTTGTAGCAGGATACCAAGTGTTGTCTAGTGGGTGGTTCTTCCATGCTGCCATATAGAACAGCTTCTTCCGTAGGAGTTTAGAATCTAGGATTTCTTCAACTTCCCATTCAAGTTCATCTTCTATAATGATTGGCAGGGGTGGTTCATGGTGCTGGCCTTGTAAAGCATCATCTGAGTCAAGTCGTAAGAGGTTGCTATGAAACACAGGGTGTATCTTCATGCTTGGTGGTAGCTGGAGTTGGTATGCAACATTCCCAATTCGCTCAAGGATTTGAAATGGACCAACTTGCTTATGGTCAAGTTTCTTTGAGGGTCGTTGGGTTTTGATATTCTGAGTAGAAAGCCAGATATTGTAGTTGGAGAGCTATTTTGGTTAATGCACAATTGATTTTTAATGAAAGTAAACTGCGATAAGGCTTTAATTGGGTTGTTAGGTGTTTAGGAAACCCCAGGTTGAGCGGTACTCAGACGGGAGCTCAGGTGCATTAGCATCTTTAACCTAAGAGTAGGTGTCGAAATCACACTCTAGGTCAAATGGAAGAAGTCCTGCACCTTGGAACCCTCCTCGAACATTGCTCTCTGTCATTGTAATATTAAATGCAGCGTAGAAGGTAGGAAAGAAATCATCCTTAGTAATGTGCATGATATGAGTCCGCATCTCCATACTTTGTAATTGTGCTACATACAAACTCAAACCAAGGAGAGATAATCTTTAGATCTTTTCATTTAGCTCTCTAATAGTCATATTTCCACTAGAAGCATGTCTGGAGTTCTAGGTGATGCTTAATAAAGTGGGAAACCTAACACGTTCTAACATGTGGTATGTCACATGCAGCCAGAAGTCATTGCCATATCTTTAACAACAGACATCTAGGGAGAAAATCCTTTTGCCCCTAGGTTGATAATGTATTAAGGGCTGATTCCTCTAGGTCGGTCATTTTCCTCAAGTTGGCTAGAATATCGCATCGTAGATGCATACTGTTCATGTGGCAACCTAGTTTCTAGTGATCTATAGAATACATCCTAGCAGCAACCTAAGGACCAAATTCAGGTCTCTTTGCATAGCCTGGATCGCAAGGATCAATGGCTTTCATCATTTTTTTAGGGCATGTTTTGTTATAGAGGAGTTTAACATTTAGTTACAGGGTTCTATCATCATGATATTTTGGCACATTCGCTAGTTTGGCACATTCGCTATATACATATGTTAATGAATTATCATTATCATTATCTTCTTGTTGTTGTTTTAGTGTTGCCCGAACTACTTGTTACAAGTGCTACTTGAGTAGTTGCTAAGACAGCTAAGAGAGCGGGGTAAGGACCTAGACAGAATTATAGCATAGGCAAAATGAAGCTTTCAATGACTTGAATATTACTGTGATACTTACCATCGTTAAGATGAGTGAGTCTTCGCTATCACCACCGCCCCTAGACGACCTAGGCGAACATGAGAATGCCTCTTAGGATCCACTCTTGCCCCTACCACTTGTACGCATGCCTATACAGCCTCAAGACCTGTTACGACTACAGTTCACAGCTTGTCACAGCTTGTTACGGTTGTTACGGTTGTTACGGTTGTTACGGTTGTTATGGTTGTTACGGTTGTTACGGTTGTTACGGTTGTTACGGTTGTTACAGTTGTTACGGTTGTTACGGTTGTTACGGTTGTTACGTTTGTTACAGTTATTACGGTTATTATGGTTGTTATGGGGATTATGGGTGTAGCCTTAGCCACCAAGGTTACAACCGCTAAGCAGACAACTGTATGTTATGAGGTATAGCCTCACCTTCCTTCCTTCTTCTTCTTCTTCTCTCTTTAGATTCAATCTAGATTACTTTTCCTGGACTGGCATCATGACCTCTATGACCATCGTTACAACTACCAGAAAATGAGTCAGTAGCTGTTCTTAGCAAACTTCGGCATCATATATAAGTGTTTCGCAACTGACGACAATGGAAGGATGCCTTAAAAAAGCAATGTGAAGCTGTAAATATTGAGTTTAAGCAGCTTAGCCTCGATATGCCAGTACGATGGAGCTCAACATATTATATGCTTCATTTAGCGTTAAGATTACAAGGTCTAATAACAGCTCTCTGTGCATCTCAACAGCTTGATTTAAGTATGAAAGATATAGCTTTAACAGCAAAAGATTAGCAAACGATGAAGGCGTTATTAGATTTTTTCTATATCTTTATATGCCTAACAGAGAAGCTACAAGGCTCTTCTTATCCTACTTTAAATTATGCTGTTATACAGTATATGAGAATGACGCAAAAGCTTGAAGTCTTTAAAGCTGGATATACAGAGAATAGCACAATATACAACGCTTGTTTAGCAGCTTTTTTAATGCTGCTAAACAAGTGTTGTATGTAAGCTTAATGAGTATTATACACTTGCAACAAATCAACAGCAGAGTCATTCAACTATAGCTACAATATGCAACCCATGTTATAACTTTAACATAACGTACATGTATAGCGAAAGCGCCAAACAAGCGAAAGCGCCAAAATGATGCGGTGACCAAACCCCCCAACTAAATGTTAAATTCCTCAACAACAAAACATGCCCCATAAAAACGATGAAAGCCAATTAGTGCTAGCTATCCAGGCTATGCAAAGCGACCCAAAGTTACGCCTTCGAGTTGCTGCTAGGATCTATTCTGTGGACCACCGCAAGCTAGGTCGTCGTCTAGAAGGTGTACCTTCACGACGCGATATCCAAGCCAACTCACGGAAATTAACTAACCTAGAGGAGTCCGTCCTTGTTCAGTATATACTCGACCTAGCTGCCAAAGGGTTTCCTCCTCGGCTGTCTGTTGTTGAAGATATGGCAAGTCGACTACTTGCAACACGCGACGCGTCACGCGTTGGGTCGCGTTGGGCTTCAAACTTTGTTAAGCGGCGTGTAGAGCTCCAGACACGCTTTCAGCGCAAATACGACTACCAGAGGGCTAAGTGCGAAGATCCAGAAGTTATTAATGGCTGGTTTGAGCTTGTGCGTAACACAATTGCGAAATATGGTATCGATGAAGCAGATATCTACAACTTTGATGAGACTGGGTTTATGATGGGCGTTATCTCAACTGCTATGGTTGTAACAAGCTCAGACGGGCGGGCAAAAGCAAAGAAGGTACAGCCTGGTAATCGGGAATGGGTTACAGTAATCCAAGGCGTTAGTTCTCAAGGTTGGGCAGTACCACCATTTATCATTGTTGCAGGCAAAAACCACCTTACATCTTGGTATGAGAATAGTGGATTTTCAAGCGATTGGGTGATTTCTGTTACTGAAAATGGCTGGACTACAAACGAGAGAGGCATGGATTGGATTCAGCACTTTGAGAAGCATACAAAGGCCCGGAGTGTTGGTGGTTATCGCTTGTTAGTCCTTGATGGTCATGAGAGCCACCACTCAGATGAGTTTGAGGAGTACTGCAAGGAACACAACATTATTACGCTTTGTATGCCTGCTCACTCTTCTCATCTACTCCAGCCACTTGATGTTGGCTGTTTCGGCCCGTTAAAGCAGGCCTATGGTCGGCAAATTGAAGATATGATGCAGGCTCATATTTCTCATATTACAAAGGATGACTTCTTTCCTGCCTTCCACGCTGCATTTAACACTACAATGACGGAAAGTAACATTTGAGGCGGGTTCCGAGGGGCAGGGCTTCTTCCATTTGACCCTGAGAGAGTGATATCTACACTTGATCTTAAGTTAAGGACACCAACGCCTCCAAGCTCCCGCCCAGGTACTGCTCAACCTTGGGTTTCTCAGACACCAAACAACCCAATTGAAGCTATGTCACAGTCTACATTTATTAAAACTCGGATTTCACGCCATCAAAATAGCTCTCCAACCTCAATCTATGCAGCTGTTGACCAGTTTACAAAGGGTGCATCGCAAATAATGCATCAATTAGCACTGCTAAAGGGAGAGAACCAAAACCTACGACAGGCAAATGAAGTACTAAGCAAGCGCCGGAGAGCTAGGAAAACACGACTACAGCAAGGAGGATCACTTAGTCAACAAGGGGCGCAAGAGCTACAGGATGAGAGGGATGTTGTGCAGCAGGTAGAGCAGGAAATAAGGGCAAGCCGTGGTCGGAAGCCAAGGGAAGAAACCCGTGCCCGTCGCTGTGGCAAGTGTGGTGAGACTGGGCACAATGCGCGCACGTGTCAGATTGTAATAGACACCTCTGAGGAAGAGGACTCCGAGTAGTTTCAATTGATTTCTAATGTTGTGGTAGATTTATCGCAATGTTTGTCGTGAGGGTAGATAATTTTGGCGCTTTCGCTTGTTTGGCGCTTTCGCTATACATGTACGTTATTTGATATTATCTAACCAAAAATTATTCAAGACTCACGAAAAAGGCGGAAAAAAGCACAATGCAATACTGTTATTATAAATACTCATGCTTTAGACATCCAAGCAGCAAAGGTTATGGAAAGTATCTAAGATGAGGAATTAGAAGATAAGAATTCTAAGGATGAGCTATATGTCTTACAACGGCAGCTAGATTTAGATCTAGAATGGAAGCGCTAGATGAACGAGCCAACTCTTAGGCCTAAAATTGATATACACAAGTTTTGGGCAAGTAAGCAATACTAATATCCAATACTGCCGCAATTGCCAAAGATCATTTAGCACTTCCTGCTACATTAGCGGAATCTAAGCGAGTGTTTAGTGTTAGCGATATTATTACAAAGAAATGGAACAGATTAGCACCATCTACACTATGATATCTTATATGTCTTAAGAATTGGGGCGTAGTATCAGCAGGTGAGCATTCAGAGGAAGATGAGGATAACCCTGCCGATTGCAAATGTTATTTAGGTAATGTTTTGGTATTTAAAATAAACACTGGCAGTCAAATCCCCCCTCCCCTCAAAATAAACGCATAACAACGCATCTCAGTAAAATTTCATAATCATATTAATCATCTACCCCGCCTCATCGCCGACCCAAACCCCAAAGACAAACTAAAGCTCAAGCCCCATCCTACACTCTCCGAAAAATAGTGGCCCATAACGCTCGATATCCCCTCCCTCGCCACAATAAACGCCCTAAACACCCAAATACCTCATTTCAAAGAATCGCTGCAGATATTAACCCTCCTCCCACACACATAAAAAATATAATAGGGGCCGTTATTCGTTCACGCGCGTGCGTACGTGCATTCGTGCATGCGTGCAACCGTCTCCAGCCGATCCGAGGTCAAGAACCTTCCTCACACGAATCCCCCGAAATCCGGTGCTGTTGCCACCAGGGCAACAAACAAACCTGCACCCGCCACGAAGCCGCTAATTGTTGCATATGCGAATCGTTTTGCAGCCTTCGTTGCTTCCTGCTTCTGGCGTTTTGCAGGTCGTTCTTGGTCTTGTTGCGTGGGCTCGAGAGTGGTTGTCGACGCCGCTGAGGTTGCGGCTGCAGTTGTGGATTTGACAGCAGGTGTAGGCGCAGGGGTGGGTTTGTCTGCCTTTGTGAGTGTGTTTGAGACTGTAGCTGTGGTGGTAGCCGTTGTCATATCTATGTTCGTGGCCCCGATTGCCTTATTATGTCCATAAACAGCTGTAAGTGCTTGTGCTCTCCTCATAGCCCTCGCATCAGATATGGCCTTGATATTCCTCGCAGAAACAATAGCCTGTGCTGTCTCAGGAGCCTTGGTAACTTCGAGAGGTCTGTCAACCGTAATTTCATCGCTCTTGCGCTTCAGGGGTAGGTCCCTCGAAGACTCCAATAACATCGCCTGGACGGACGGCTTCTCTCGGAGCGACACGACGCCCTCCGGGATTATGCTATTGCTGGTAGAATCAGGCTTCTTCAGCTCATTATATACATTTGGCTTCGACGCGAAACCTCCCAAGGAGCCACCTGTAGCAGACAACTCGCCTCCCACAACTATGTGCTTCAGCCCCATGTCCATCCAATGGGCCGCAAACTTAGCACGATTATCTACACGCGCCGCAAGGAACTCTTGTTTCTCCGTCCGCCACGGCGGCGTCGTGGACCGAGGGCCCTTGAGGGCTGCGTCAGAAGGGCTCGGCATGGAAAAGGGCTTGACGGGGGTTGGCAACCAGTCGGTGTCTACGTCGATATGCGTCAGGGTAGCGGAGTCAACTGGAACTGGGACGAGGGGAGGGAACATGGGCGCGAGCGGGGCTTGCGTGTTTGGAGACGTGGCATGTTCGACTCGTTCGATTCGTGGGAGGTGGGTGCTTGATTTTGGGTTCAACAACTGGGGCTGGCCTTCAGTCGTTGGGTCATATGGAGGTGTATTGGATATGTTGGTTGCGGGTTCGGCTGGCACAGATGTATCGAAGCCAGGGTTAGGGGATCCGTAGGCCGCCAGAAAGTTGTCGTCTAAGAAGCCGCCAATGTCCTCGTCAGAGTTGTCGGAGTCAGGCCAAGAAGCTTCATCATCAGAGAATTCAATGCCAGAGTCGCTTGAAACTTCAATGTTATTATCGTCGGCTTCAATGCTTGCTCGGACAGATGCGCGTTCTGCCGTGATGTCCACGGAAGAGCCTCGTCCAATTGGTCGCTCAGATGGTTCACAGTCACTCGAGGCAATAGAATCGCCGTCAGAATCCGAGACCTCCATTGACTCGTCGATATCAGCCTGGAAGGGCCTTGCTGTCTCGGTGGGGAGTCTCGAAAACTCGTACACAGGTGGGTCGACCTCGACGACATCGTCATCGTCTGCTGTGGCATCCAAGGCTCCCGGCATCGTATTCGGCTTCGCTTCGGGAGTGGAGGTGGAAGGACTGTCCTTTCTTTGGATTTCTTCGTCATCATCTGAAACCTCAAAGGGTTCGTCATCTGAAATCTCAAAGGGTTCATCGTCGGAGAGGAGCTGGTAGGTGCGTCCTGTGGAAGGGCTAATGCAAGTCAGTCTATGAGTATGGCATGTGTGGATGAGTGAACTTACAAATACGGCAGAAGCTCGTAATTGACACGGAAGCGGCACTCTGGGTAGGTCTCGATGCCTCGCTTGACCTCTGCACCGAGTGATATAACGTCATTGTTGGCCAGGGGGATAGGGTCGTTCTTGGGGATCTGTTTGTTGTTGATGCGGGTGCCATGCATAGAATTGGTGTCCTCGATGAATACTCTCTGCATTATGTCAGTTCGGTTCAGCATCACAACGGAGAGACTGGGTATATTCCAAGTAACCTTCAGATCCGAGTCAAAATTGAGGCGTGCATGGTCGCGGGACACGACATCGCTATCGACCCAGCAGTTGTCTGTAGCTGCCACGAGGTGCTTCAGAGGGTTCTTGGACGATCGCCCGATCGGGATGACCTCATTATATTCGTGTAGATGGATTGTACGAATCAAGGGTAAGATGCCTGCCGTCAAGGCTGTGAGGGTGACCTTTGCTGTGAGTGAGTTAGCAGGTGTGTGTAGAATATATGGCGGCAGTAACAGAAATAATGAGGGCCTATTTGCCTGTGCAATATCATGAAGACAAACGCAGAAATATGCGGCCTCGCATCGTAAGATCTGGAGTGATCATGAAGCAACAGGCTGCCGACCTTACGCGCAGATCGGACGACGAGGCTTTGGGGAGTTTCATAGAAATACATACCTTGAATAGTATCCGACATGGTGATAGCTGTAATGTTCTACATGAACTGCCTTGGAAGGCAAATGTGGGACCTTCTTGAAGGTGAAGTTGATGTTTGATGTTCGATGATGGATTCAGCCCCGCACCAGGCAGGTGACGGATGAAATGAATGTAGATAAGATAGCGAGCCTTGGCTTTTGCTAGAAGTAAGTTTGACAAGCTGTCACAGGTTTCACGATGTTCTGATGAAGTTGGTAGAAGGATGTTCAGGTATGAAGCCTTGAACGTGTATTTATTTCATGGTATAGTGCCTTGGAGTGGCTTTTCTTATGGAGGGGAAGAGTATGAGGTGACCTTGATGGTCGGTCGGTTGGTCGGGCGAGCGAGGCAAGGAGGGGAGGGGAAGTACGACCCACGCCAGTTGCAGCCAGTACTGTAGGTACTCAGGCAGCCAGATGCGCTACGGCGGGGCACTCGGACAATCAACCCAGAGGAAGTGGACTCGCTAAGGCTGTTTGGTGGTCTGTTGGCGATGGAAGCTGCGTCTAAGTGGCACGTAAGTGGCCGTAGGTGGCAGATAGTGCTCTATAAAGGGCTTGTAGGGGATTATAAGTGGTTGTCAGTGGTTATAAGTGGCGATTAGTGACTCCAAGTGCATCAAATAAGGTTTCATAGGCCAGAAAGTCAGACAGTGTGCCCATGAAAGGCCGACGGGTTTATGTTCCAATAGAGCGATTCAGCAGTGTTTTACAGCTGTCGGTTTTACACTGCCTGTTTTCGCGGTACCAAGCCAAGCTAGAGTAGTACTAGAATATATTAGTATTAGAGCAATTGAATCCTTGTTTAGTGCTTGCCGTATACCCTAATTAGGCAATATAAAATTGCACCGAATCGATCGAGGCTCGTGGTTTTGTTGATTTGGTGATTTGGTGATTTGCCTAGAGTGCGTGGGTACTTCTTCAAATCTAATATCTCACCAAAAATACTTTAGGCGGTTCGTAACTGCCGCCTAATTTATATAGAAGTTACCCCCTATTTGCCCACCACCTTTTAGTATAACTTATCTTTACGACCTAGCTAGTATATTGTGTGAAAATTGAGGTAGTTATAATAATATACAGTAATCACTGCCTATAACGGATGGGTCGGTTCGAGGTTTGCCTTCCGGTATATAGAGTTTCCGTTACATGAAGTAGTTACATGATGCCCCTACAATCCTGCCCCATACCCCCCAACTAGCCATTTAGAGTAAGACTGTTTCTGTAACTGTACCTGTACAACCTCTATTTCCCAAAGCTCTCTTTTCAAGTGAGCAATGCAGCCTTGATTTGATTGATTTGCTTGCTGTTCTTGATATAGCTTCAAGGTCTTTAAAGCTGCAATTACTTCAGATATTAAAACTTGAGGAATAACTTCCTTATTGTTATCCTCTTCCTCCTCTTGTATAATATCATATTGTACTGCAATCTGCTCAACAAGCTCTTCATGCAATTCTTCAATAACCTCATTTGATGGATTGATGAAGTTTTGAATGTTCATAAGCCTATGAACCCTTTGCTCTTTAGCTAATGTACTCATACTTGTTTGAATCTCTTGTAAAACTTCATAAGATGCTTCCTATGGGTTATATAAACTACGTTCTGTAGAAACCATAAACCCCTTCTTCTAACAGTTGATAATTGTTAATGGTTGAATTGTTTCCCATGTAGAAATTCCCCATCGAATTGCATGGAGAACATGGTGAGTTTTTTTGTAATCGCAGTTTGCATCAAACTCCTTTTGTAAGAATAGAATCAATTGCTTTCATACATAGCACTTCCAATTTTGAATAATCCCTTGATTAAGTGGTTGATAAATTGATGTTGTGTTTAGAGGAAACCACATAAATTGTGTCCATTTCAACAGAGTTCCGTTATCCGTAAGGCATTCATTGCAACTTCATAAGTACTGAAATTATCCATTAACAGTAAAACAGGGCATTGTGCTCTACTATTGAACCATTGTAACCATTCAATCATAATGAAATGATTCATCCATGCTGTTGAATTCCATCACCAATGTATTCCAAGGTTTTCAGGATTCAAGATATGATTTTGAGTAAAACATCTTGGTTGTTTATGTAATGGTGGGTGCACCAGATATGAGAATCTAGCCACCCAAGGAAGGGATGAATTTACTAAGACAACACACTGTCTTAGGAAACAGAGCCAAAGGGTTATAGCTTAGACTATTCCACAACGCAGCAATCAGGTGTATGATGTGGTGAAGTGGTTTAGACAAGTTGCAACAAATGTTGAGTCTGAGAACTCAGGGGTAAGTCAGAGGTTAGCACCTCACTGACTTTTCAAAAACAGAGAATAACAAGATCAATGCTTGGAAGCTTGGAAAAGACGTAGAAGTATGTGCTAGTCGATTTACTGTATTGCCTGCTTGCCCTTTCTTAAGGAAAGGGCAATCCTATTTATGCCAAAGGAGTGTAGTTCTCTCATTTTCCATGACTTTCCATGACTAACCAGGCTTGGTAAATGTATTAGAAATCAAGTGCGACCCACAACTAGCTTGCTAATCATGTAGCGAATGTAAGAGAATCCCATAGAACCATCTCTTGGGTTCCTAGCCTATAGGAAGTGAAAAGGAGGTCCAAGGTCAGAGTACCTATAGATAAATTATGTTATAACTTAACCAATCTTGTGGGTAACTAAGGAGCGATGACGTGTAATGAATCATAGAGGGTTGTAGAAGCTTCTAGAGCTATCGTTCATGTTCCTAGGCCTCTAGTTGGTAGAGATATGCCATGTGGTAGTATTGACCCACCCCCTTAAGGAGGAGATTTTCTTAATAACTTGTTCAATGAGTGTCCAAATGATATGCCGTGATGTATGTAGCATAAACAGATGTAGTAGAAGAGTTTGCAGCAATCGTTGAGTAGTATTGCTTCTGTTGTTGGTGTGATAAGCCAAGATATGTATGGTGACTTGTAGGTTTGAGGAGGAGATTTCTAAGTTTGCTCTTGAGTTTGATAGCAAACTGAGTGCAACGAATGTCAGTATGACAGTTTAGCAGTTCCAATAAACCAAATTGGAACTTTCTCACTCCCATCTTCATTACAGCAGAGGTTAGCTGTAATTCGAGTTTTGTCAACTTTTTGAGTTTGGTAATTTTTCTAGTAAAATCCAGTCTCATCCATATTGTAAACATCACAAGGTAGGTATTTCACTTTAACTGCTTGCTTAGATGTTGCCCATCTGCTATGTTACTTTTGTTGTGATTTCCACAGAGCTTGCCTCTCCAACTTTTCTTTAGCAGTGGAGATTATGTCTTTTCTTAAACCCTTCAAGCCATCCTTCACTCCATGTAGGGCAACCTTGTCTATGGTATTGTGGTAGCCGTATCCAGAATTCTGTTGCTTTTATCAGTAGAAAAACTCCTCTAACAATGCCATGAGTAGCATCAAATCGTAAAGCCAATTCTCTAGGAGCTTTCTGTAATACTGACATTCATTGCACACAGTTTGCTATCAAACTCAAGAGCAAACTTAGAAATCTCCTCCTCAAACCTACAAGTCACTATACATATTTTGGCTTATCACACCAACAACAAGAGCAATACTACTCAACGATTGCTACAACCATCTACGATTCATTACACGTCATCGCTCCTTAGTTACTGGGCCGATATTACCACATAGCGTATCTCTACAACCCTCTATGATTCATTACATGACATCACTCATACTACCACATGGCATATCTCTATCAACTAGAGGCCTAGGAACATGAACGATAGCTCCAAAAGCTTCTACAACTGTCTATGATTCATTACACGTCATCGCTCCTTAGTTACCTACAAGATTGGTTAAGTTATGACATAATTTGTCTATAGGGGTACTCTGACCTTGAACCTCCTTTCACTTCCTATAGGCTAGGAACTTAGGAGATGGTTCTATGGGATTCTCTTACGTTGACTATAGTTACTAAGCTTGGTTAGTCATGGAAAGTCTTGGAAAATGAGAGAACTACACTCCTTTTGCACCAGATGTGAGAATCTAGCCACCCAAGGAAGGGGTGATTTTACTACGACAACACACTGTCTTAGGAAACTGAGCCAAAGGGTTGTAGCTTAGACTATTCCACAACGCAGCAATCAAGTGTATGGTGTAGTGGAGTGGTTTAGACAAGTTATCACAAATGTTGAGTCTGAGAACTCAGGGATAAGTCAGAGGTTAGCACCTCACTGACTTTTCAGAAACAAGGAGTAACAAGATCAATGCTTGGAAGCTTCGAAAAGACGTGGAACTATTTGATAGTCCATTTACTGTATTGTCTGCTTGCCCTTTCTTAAGGAAAGGGCAATCCTATTTATGCTAACCACCATTACACTTTCTCTAACACTTCCCATTTTGGTTGTAAGGACACAGGTGTCATACTGACATTCGTTGCACTCAGTTTGCTATCAAACTCAAGAGCAAACTTGGAAATCTCCTCCTCAAACCTACAAGTCACTATACATATTTTGGCTTATCACACCAACAACAAGAGCAATACTACTCAACCATTGCTACAACCATCTATGATTCATTACACGTCATCGCTCCTTAGTTACTGGGCCGATATTACCACATAGCATATCTCTACAACCCTCTATGATTCATTACATGACATCACTCATACTACCACATGACATATCTCTACCAACTAGAGGCCTAGGAGCATGAACGATAGCTCTAAAAGCTCCTACGAACCTCTATGATTCATTACATGTCATCGCTCTTTAGTTACCCACAAGATTGGTTAAGTTATGACATAATTTGTCTATGACATAATTTGTCTATGACATAATTTGTCTATAGGGGTACTCTGACCTTGGACCTCCTTTTACTTCCTATAGGCTACGAACCTAAGAGATGGTTCTATGGGATTCTCTTACGTCGACTACAGTTACCAAGCCTGGTAATCATGGAAAGTCTTGGAAAATGAGAGAACTACACTCCTTTAGCATAAATAGGATTGCCCTTTCCTTAAGAAAGGGCAAGCAGACAATACAGTAAATCGACTATCACATACTTCCACGTCTTTTCCACACTTCCAAGCATTCATCTTGTTACCCCTTGTTTCTGAAAAGTCAGTGAGGTGTTAACCTCTGACTTACCCCTGAGTTCCCAGACTCAACATTTGTTGCAACTTGTCTGAACCACTTCACTACATCACACACCTGATTGCTGCATTATGGAATAGTCTAAGCTACAACCCTTTGGCTCTGTTTCCTAAGACAGTGTGTTGTCTTAGTAAATTCATCCCTTCCTTGGGTGGCTAGATTCTCACATCTGGTGCACCCACCATTACAACAGGGCACCCAATTCACAGTAATAGCATATGGGAGTGCGAGTCAGAGGCTAAACGGATGCTATCCTATAGGTCTACTATGAAGGATACAAAAAAGATGAAGGGGGAACCCCGTGAGTCAATTCCCTCAAGTACCCGAAACCCATCCAACTCAGTTAGCCCACCCAAATAATCACACGTGACCCCACAGCTACCCAGAGTCTGCTCCTAAGAATATACTCCGAGAAGGCATCCTTACATTGGTTCCCTTGTCTTCTTGGTATTATCGAATGCTTTTGTAGAAGTAGTAGTGTCAAGAGAGGCGTATTTTGAGGATAGTATTTTACTTGCAGTCGAAGAGCTCAAAGTATATCCATATTGATCATTCCACCAAGTTGAAGCATCTGCTAATGTCTTCTTTGTGCTCTGAGTTGTAGGATCATAGTACCAAGCTCATAAAGCTTGCTTTTGTGCATTCATAATTGACATTTGAGGCTTTTTAGGTGGTGGAGGTGCCATTTTCTATACCAGAAGTTAAGGATCTTGGCTGGAATTCTGGTATAAGGAGGTTTCTTGAGGACACAGGGCACCCAGCTCACAGTAATAGCATATGAGAGTGCGAGTTGGAGGCTAAACGGATGCTATCCTATAGGTCTACTACGAAGGATACAAAAAAGATGAAGAGAGGAACCCCCGTTGTGTAATGGTGGGTGCACCAGATGTGAGAATCTAGCCACCCAAGGAAGGGATGATTTTACTAAGACAACACACTGTCTTAGGAAACAGAGCCAAAGGGTTATAGCTTAGACTATTCCACAACGCAGCAATCAGGTGTGTGATGTAGTGAAGTGGTTCAGACAAGTTGCAACAAATGTTGAGTCTGGGAACTCAGGGGTAAGTCAGAGGTTAACACCTCACTGACTTTTCAGAAACAAGGAGTAACAAGATGAATGCTTGGAAGCTTGTAAAAGACATAGAAGTATGTGCTAGTCGATTTACTGTATTGCCTGCTTGCCCTTTCTTAAGGAAAGGGCAATCCTATTTATGCCAAAGGAGTGTAGTTCTCTCATTTTCCATGACTTTCCATGACTAACCAGGCTTGGTAAATGTATTAGAAATCAAGTGCGACCCACAACTAGCTTGCTAATCATGTAGTGAATGTAAGAGAATCCCATAGAACCATCTCTTGGGTTCCTAGCCTATAGGAAGTGAAAAGGAGGTCCAAGGTCAGAGTACCTATAGATAAATTATGTTATAACTTAACCAATCTTGTGGGTAACTAAGGAGCGATGACGTGTAATGAATCATAGACAGTTGTAGAAGCTTTTGGAGCTATCGTTCATGTTCCTAGGCCTCTAGTTGGTAGAGATATGCCATGTGGTAGTATTGGCCCACCCCCTTAAGGAGGAGATTTTCTTAATAACTTGTTCAATGAGTGTCCAAATGATATGCTGTGATGTATGTAGCATAAACAGATATAGTAGAAGAGTTTGCAGCAATCGTTGAGTAGTATTGCTTCTGTTGTTGGTGTGATAAGCCAAGATATGTATGGTGACTTGTAGGTTTGAGGAGGAGATTTCTAAGTTTGCTCTTGAGTTTGATAGCAAACTGAGTGCAACGAATGTCAGTATGACACGTTGGGTCAATCTCCTTAAGTACCCGAAACGGGTCCGACTCGGCTAACCTGCCTTCACTCTCAGCACATGACCGTAACTTGTCCGACTCAGATACCTTCCGTCACTGAGGGAGAGGGACCCCGTTGGGTCAATCCCCTTAAGTACCCGAAACGGGTCCGACTCGGCTAACCTGCCTTAACTCTTATCATGTGACCGTAACCTGCCCGACTCAGATCCTTTCCGTCACTGAGGGACAGGCATCCTTACATTTCTGGTATTGCTATACAAAATTCGCGTGATTGTGGGAAGGGGTCTGGTATTGGGAGGTTTCTGCTATAGCCAAGTCCGCTATAGGCAGTGATTACTGTAGTCAAATGTTAGATACTAAGGAGCTAGAGTTGGTTACTGCTGCGTTAGTATAGCAGTCTCATAGTGTCTATAGAGAACTTAACGACAAGCCTAGATTACATACAAATATATCTATTGTTGGACGGGCAACGTGGGATACGGTGGCATTTTGGCCCTAAAATGACGGCTTTTCCCAGCGTTACCGTCAGGCTCCCCAATTGGTGCTTGGCGTGAGCCAGTTGCCTCAGAACTCCGACGCACTAGGTTTTGGGCCCAAACCCTTCTGCTACTCAGGGCGTTTGGGTAGGTCATTTGATTACGGTAGTCGGGGATTTACGTACTATATTAGCTGTGTATCTCCGTACCTTACAATTACTCTCAACATGAACAGCTATATCCAACAAAGACAGAGGGGCTTCGCTCATGGAGCGCCTCTCATCTGCATCAGCAAGATCTGATGTCTGGCTGGAGCCAACCATGGCAATGGTCAATGGCGATACCCAAGGTTACATAGACGCAAAGTCTGCATGCGAGGCAGGCTATCTTAACTCGAAAGCTGCCATGGCTGAGTAGGATTTACATAGTATATGCATCCCAATAAGCAAGTAATTCTCACATACGACCATAGACTCAAGAGAACTGGGCATCCCGTCCGCTCTGCCATACATAAACTTGAGATCGGTGGATTAGTAGTTGGGTGGGTGACCACCAGCGAATACCCACTGTTGTATGTTTTTTGTCTTTTTATACCATAGATCTACCTTCTTCTCCTTGGTTGCATGGCAGGTTTGCTGTGCCCACATTTTTTCGCCGGCAGGCATGATTTTATAACCGACCTGAACCTTGAAAGAGCAAGGGTCTATCGGTACAATCTTGGAGCGTTTTCAGAAATACATTCATACAAACACCGGTTCGTGGCTAATATAGTCAAATACAGACTTCAAGTCTGTAATATATCTATGCTTAGTCTCTGTCGCTAGTGACTACCTAATAAATGTCGTGAGACAAACAAATGATGAGGTCTATACGAGGACCAAACGCCAAATCTAAAACAGATCAAACCAAAAGCACCATGCCCCTTATCACTTCTAATTCTATATCATGCTTTGACCGCCGTAGAATTCTATGGCTAAACCATGACCCTACCATGTTTAACCTAGGCGGCTCAAGCACAACTTTCATTATCTTCGAAGTGTGATCTTATGAACCTTCTCTCCCTGGCTTTTGAAATACTCCAACTTTTCGAGAACCAGGCCTTGCGACTTGCATGTTGGGTGAAAACACTCTATCTTGGCCTTCGGATCTCGTCCTTTAAGGTGAATGTTTTCAACGTGATTCATCATCGTCGCAGGACGGCAAAATTCGCCTATCCTCTGTTCGTAGCTCTTCGACTTATCGCCGATGCAGAACTGACACTGCTTCTATCACAGGTGGTTTGGATGGCACACTGCAGAGTACGTACTACGCCGATCATCTAGAAGCTTTGAATACCGCGACCCCTTGCGCTATCAAGTTGGATAGACGGGTGCAAGGCCTTTGCACCTTCAAAGACGCTGCGGTACCCTAACGCAAACTTAGGGTAAGTTGCAGTATGACTATCTCCATGTCATTTTCCGCCCACAAGAGCCTTTCACCTCGCTGCCCCCTCCTACCTCCCCCCCCCCCTTTCTCTATTTATAGCTACTTCCTCCCTTCTCCATTTCCTGACTGTCTCTACTTTAACCCACTCATTTTTCGCTAAAACGTTCTTGGATTGCAAGGATTAAGTCCAGGAGAAGATTCAGTGGACATCTGGTAAGGGGTAACCATCCAGTGGACCTCTGTGAGGGATAATCGGGACGATGGACCATCCCTCTAGGTGGTCCCTATGCCATGAAAAGTAGAGCGCTTCTGTTATTACGTAGGAAGGGAAACCCTCGTCCTCCTCACCTCAACGGCTCTCAGCTGTCGTTCGCACGACCTTCGACACTTGCTATGGCGGATGAAGCATCTAACCAGCGCCACAAGCGATGTCTTGCCGATGAGAGCGCCGACTAGTCGGCTACTTCACGGTGTCAGGAAGTGGGAGAACAGGCCGGAGCGGGACCAAAGAATGAGCCCGAAGAAGGTAGCAGAGGTCGTTGAAACCCTGGTGGAAGCATTAAACAAAAGGAAAAGGCAGAGGCTAAACAAAGTTCGAAGTCTCCGGAGTGGTACAAGGCTCTGGCGGATGAGTTAAAACCAAGTAACATGATTCCAGATCTCGATTGCACCAAGAACCTGGAGAATTTCCTCTTTATAATGAAGCTGTTGAAGACGGCAAAGTCGTAAGGATATGTCACCGAAGGGACGATCCAGAATGCACTTAGATGAGGCGCCAATAGTTATCTATGAGAATGACGCGGGCAGCACCGTTGTGAAGGCTGAAGTCTGCAGCCATCTGGCCTATAGGGCCGGCGCCCCAAATAGCTACGACGTCGCCTTTCTCGACGCCAGTGTCTACGACGGCATTCCAAGACGTGCAGATGATATCGGAGAGATGGTGGCCTTGGGATGTTAGCGGTAGGCTTTCAAGGAGGGGGGTTAGAACGCACCTTTCTCATCTGGGACACGGTCGGGCAGCTTGAGGAGGTTGACGTCCCCGAACGGAACACGAACGTATTCTGCCTTGTCCGCCTGAAAAGCCGCCCGTGAAATGAGAGTACCCAAAGAAGCTACTATATAAACAGTCAGCCTTATCATTTCTAATTACCAGAGAACTCAAGGGGGTTAATGACTCACGCAGTCTGCGTCCCATACATAGCGGCCGCCTGCGAATTTTCATTCTTCTCACACTGGCTACTCTGCTTCTTCTTGCAAGGTCCGCATTCCTCACATGCGATCTGGAAGCTGGCTACCACACGCTGGCCGGGCTTAACATTCTTAACTTGAGGGCCGACAGACTCCACGATACCGCAGAACTCGTGGCCCATGATGTCGTCCTTCTGTAGCTCCACAATGGTACCGTGCAAGAGATGCAAGTCGAAGCCACAGATCGTAGAACCAGTAACACGCAAGACAATGTCTCTGGGTTCCACTACGCGTAGTTTTGGGACCTTTTCTGCGTGGTGTATTAGTTATAGCTCTGTGTATAGATGGAAATAATTGGGTATCTGTTGGGAGTGGTGGATGGCACAGTCCAAATATATCTCGAAATGAGAAATCCGCACCATCCCACAACATGACCACGACGTGGAAACCCCAACCGGCTCGGCCGTAATTAATATTAAACAATTATGCAATTAGAAATCGGGGATTGGAATATATACACCCAAGTAATAATGGCAGCATCACAGGCTGCTTTTAAGGTAGAGCAAGCCGTCGGGCACGATGGTAGCGCCGCCACGCAACAAGATGTGAGCAATCCAGCACTAGAATAGATCAAAATACGCCGATCCGAGCGGCGAGAAGATAAAAGCTTTGGTATGGATGGGAAAGAACCACGTGGAAGTTCGTAAGTTGCACAATGTTTTTTTAATTTCTACCCGAATAATTATAGCCGTCGGGCACGATGGCATCGTGTCCGACGGCTTGCTCTACCTTAAAAGCAGCCTGTGATGCTGCCATTATTACTTGGGTGTATATATCCCAATCCCCGATTTCTAATTGAATAATTGTTTAATATTAATTACGGCCAAGCCAGTTGGGGTTTCCACGTCGTGGTTGTCATGTTGTGAGAATCGACGTCAGAATTAATATACAAGCTAAGTCTATACAATCTGACACAGACTGACAACAACAAAACGTGGTTAATGGTTATAACGGCTGGCTCTCCTATTTTAAGTAGTCGGATGAAGATAGTTATGGTGATAATTACCAAAAGCAACACGTTGTGTTCTGGTGCTCGTGTTAATATATTCGAATATCAAACACCAGGATTTGGTTTCCACAAATATTAGGAATTTAGATGCAAATAATGATGAAATGGTATTAGTTTATTTCATCTGTATCTTGGCTACAATAACAAGCCCCTTTGGCTTTGATATTTGAGGACATGAACTCATAATAAAGTCCGCCACATCCATATATTACAGCCTCACAACGCCCTATAATGACCGCTCGCAACGCCGATTTCCCTTTTATAGCCAACTGCCTGATCAGCTGTCCAAAAGCCCGCTCTCCCTCAAGCTGGAAAATAGCTCCGGCTCGAGGAATTTGGCCACACTAACATCCTCACTCAGCCCCTTTCTCCTCCTTGTCTTGAGCACAAAGTCTCGCGCCGTTGCTTGCACGCTCGCCGGCTCCAGGGGTCGCAGCGTCACCTCCCTATCCAGTGGGTCGCCGGGTACGATACTCCAGCGCTCAAAGACAAGACTCACGGCCGCCTGACCCTGTGTGTGAATCCTCAAATCTGTCTCGAATCCAAACGAGTCAATGACAGGTATCAAACCCTGGCACCTGTAGAGTGGAGTCCCGGCAATTGGGCCATCGCTAAGGACATGACCACGTCGCCTTGCGAGAACAGTGTACAGTGCCGAGACAGAGTCTGCAGGCCCCGTCATAGCTACGCTATACACGGGCTCCATTAGGCGCGGCGATGCCATAAGGAAAGAAGAGTAGACAGCGCGGCGAGAAGTAGGGATTATTTGACCGCCACCACGGAAGATTGGTGAAGCAGCGAGAGTTGCATCGGTTATTTTAAATTTCGTGTTGCGGATCGGCTCTTCGCATAGAGGTCCTTCTCTGGTACCCCAGCTGAAGCCTTGACGGATATTATCACGAACAGTGGCAAGTAATTTCTTGTCAACCTGCGCAAATATTAGTCATCATGCATGGGGATTTCTGGCTAGGGTAAAAACTTACTTCAGAGGGAAGAGTATCATCCTGTAGGATATTGGGGCCGATGTCATCCGGACCGAAGGCCCAGATGCTGCGCGAGGCTAACAAATCCCAACCGTAGTTCTCCTCAAAGAATTTACCAGTCTTCCTGACTGGGTCTCTGATGCTGACTTTCCCGCTCTCGATGTCCTCTGCGATTCCTGAATCAAGGGGTTCTGCAACCATCGTTATTTTGACTTTCTTGTTTGGCGATAGCGCGTAGCACTTGATCGCCGACGTCTCAACAACAGTCTCACAGAACCTCGTGACTGGATCTGAAACCTTGATTTCCATTTCAGCGTATAGACGACGGAGATCGTACAAGACGCAATCCATATAAAGCTCTCCCGTGCCAAGAATGACATGCTCTCCTGATTCTTCAACTTTAGTTGTAATCAGAGGATAGCTTTTATTGATCTTCCTTAATCCGTCAAGCATCTTTGGAAGCTCCGACGGGTTAATTGGCTCAACAGCGACCTTGAAAACAGACTCTGTAAGCTGCTTGATTGGCTTGAAAATGTACGCCTCTTCGTCGTCCTCAAGCTTGAGTGGCACTAACGTTGAGGACTTCACAATCGAATTATCGACCCCGCCCAAAAGGCACCAATTACCCGCTGGAATACCATCCGTAGGAATATTGTACCTGGTCTCAGCAATCCACACGTCAGATATAGTGGCAATCGCCATGTCTTCTTCGTCATGCACCGAGTAACCCTCTCCAAGAACCCGAACCTGCTGTCCAGGCTTAGCAGTCCCACTCAGTACTCTTCCAAAAGCATTGAAGCCTGAAGCGTCGCTGGTGTTGAATAACTTGGAGATCTGGACCACTAATGGACCGTCTTGGTCGCACTTTGCCATTGACTCTGCCACCTTTGTGTCTAACGGACCCGTGTAATATTGCTGGAGCTTCTTTTGTGCCCCCTCCACTGGGGATGGAATATGCTCAACCATCATATCGACGAAGCCATTTGCCGGCCCAAAGAACTGCGCGCAGACCAAATTTAATAAAATTTTCGCGTCCGCCTTGTATTGTGACGGTTTCAAGTGTATGTTCAGTGTAGCCAGTGTTTCCTTGAGATCCTCTGGGCTCTCACTGATAGTATGTGAATAGAGCTTGTAAATCGGCTCCAGAATGAAGTTAACAAACGACCGCTTTGAACGCTCCTCGACGCCCTTCCTTGTGAAAGATCTCTTCGTTGGGTTGAAGAATACATCGCCCCATAACCGGCGCGCAAATTCCGTAGCACTAATTCCTGGGTACGTGTCTGCATACATCCTCGCAAAAGATTGCAAAGTGAAGCACCATTGCATGCTACTGCAGGCAAACAGGACATTTCCTTTCTCAGGGCTCAGTCTTCTTGTTTCGCCCTGGCCCGGTAAAGCGTTCTCAATGGCCGTATTAACTTCTTCGATAACATGCTTCAACTTGAAGTAGGCGTCCGTAGGGGGAAGCTTCAGCTCCAAGATTAGTCGATCTAGCTTATTCACAACCAATACAAGAGGCAGACCCTCTAGTACGGCGTACTTGATAATCTGCTCGGTATTGACCTGGACACCCTCAACCACATCCACCACCAAGACAACACCATCGACAAGTCGTAGGGAGGCTGCTACCTCGTCGACAAAGTTGACATGCCCAGGGGTATCTATAATATTAAGGAGATGCGATTTGCCTTTGGTATTTTGGAGAACCAAGCTCATTGGCGCAGCCTTGATAGACAGCCCTCGGTCTCGCTCCATTATAGAAGTATCCATATATCGTAATTGCTCGTCCCGTGCTTTTCCCACCCTGTTCTCGAGCCTATCGGCGATGTCGTGAGTCTCCAGAACAAGCATGTCCATCAACGCTGTCTTTCCGTGGTGCAAATGTCCAGCAAAAGCAACGTTTCGTACTTGGTCGGGAAAGTTCATAAGGTCTGCCATGAACGGTCTGTCGAAGTGAACTGGTGGTAGGTCTGCCTCCTCAAGCAGAAACTTCTTCACCTCGACGGGCGCAATAATTGGCTGTGTGAGCGGCTGCGCATCCTCTTCCTGGACCATTGTCTCGACATCTTCGCCATAAACCTGCTGCGCAGTCGGGTAGTATTGCTTGTCTTCGTGTAGTATCACTGCATTGGATGGCCCATCTTCGTCTATTTCCATTAACTCCTGGCCTGTAACCTTTGGCGCCTCCTCTTCCTCGGGGTATTCCTGGTCGTAGACATATGCGGTCGCATCAATGCCATGTTGAGAATCATCTTCTGATTCTTCTGCTTCACCAATGAAGTTACCGAACCTGGTTGACGGTTAGCGCATATTCCGTTTGTTGTAGCTGGGCTAGATCGGAAGGCAACATACTCATCATAGAGGTCATCCATGGCTGCGGTATTGGAGTGTGTAGAATAGGAAACGTGAGGCTGGCTTCCTTCCCTCTGCTACCTTGTTAAAATGTTTCGCGAATCTTGAAAGGTCGCGTCGCGCGCACGTGATCTTATTCAACCGTCGCTGAGGTTTTGAGCTCTGGCCTAGACGCTAGGGCCGATTAGTGATCAAGTCACTGGGTTGAGCTCATTACGGGCGACGGCCCATTTTTTTAGACGGTTGTGGCACTCTTTGATAGGGTGCTAGCCTAATTTTACATGGATGATTTATGGGCCATATGATGCTCGCCAGACCAGTCCAGGACTAGTTGCCCAGTACAATATCTCCACCGTAACAGTATTCAACACTGTGATAGGCCTCTCAAGCGATATCCATGGCACCAAATATCCTTCAAAACTGTGCTAATAAACTCAGTGATCTATGAGAGCTATGGAAATAGCTGTACAATAGTACCATTATTATGACAGGATTGTTTCGAAACTATTCTATAGAAATTCAATACGATATCGTTCCTTATGTACGAACATACACATGTCATATACAAATCATAATATTCCAGGACAAATGTGAATTACTTTATTGTTACGACTTTCTAATATACAATGACGGTAGTAAATCCATCCATGACCATAAATCCTCTACTATTAGCCACACGCCATCAGGGTTAGCACAAATAATCATAATAATCATGACTATTCAAATAGTCAAATATTACATAACGTATTTCCCAATTGAACCGTGCACCCGGTCGAACCGTGCAAAATAACCACCAAAACGCGTCTTCCTTCCATACAACTAATATGTCTCCAACACAAGCTTATTCTTCTAATCAAGAAGGTAGGATTCTTTTAGCTATACAAGCAATTAAATTATATCAATTTCGAAGCGTACGAGCTGCTGCAATAGCATACGATATACCTCCTCAAACCCTTTGTGATAGGATAAAAGGAACAGCTCCCCGATGCAACACACCCTCAAATACTCAAAGGCTTACTTCTCAAGAAGAGGAAGCTATCGTACGATACATTCTCGACCTTGATTCGCGTGGATTCCCACCTCAGCCAGCTGCTGTACAAGAAATGGCGGACCTACTCCTCGCTGAACGCGACGCGTCACCTGGGTGGACTACAAATGCAATTGGTTTTGAGTGGATTCAGCATTTTGAGAAACATACTCAGAGTCGTACGAAAGGAGTATATCGTCTCCTAATTCTTGATGGCCACAAGTCACATATTTCAGTCGAATTCCAACAGTATTGTCAAGAGCACCTACTTATTACCCTCTGTATGCCACCACATTCATCACACCTCCTCCAGCCTCTTGATGTTGGGTGTTTTAGCCCACTAAAGTCCTCGTACGGAAAACAGGTCGAGGGTCTCGTACGACTCCGTATTCACCATATCACAAAGCTTGAGTTCCTCTCTGCCTTTAAAGAAGCATATAAAGCTGCATTTACAGAGCAGAATATTAAGAGTGGCTTTCGAGCAACAGGTAATTATAATAATCTTTATAGTAAATACTACTAACTTAGTTATAGGGTTAGTTCCGTATGATCCAAATACTGTCCTTTCGCACCTTGATCTCTGACTAAAAACACCAACCCCACCACCTGTTGAAAAGGAGACTTGGACCTCAAAGACACCCCAGAATGCGACTGAAGTTGAATTCCAAACAACACACCTTAAGAATCAAATCGTACAACATCAGAATAGCTCTCCAAGTTCAATAAATTAGGCATTTGACCAGCTTGCTAAAGGAGCTCAAATAATGGCCCATTCATTTACACTCCTTAAAGCTGAAGTCAAGGCGCTACAGCAGGCGAATGCGCTCAAAAAGCAAAGGGCAAACAAGCGAAGGAACCGTATTCAATTAGGTGAAGCTTGACAATTGAGGAAGGTGATGAGCTCGTACGGAGTACTCAAACTCAGGAGGAGGAGGGTGGTGATGCCACACAGGGTCAGCGCAGGAAAGGGAAACCACGACGATGTTGTAAGGATGCCAAAGCCCTCAGTGATGGAAAGCATCAGAGTCGGGCAGGTTACGGTCACATGGGGAGCATTAGGGTAGGTTAGCCGAGTCGGACCCGTTTCGGGTACTTAAGGGGATTGAGCAAACGGGGTTCCTAATCATCTTTTTTGTATCCTTCGTAGTAGACCTATAGGATAGCATCCGTTTAGCCTCCGACTCACACTCTCATATGCTATTACTGTGAGCTGGGTGCCCTGTGTCCTTACATTATACAAAAAAGATCACGCCTGCCAGGGACGGCCGTACTTAAATAATATCCCACACCGGAACGACTCAGGAGAACTACCGTTACACCATCGACTGTGACTCGGTGACGTTTCGGAGGAGAGACCTGACGACTTCAAATAGCCGTGATTCCAGAGATCTCATGGACAGCCAGTGGATCAGGGTTTGATTCTTCAGAACAAGCTGGTAAAGTCGCCGACGCGTTGGCGCCAAATAGGATATGAGATACTTAAGAACCCCCTCATAGCACAGAGGAAATTGTGGACAAGAGCGTTGATAGCTACGAGCTACCGGAAGCCAAGCACTTTCGTATCGGTACCGATATACACCCGAGGCAATATGTCGAAAAAGCCGAGATCAAACATACCCCAAGACAACGACACCCCAAGACAACGACGGTCAACTGCCCAGAATAACTACCAGACAAGCCACCGCTGCAGCTACGACCGCTGTGCCATCCGAAGACATCCCGAGTCGAATGGATCACCTCGAAGCACAGATACAGAAGGTCAAGGATCTACTAGTTATCCTGTCAGCATCCCAGACCAGAATCCCGTCCACACCACCGGTGGATGCCCCCATACCCACAGTCGAAGCTACGGAGCAACGAACGCCTCGCACACGAAACATCCCTGAGACAGTTCAATTGCTGCCTCTTCGAAACACTCGTTCTCCCTCGATTCCAGGGTCATCACGAATGCACACCGAGGACCCTCCGAATCGCTATAAGAAATCAACCATCTCTGAGAAAATCCTTCCTCTCAGCGATGGGGTAGAACATACCTTCTTACAATGGAGCGCTTCGATTCGGGACCGACTCGTAGTCAATGAGGACCACTACCTTACCGACGTCTCGAGAAGAGCGTTGATATGGGGAACTACGACCAGCCTGGCGAAGACCTACCTAGAGCCCCAATACCTGTCCGCTACTCATGGGTTCCGCAGTGCTGAGGAGATGTTGGATCTACTAGGTTCATACTACCTCATAGGCAACGAGACGGAACATGCCAGGAACCTCTTCGACGACCTGCAAATGGGAGAGAAAGGGCATGCTAGCGAAACCTTCCCAGAGTTCAAGGCTCGTTTCCAAAGTGCAGCTATCACAGGACAAGTCTCCGAGTCGGAATGGTTTCAGTACATGTGGAACAAGTTGACTCCCCAATTCCGCAGCTGCATCGCGATCATCAAAAACCAATGGAATGGAGAATACCAGACCATGGTACGAGAACTTACCTCCTTCGATCAGGAACGGCGCCGGAACAACGAATTGAATCCGCTACCTGCTCTCGCAAGGACATCCACACATACCACGGATACTGCAAGGGCGTCGGCGTCGAAGCCGACTCGAGCCACATCCGCTCTGTTCACCTGAACCGCGCTCCTCCCCAAGCCAGCCATACCAGAACGTGTGAGAACCGCAGTCCCTGCGCCCTCAGGAAACTGTTTCAAGTGTGGCAAGCCCGGCCATTTCCAGGACAAATGCCCCCTTAACGCTACTATCAAGGAAATGGACCGTAACGACCCTGAGGTCGAGAAACCAGGGAAGTGTAACGCTGACTTCTAAACGATAGAAGACACAGAGGTTTCTTGCGTAAGGTTGACTTGACAGAGGAGGCAGGGGATTAGACACAAAGGCTTTCCAAGTAACACGTTACAGTATTGTAAAGAATACTACATTGAGTTGAGCACGAAGCTCCTACTAAGGAATACTATCTACTTATATAGTGGCGTCGTGCCTCATGGGTAATCTGGATAGTTGGCGGATAGCTAGATATTCAGGATAGTTCGTGGATAGCTCAACTATCCAATATCCACTAGTTTCTGCAACTATCCATTAGCCCCGTCACATGGCAGCCTACCCCGCTTCCCATTGTGACTCACACGTCACGTTACTAGGCCCTGGCCCTGTAACCATGACATCATGTTACTATAGCCGTAACAGGAAGCTATGCAAATTGTTAGCAAAAGCCAACAGAGACAGAACAGCACAAGGGAACTCACCGGAACGCAAGTGGAGTGCTGCACCGTGCAGTACTCGCACTTGGACGAGGCCGGGGACCAGACACAATCGTGGTCCTTGATGCCATGAGCTTTGGCCCGAAGGCAGCGCAGGCAGAGGACACGGAACGCGCCCGACAAAGCTCCCGCGAGAGTTGGAATCGGCATCGAAAAAAAAAATGTTGGAATCCTGCGCAGACTCCTGTCAGCCCAACACACGTTATCACCCCCACGCCAATGTGCTCCCATCACCTACTCGTTGTTGTGGATGGAAGTATCCTATCCAATTCATTAGTGTACTGTCAGACAATCCACGAGAAGGGGTCACTTACAGTTCTCGGAGGAGTGGTCGCTGGCGTTGTTGTTGGAGACAAAAGAAGAAGTGGACGCGGCTGCGCACTCATAGTCTGGCTTACAACAATGAACTCTGAATCGGTTAGCGTGAACACTTCTCCTTTCATACATAGGACAGTCTAACCCGAACGCTTCGCGGATGCGATTCGGAGTGCACTCGGACCGCCAAAAATGCACCCCCAAGCGAACAAAGCAATCTAACCCGAACGCTTTGCGGATGCGATTCGGAGTGCACTCGGACCACCATGAATGTACCCCAGAGCGAACAAAGTAAAATCTGGTTCCGCACAATAAACGGAGTCGATACGGCACAGCTCTAGCATGACATACAATGCACCTTCCCGACACAGCACATAAACAGGGTTGTTACAGATGCCATTACAAACAGAATAGAACACTCTTCTCACGGATACCATTCGGAGATGTTGCGGAAATAATTCTCACGTGTTTCGCGGACAAAACACTCTCTAAAGAGGGGGGGTAGTGTAAGGATGCCAAAGCCCTCAGTGATGGAAAGCATCAGAGTCGGGCAGGTTACGGTCACATGGGGAGCATTAGGGTAGGTTAGCCGAGTCGGACCCGTTCTGGTTAAGGGGATTGACCCAATGGGATTCCTCATCATCTTTTTTGTATCCTTCGTAGTAGACCTATAGGATAGCATCCGTTTAGCCTCCGACTCGCACTCTCATATGCTATTACTGTGAGCTGGGTGCCCTGTGTCCTTACAGATGTGGCACATGTAATCAAGTTGGACATAATGCTTGTATGTGCAAAGAGGTATCAGATTCAATTACTGTAGATAGCTAGAGTGTTTTAAAGGGTTGTTGTTATAATATACCTACGAAGTTGTATTTTGGTGGTTATTTTGCACGGTTCGACCGGGTGCACGGTTCGATTGGGAAATACATTAAGCATGATTATGAGTTTTTGATAATCATGAATATTCATGATTATCACATGATGTTAGAATCACGTGGCCTAAGTAATTATCTAGTATAGTAGAAAAGGAAACCAAATATATATTAATCTATCTAAATACTACTTAAAGTATTAATTTAGCTATAAATTACTCTTCTAGATCCTCTTCTTCTTCTTTTATAAAATCCCAACTCTTTAAACAAGCTATTACTCTAAAAACGTCTTTAGAACGCCTATTTCTAATCTTTGAAATAATAAGGCTACCTATACTAAAAGAGCTCTCTATAGGAGCACTAGTAGCAGGGATTTTGTAATGGTGGGTGCACCAGATGTGAGAATCTAGCCACTCAAGGAAAGGGATGATTTTACTAAGGAAACAGAGCCAAAGGGTTGTAGCTTAGACTATTCCACAATGCAGCAATCAAGTGTATGGTGTAGTGGAGTGGTTTAGACAAGTTATCACAAATGTTGAGTCTGAGAACTCAGGGATAAGTCAGAGGTTAGCACCTCACTGACTTTTCAGAAACAAGGAGTAATAAGATCAATGCTTTGAAGCTTGGAAAAGACGTGGAAGTATGTGATAGTCGATTTACTGTATTGTCTGCTTGCCCTTTCTTAAGGAAAGGGCAATCCTATTTATGCTAAATGGGTGTAGTTCTCTCATTTTCCAAGACTTTCCATGACTAACCAGGCTTGGTAACTGTAGTCGACGTAAGAGAATCCCATAGAACCATCTCCTAGGTTCCTAGCCTATAGGAAGTGAAAGGAGGTCCAAGGTCAGAGTACCCCTATAGACAAATTATGTCATAACTTAACCAATCTTGTGGGTAACTAAGGAGCGATGATGTGTAATGAATCATAGAGGGTTGTAGCAATCATTGAGTAGTATTGCTCTTGTTGTTGGTGTGATAAGCCAAAATATGTATAGTGACTTGTAGGTTTGAGGAGGAGGTTTCTAAGTTTGCTCTTGAGTTTGATAGCAAACTGAGTGCAACGAATGTCAGTATGACACCCACCCCCTTAAGGAGGAGAGTTTCTTAATAACTTGTTCAATGAGTGTCCAAATGATATGCCGTGATGTATGTAGCATAAACAGATGTAGTAGAAGAGTTTGCAGCAATCGTTGAGTAGTATTGCTTCTGTTGTTGGTGTGATAAGCCAAGATATGTATGGTGACTTGTAGGTTTGAGGAGGAGATTTCTAAGTTTGCTCTTGAGTTTGATAGCAAACTGAGTGCTGAATCTCAGTATGACACGACCGATGAGAGGTTCTCATGTCGGCAGACCAAACAGACCGTCTGCAAGTCGACAGACTGTCTGTTTGGTCTGCCGACAGTCTACCAGTCGACAGACCAAATAGACCGTCTGCTTTATTCTGAGATCGTGATTGGTGAAATCCCGTTACTGTGAACCAGGGCTTCACCACCATTTCCTACATGTTAAATTCAAGGTCGGCTTCTTCTCTGGTCTTCAATCTTACTACTTCATTTACACCATTATGACTGATAACTCTCCACAACTCTCTGATGCGCAAAGCATTCTAGGGGGCTTATCTGACTTTGAGCTTGAACAGCTCTACTCATCCAACCCATCAGACGGATCATTCCACAGCACACCACATATACCGCCAGAGAGTTTACCTGATTCCAGCAGCCTAGCACTGACAGCTATAAGTCTGCCAGCTGGATTTCACTCTGCACCACCTGGGAAACGTCCAAATACCTTGTGGGTTTGGCAGCATGGCCAGGAGATTATCCGGGTCTGTGATGACACACCATTCTGGTTATGCCAGTTGTGCTATAATAAGAGGGTTACAAAGACATACTCGTCAAGGACAACTACACATGCATGAACCACATGATTCATTTCCACGGTAAATCCAAGGATGGTACATCTAGTTCTCGACCTCGATCTGTGCTTCAACAGCAGCGAGCTGCAGCTTATAGTGTAGTATCAACGATCGATTTCGCAAAATTTAAGACCTTATTACTGCGATGGATAGTGTGCACAAACGTCAGATTTTCAGAAGTAGAACACGAGCAGTTCCGTGAGCTACTAGTATACTGTAATGCAGTATTAGGAGATCTTTTACCACGTTCTCATAACACCATTCGAGGCTGGGTTATGAAAGAGTTTCAAATGCAAAAAACTCATGTCCAGACAATGTTTGCAAACTACGAAGGTCAAGTTCATCTAAGTTTTGACATGTGGACATCAACAAATTCCCTTGCTGTTATTGGTATTGTGGGCCACTGGATTAACGGAACCACAACACAATCAGCTTTGCTAGGTTTGCAACGTTTACATGGGCAGCACACTGGCGAGAATATGGCAGAAGCAGTACTGTGAGTTATTGATGAGTATTCACTATTGATGAGTATTCACTACGGTCGAAGATTGGTTACTTTATGCTTGATAATGCATCTTCCAATGATGTTTGCGTATTATCCGTCTGCCAAAAGCTTGAGTTAGCTGATGGCTTGGTCAGTCAGCAAAAAGCTCGACGTTTACGCTCTACAGGGCATGTGCTAAACTTAGTGGTCAAAGCTTTTCTCTTTGGTACAGATGCAGTATCATTTGAAATCGATGTCTCTGCAGCTCATCAGTTATCAAACGAGCAGCGTGAACTTGAACTTTGGCGGCATAAAGGTCCAGTTGGTAAACTTCACAACACTGTTCACCATATATGCAGAACGCCCCAACGGCGAGAGGAGTTTTTTCCGAATCCAACGGCAAGAAGGATTGGAAATTGAGCAGCTGATGGTTGTTGCGGATAATGCCACATGCTGGAATTCAACATACAGCATGATTGAGCGGGCTATGCATTTGAAGGATCCAATAGATCTCTTTGCAGCAAGAAGTTTCGACAAAGACATAGCTCAAGATCAACTGACACGGGATGACTGGGATCAGCTTACACGTATTCTAGCTTTATTGAAACCATTCAAAGAGTTAACACTGTGCATGGAAAGCCAAGCCAAGGATGGAAAACGTGGATCAATATGGGAGATTCTACCCTCGATGGAGATTCTGCTGCATCATCTTGAAGCCGCAAAACAAGATTATGAACACTTAGGTTACGATCACATTACGGTTTGCATCAATAACGCCTGAAAATTACTCGACAGATATTACAATCTCACAGAAACATCACCAGTATATGTAGCAGCGGTTGTCCTAAATCCACAGCTTAAATGGAGCTTTCTTGAGCAACTTTGGGAGCACCGCTCTGATTGGATATCTGAGGCTCATAAAGCTGTCAAGCATCTTTGGACTACAAGTTATAAAGACCGCAATCCCAAATTGGCTGGGACAAGCAGGGAGACACGTGTTACAGTCCCAGACATGGATATACTCGAGCAGTTTTTATCCCAGCAATCAGACTGTAGACCGCTGGCTCAGCTACTGGCAGACGAGTATGAGGATTACTGCTACATCAAACCAGAAGCTCGTGTTAGCAATATCATCCAATGGTGGAATGACCATTCTACTCTGTATCCAGCATTGTCGAGAATGGCGCTAGATATCTTGTCAATACCAGCCATGTCAGCAGAAGTTGAGCGGGTGTTCAGCAGTGCTAAACTGCTAATCTCAGACGCTCGAAACAGACTCAAAGAAGATATTATTGAGGCATGTGAATGTCTCAAGTCATTGAATACTGCCGGCATGTCTCGTAGCTACAATTAGACTTCAATCTATTCATTCAAATCACATCCAATTCCCACCCCTTGGCAGACCGTCTATTTGGTCTATTTGGTCTGCAGACCAAGGCAGACCGACTAGACCAGATCTCAAAATTAGCCAGACCGACCGACTGGGACCCTTTGGTCTGGTCGGTCAGTCTATTGACAACACTGGAAGTATCCCCTCGTATTGTTGAAAGCGCTTTCCCAGAATCCGCTACCCGTAAAGCCTGTGCATTGACCACATCCTTTGAAAATGGTGTCTTATAAACTATGACCCCTCTTCAGAAAACATGACGACCTGCTGCTGGCGGTTGCTGGTAAGATGAGGATTTGGTGTTATAGCCTCATATCAATGTCAGATATCTGGGACCTCGTCAGTGGCACTGCCGTGGTGATATGTGGTAATTGTGCGCCATTACTACAATTGTCAGAATCTGATAGTATTGTATATAGAAGAGATGTTCTAAACACCAAATTCTTGCCGTTGTAATTACTAACTTAACTCTCTAGGTGAAACACTCTCAAAATACTTCGCTATTTCCGTGTCTTTGATTTGCCCTGCCCTGGCCTTCTCCAGAGGCGTCCCACAATTGTAGGGGGCTTCAACAGCGAGATCTGCTCCATTCTCGACCAAGAACTTTAAGTTGGCGATCTGACTCTCGCGGATTGCCCAGTAGATAGGGGCTCCAATTGAGCCGTTCTTTGGCTTACCTTTATCATCGGGCTCGTTAATATCGACGCCTAATTCCAAGAGGCATGCCATAATTTGCATGTTATTGTTACCAAGCGGTCCACGAGCATCGGCAGCAGCAGCATGGTGGAGCACAAGGCTGTCCTCAAGACGAGCTCCGTGAGCGATGAGTGCGCCTCCACTGTACTCCACAGAGCGGCGAGGTCAAGGAGATGCCCGTCATCCCAGAGTATGCCGGTCTCCGGGCGGCCTAGGTTAGGATCTGCTCCATGAGCAAGAAGCCACGTGACGGCCTCAATATCTTGAATGTGTTGGAGAGTAGGCCGTGGGCGCTGGGATACGGTGGTATTTGGCCCTATAATGGCAGAATCCCACTACGGCGTCCCAGGAGAGTAGATATCTCCCGATCTCGAGGTTGTCTACCATGACGGCAGCGGTCAGCGCTAGCTCGAGGTAGTTAGGGGGTGAGTAGGATGCGTCGGCGACTAGGCTAGCGACTTTGGCCAGATTGCCGGCACGAACGGCGCGTTCAATTGTTTCGGCGGGGCTGGAGGTGCGGCCGCTGGGAAGCAATTTTTTGGAACCCGGTTATTCGGTGATGAAGGTGAAGGTCCTAGAGCCATCCGCACTCATCTGTGGATCGCTATTTGGCACGGGCATCGGCGTGGTATTTTGCATAATGGTGAAACTGTTGACGAATTCTATCTACAGAAATTGTGGACAAGAAGAGAAGATGTGCGGGCAAGATATTACAGGAAGGTAAAGGCAAAGTGTTGGTGCACTTGACACGGCGATAGATCGGCTTTTAAACCAACACCCCCTCGTCAGTTTAATTTTAGGGGCCTAAGCGAGCGGGGTCCAATAGCGTGATCGGAGCAGCGATTTTCAGGGCGGGGGGAGGTGTCAACCTTGTGGCCTGGTCTGGGGAAGTTTGCTAGTGTGGCTGTGTACACTTCACAACAGAGGCGAGGCAACAGCACCCGACACTCTCTCTGTGCGATACTACCAAATTGCTAACAAGTAACTGGCCTAGTAGCAGCTTCAGTAACCGCTCGGCACTGAAGAAGAAACCTTACGCCGTCAAAGATAGGCAGCGCTGCTGCCTCAAGATCTTCCCAACCCATTAGCAATTAATTAGCTATCCTCTCAAGTACTGTCCTTGATATTTAAATCGTCTATAGATAGCTTTATTCTCTTAACTATTTTATGAGGATGCCCTTTGTTGTATCGTTGGTACTCAACCCCGGCCAAAGAATAATGTAGTGTTTTTGGACCTTCATACAAACGGGAAGCCGGTTTTGCAAGCGACTGTAAAGAAGAAAGGGTGATCTACACCGTGACCCATAAAGGCCAGCTCAGTGACCCTCTGTCGCTCTCGTTTCAGTCCCGGCGTCTGCTTGATGAACATCGAAATTTAAGTCAGCAAAGAGAGAACGATAGGTCCACCGCAGAAGATGAAGATGCAATTGCGGACTCTCTGGATGATATGAATTTATCCGATTCCGAAAATGTTGGTGATACATCGGCAGAACAGCTCAAGGATCCATCCTTTCGAAAGAAATTATATATTTCAGATTGCTGTTTTAAGGATATAAAAGATCCTGAACTTCTTTTTCAAAGATATCCCGAAGACCTATTTGCGAATGCCGTTTGTAGCGAAGGTAATAACGGGATCCTTCTTGTTTCAGGAGATGAGAATGGGCTAGATACTATTAAATGGCTAGAGAAGAAGGATGTCTCTATCCACGAGGGGAACCATATGGTAGAACTGCATTAATGGAAGCTATTATAGTCAAATATACAGACTTCATTACTCTATAAATATGCTCAGCATCTGTCGCTAGTCCATCCGCATTCGAGAACTAAACGCCATATCTAAAACAGATCAAAACAAAAGCACAATGCCCCTTTCACTTCTAACTCCATATCATGTACCGTAAGAGGAAAGCAAAACTTTGCGAGCCTCATATTTTGACTTTGACAGCATAGAATGCTATGGCTAAACCATGACCCTACCATGCCTAACCTAGGCGGCTTAAGCACAGCTTTCATTATTTACGAATTCTGATCTTGTGAACCAACTCTACGTGGCTTTTGAAATACTCCAACTTTTCGAGAACAAGTCCTTACGACTTGCATGTTGGGTGAAAACACTCTATCTTAGCCTTCGGATCTCATCCTTTAAGGTGAATGTTTTCAACGTGATACATCATCATTGCAGGGTGGCAAAATTTGCCCATCCTCTGTTCATAGCTCTTCGATTCGTCCCCGATGCAGAATATGCACTGCTTCTCCCTGCATTCAAGGGCGAAAAAGGGATCGAGGGGTCCAAGCTCAGGGGACTCTTCTTTTACTTGGTGGAGGAATGCCGACGCGAAGACGGTATTGTGAGGGAACCTCACAACATTCACAGAGAGCTAGCATGAGCTCAGCGACCTGAATCCGGCGCTTGACAGCATTCTGTGGTGTGATACCTGTGACGCGAGGGCAGATAAGATCGGCAAGCTGTGTCCTCTGCGGGATCTGATTGTCATACTGACATTCGTTGCACTCAGTTTGCTATCAAACTCAAGAGCAAACTTGGAAATCTCCTCCTCAAACCTACAAGTCACTATACATATTTTGGCTTATCACACCAACAACAAGAGCAATACTACTCAACGATTGCTACAACCATCTATGATTCATTACACGTCATCGCTCCTTAGTTACTGGGCCGATATTACCACATAGCATATCTCTACAACCCTCTATGATTCATTACATGACATCACTCATACTACCACATGACATATCTCTACCAACTAGAGGCCTAGGAGCATGAATGATAGCTCTAAAAGCTCCTACGAACCTCTATGATTCATTACATGTCATCGCTCTTTAGTTACCCACAAGATTGGTTACGTTATGACATAATTTGTCTGTGACATAATTTGTCTATGACATAATTTGTCTATAGGGGTACTCTGACCTTGGACCTCCTTTTACTTCCTATAGGCTACGAACCTAAGAGATGGTTCTATGGGATTCTCTTACATCGACTACAGTTACCAAGCCTGGTAAGTCATGGAAAGTCTTGGAAAATGAGAGAACTACACTCCTTTAGCATAAATAGGATTGCCCTTTCCTTAAGAAAGGGCAAGCAGACAAATACAGTAAATCGACTATCACATACTTCCACGTCTTTTCCAAGCTTCCAAGCATTCATCTTGTTACTCCTTGTTTCTGAAAAGTCAGTGAGGTGTTAACCTCTGACTTACCCCTGAGTTCCCAGACTCAACATTTGTTGCAACTTGTCTGAACCACTTCACTACATCACACACCTGATTGCTGCGTTGTGGAATAGTCTAAGCTATGACCCTTTGGCTCTTTTTCCTAAGACAGTGTGTTGTCTTAGTAAATTCATCCCTTCCTTGGGTGGCTAGATTCTCACATCTGGTGCACCCACCATTACACCGATGCTCAACCACTGGCTCGACGTACTCTTCCTCTTGTTGTCCATTATTATGCCTCTCGATGTCTTCTGTTGGGCGGCGGCGGAAATATTCATCTCGGTATTCTTGAGAAATAATGTTCCGCCTAGACCTAGCACTACTGATTGCAGCAGTAAGTCGCCAAACTTCTGCCTTGATGCTTGTCCCCTAAATTCTGTACGCCCCAGCTTTCAACTGCTCTCGCTCCTGCTCAAGTGCAGTGATCATAGGATCAGGGGGAACGCAGCTAGGTACTTGTCGGGGACGTGAACCAGTGTGTGAGGATCACACATAAGACTCATATGCGTTAGCATTTTAAGAACACCATCTACAGAGGGACGCCCAAGGCCAGCAGACTGAACGTCAAACCGCATTTTCTTATTGGCGTAGTGTCCGTTATGCAGAGCAGAGTTTGCATTGTGTTGCATTACCTGGTCTCGAACAGCATCGGTAGCAGCATCTAGGTAGCAAAAAGTCCATATTAGCAAGGGTGATCTCCATCTCAAGGTCCCATAAACAACTTATGATCAACGACATTGGCTGTCCCACGTCGAAAGCAGTAGCTAGTTAGAATCTCCTTGATGCCTGCTATCTTCCCAAGGCGGTTGAGGGGATCATGAAGCTGATTGTATGGAAGGGCCGCCTCCGAATCATCGCAGCAGAATATTGGTGTCTTGAGCATTTCCTCCTTCCAGTGTAGCTCAGTGCAATTGACTGGACCACGTATCTTGTGCTCAAAGACTCGTTTGGGAGAGTCTCGGCACCTCGAATGCATCATCTGCGAGTGCAAGGGATACGAAGTGAGTGATGGCACATAAAATCGGGTCGTCGACTTCAGTAAAGAAAAATATCGTTCTGTGAATGTCTGTTAGTTTGATATTGGGTGATATATCTAGCGGTCGGTCAACTCACGGTTGAGGGCGCTTATTGTGTCCTTTATGATGAGACAATTTGACCTCCATGGCGAGCACATAATGCTTGCTATTGTCGGGACTGTGTACGATCAGTAGGCGGACATCCTGATAGCAGAGTGCATCGAAGAGTCTAGTGTTGTAAGGATGCCTGTCCCTCAGTGATGGAAAGGATCTGAGTCGGGCAGGTTACGGCCACATGATAAGAGTAAAGACAGGTTAGCCGAGTCGGACCCGTTTCAGGTACTTGAGGAGATTGACCCAATGGGGGTTCCTCTCCCTCAGTGATGGAAGGTATCTGAGTCAGACAAATCACAGTCACGTGGTGAGAGTGAAGGCAGGTTAGCCGAGTTGGACCTGTTTCGGGTACTTAAGGAGATTGACCCAACGGGGGTTCCTCTCTTCATCTTTTTTGTGTCCTTCATAGTAGACCTATAGGATAGCATCCGTTTAGCCTCCAACTCGCACTCTCATATGCTATTACTGTGAGCTGGGTGCCCTGTGTCTTTACAAGTGTCGCCTTCCACCCCGCCCATATCAACGTCACTTTTGGGATCATCGTCGTCGGAGCTGGGATTATCTCTTCGTTTCCTTTTTGCATCAACTAGCTTTGCAGGCCAGCACCCTGTGCCAAAAAGAAGGAGTAATATGAACGCAATCTGAACCCATTGCCGCTCTGTATGGTATACAGATTTGTCACGGGCCCAGTGGCAGTTGAGTAAAAGCAGGATATCATCCACCCCTAAGACGGGCTTCGACTTTACTGTTCTGTCTATATAAACTACTGATATTAGCAATTTTAGATTAAGTAGCGATGAACAGAAAGCAGCATACCTTTAGGACCTCTTTTCTATCGTTACTATCCATGAGACGGCCATTCTCTTTGTTGTATAGCATTCCACCCCTCTTCTTCACCCGGTCTTCATCGTACATATGCTGGATAAATGATATTGTAGTCCCTCTAGAGCAGTCCCGAATCACAGAACGCCAGTCCCCCAAATGCTGATCATGACAGAACCTAATCGAGAGTTAGTACCGGTAGCCACTCCAACGTCTCGATTTGTGAATATAGTTGCCTTGCCTTTTAAACTTGCCTCTAATACCCCCAAGATTGTCTATGGTGGCAGGGGCATATATATTTTTAATAACGGTCGTTGGGTCATCATGCTTGTCTTTAAGGCTTTTGTAGTATCCAGCTGGGCGTTTGGTCTTTAGTTTCAGTTGGCGACGTTCAACACAATTATGAAGGCATTAAAGTAGACGTGGGTCGATGGGTGCGTTCCTTCTAAAGACCATGATGACGACGAGCTTGTTCCGCTTTGAGAGGGTATGATTTTAGCCACACCATCGTCGTGGGGGGGTTACAGGTGCAGAGGAGTAGAGTGCTGTGTTTGAAAGACGTGACGGCTTGCATGGGAGAGCTGGGGGATATATATAGATGGCAGGAGCAGAGCTCGAAGTGCCAGGTGGGTGGCTGCCATGGTGGGCAGAGGAGTCGGGGAAGGGCCCTTGATGTGGGGGGTCATCATCTGTCCAGAGGTATGTATAATCTGAGACAGGACAACGGGTTTTGGGTTTTGGAGTTCAGGTACAGTGCATTCGGTCCGAAAATTATCCGGTGGCCGATCGCCAAGAAAGACACGTGTTGAAATCCTGTTGTTCGAGGCTGCATAAAGCAGCAACCAACGCCAGCTGAAAACAGCAGCTCCGTCACCACAATCTTGCATAATCTTATAATCTAGGTATATATAGAGCTTTTTTAAGTCAGAGGTTAACACCTCACTGACTTTTCAGAAACAAGGAGTAACAAGATCAATGCTTGGAAGCTTGGAAAAGACGTGGAAGTATGTGATAGTCGATTTACTGTATTGTCTGCTTGCCCTTTCTTAAGGAAAGGGCAATCCTATTTATGCTAAAGGAGTGTAGTTCTCTCATTTTCCAAGACTTTCCATGACTTACCAGGCTTGGTAACTGTAGTCGACGTAAGAGAATCCCATAGAACCATCTCTTAGGTTCGTAGCTTATAGGAAGTAAAAGGAGGTCCAAGGTCAGAGTACCCCTATAGACAAATTATGTCATAGACAAATTATGTCATAACGTAACCAATCTTGTGGGTAACTAAAGAGCGATGACATGTAATGAATCATAGAGGTTCGTAGGAGCTTTTAGAGCTATCATTCATGCTCCTAGGCCTCTAGTTGGTAGAGATATGTCATGTGGTAGTATGAGTGATGTCATGTAATGAATCATAGAGGGTTGTAGAGATATGCTATGTGGTAATATCGGCCCAGTAACTAAGGAGCGATGACGTGTAATGAATCATAGATGGTTGTAGCAATCGTTGAGTAGTATTGCTCTTGTTGTTGGTGTGACAAGCCAAAATATGTATAGTGACTTGTAGGTTTGAGGAGGAGATTTCTAAGTTTGCTCTTGAGTTTGATAGCAAACTGAGTGCAACGAATGTCAGTATGACACACCAGTGGGTGGAAGACGAGACCATAGTTGTGACTTCTATCTCACAAGGCCGCCAACACAGCATCAAGCCATATCATAAGGACAATGAGGATAATGAAGATGACGAGGATGAGGATGTGCGGCCTCCAAGATGACGAAAGTGGCGCCAGATAGAGTCTAGCGCGACTGAAACCGCCACCCGCAAGAAGGTCCACACCCGCTCATCCACTATAGCCCAAGCTCAGACCTGCACTACTGGAGGTTCTACAGTTTCTCGGAGTTCACCTAGAATTGACTCCGATACAGAGTCAATTCTAGGCGCGGACTACCAAGAATATCCTCTTCAGGTCTTTCTCAAGTGCATGAGGATCGGACGAGAGACGACTTACAACCTAGAGTTTAGGCTGCTAGATCTTCCAGATTCGTTCAGACCATCAATCAGTCTCCACATATCAAATTCCACGTATAGCGAGGAATCAGTTGGAGGATCAGCCCATGCCCGGGTTTTCGCATCTCATGCAAAGAGGTCACGACCAGCTCTGCAGAAGCAGAGAAAGCATGGGCGCCTCGGATATGAGGAGCAAGAAGACAATAAGCTGATGTGCCTCAAGAACAAAGGCTTGCTGTGGAAAGAGATACATCTCGCTTTTAACATTCCCTGAATTCCCTTGTTCTTCGTACATTATCCAGACGTCATGGGGTTACCATGACGCTCGTAACCCTGGGAACTTTGCTAGTTTAGCTAACTCCCTTCAAGCCGATGCCAGCTTCATACCATCCGCCGAGAACGCGAATGCTCTAACAATCTCGTATGTCTCTTGAGTGTCTGTTGCACTACGCCCGTCGCTGCGTTGCAACTCCCTGGCAGCGTGTTACGAAGTGGTGTTTTTGTCACGTGATATTGATCTAAAACGTGTCAGATTTTGCCCACAAAGTGTGTCCCGTTCGTTCATCACGTGAAAAAGGCGGCGTTCCCCGAGTGCACTGACTCTTTAATAAGTGCTGAACCCTCGTCCATCTCCCAACCGTTGTCCACTCCACGAAGGCTGCGTTGAGTAACATACTCTACACCTCCCCTATACATTGCGGTCAACATTTCCTGCCTCGACTTCTGGAAGGCCGAGAGAAACAGGAATGCGTCAATCGAAGCTTCCGAAGATATCATTGACCAGTTGGATCGCGATATCTACACTCTCGAGTGAGAACGATTGAAGAGGAACCATCTGTGATGAAAGGATCAGTCATAGCTAGCTTCAGCGCACAAATAACAAAACTCTCGAGGAGAAGAGACTGTTGAATGTTATTGGTAGGCACAATAATGCTACTGTTTATCTACGAGTCATAATGAGAGATAAGAGACATCGCTTTGTAAAATAATCACATAATGCATCTTCATGCTCTCAACGATAGTAGGCTATGACCTGTGATTGCAGTCGTATACTGATACGCCTTGGTTGACCCAAATGTGAACGTTGGGGCAGCCCGCAGCTTCAAGCACTTACCTCACCCTAGCGTCCGCCGGGTGAGACTCCTCAGCTTTATTGCTTATTTAGTTCCTTCTTCGAGTTCCTAGGCAGTAGATAGTCTCCTCCAAGCATGGCCTTATACACTCCATACAGACCACTGAGTGGCCATATACTCCAAAACAATGCCAGCAACCAAAGCTTCCAGCTCTCCTGCAAGGCTTTTTGCTCGGCTTCAATGTCCACCTTCACCTTGTCGTACACAGACGGCAGGTACGTCGCATGATACTTCTCCCGCAACGCATCGTAGGTCTTGCGATCATAGATCTCATTGAACTCCTCCTCGGTGTAGTAGGCATGCGCATACAGCCACTTCTGACCACCAAGCTCCCGCACCTTATGCTCAAAGTCACGGTTCCATTCCACGAACTTATCACGGCCTTTAGGTCCCGGGCCCCAGACTCCAAAGTTAAGCATCATTTCTGGCATTTGGCGGGATGTCTTTATGGACATGCTGTTGCGCGTAGGATCGGTAGATTTGCCGTTGTATTTCAGTGGGCAAAGCCAGAGTGGGTAGTGCCCAAAGTCGTGGTTGAGATACTCAATAAATTCGTCGGATCTCGAATATGGGATGGCGACGTCCTGAATGATGTATTGCGACGAAAACCCACTTTGGTGTAGTGCGTGGTACATGACGCGAGTGTGCATGAATTTGTCGAGGACCCACCGTGTAATACGGTTGAATGGAGTGATGAAATATCCGAAGGCGTAGACAGCGACCCAGAACCCTCCGCGGTCGTAGCGAAAGACGTAGTCAACAATCGGGACAGCCTCAGTTACGGGACTTGCAGTCCCTTTGATGAGTTTCTTTGCATGCAGATAGAACCAACGATCAGTCGAGCGTGTGAACCTCTGAATTTGAACTCCTTCCTTAATATCGTTTGTCAACCGTCCGCTGCAGACAACTCCACTATCTCGGGAGTACATGATGCCGTCAAGATAGTCTATTGAGGAATCATCTGTAGCGTCTTCCATCTTTTCTACTGCCTCTGATATGCTAGAGACAGGATGATAGGTCAGTTCAACGTAGGCTTTGGCCTCTATCAATTGCACTTCAAGAAGAGTAGTAACTCCTAAAGTTCCGAACGATGATGCGGCGCCATAGAAAAGGTCCGATCTCTCGGTGCTTGAGGCTGTCACCTTCTCACCGTTAGGCAAGACTATCTCAATCCAGTTGATAGTACGGTCAAAAAATCCGAATCTGTAAATAGTAAGTTTTGATCTTCTCAATAGAATGACTATTGATTAACTCGAAAAATAACGCGTGAAAGTTGACTGTGCTACGATCGAAGGAGCTGTACCTGAATGAGCTACTTTCTCCAGAAGTACCTGCAAACCCCCCTCCTACAGTGATGCCGGGAAATTCCATGACCACTGGAGGAATTAACCCATGCTGCAGCGTAGCTTCCACAAGACTGTCCATTGGCACGTTGGGCTCTACCAATGCTGTCTTCCTCTCAGTGTCAATCTTCAAAACGCGACACATTGCGCTCGTGTCTACCATTCTATTCCGCCGATATTGAGATTGGCGGGTGCTGTTTGTCGAGCCATGATATATGCGAAACGGCACTTTTCGATCGTTGAACTTGCGAACGCTGGAGGCAATGGCAGCTACTGCCTGGTCGTGAGCATCCATGATGTTTTGTACTGTGATCTGTGAGCTGTTTTGCGTCCCAATTATGTTTTTAACGCTTACCTGGGCTGAATAAGTGAGTAAAGTAGAAGCTCCGTAATAATTAGATAGCCAGATTCTCTGTACGTTCCTTTTCAGTATAGAAGTCTTACGAAGCAGAATGGATCGTGTTCAATTGCACAGCCTCGACAGCTTTGCTATTTCGCTTAGGTCAGGAGGCGTCCCAGCGTTTAGTAAGCGATCCTGATTAGCCACCAAGGTGGCAGGGATTCGTGACGAATTAAGATGCGCATGCGGTTGAGGGGAGTAACAAGAAGATAAAAACCATTGACTTCCCTATAGCAAGCATTTAGTGATATCAAGGAGGCTTTTTTAATGTCACTAGGGATAATGTACACTACATCTGGCAAATACTCTCAACAACGTCTTAGAGAAGCATCTGTTCTAAATGCCCCAATAGAACCTTCTGCTGAATTCCAATGCTGTACCCCGATTCCGTGGCAATGTTGAATGTGCCTGCCACGCCCACAAGAACCCCAAGTATATTTGAGTATCTAGCTAAAATCGATATGCCTTATCACTCGACTTAAGTAAACGTTGTATAACGATGCTTTACTCCTATTCTAGCTATCCTAGCCATTGCAGCCCTACTCCTACATCTTATACAACCGTCACGAGGCTCAGCAGAGTCAAATCCTTCACCATCTCATTAAATTTATCTTAAGTCAACACACTACGCTGCATATAGTCCCGTTGCAAGCCTTACTGTTAAAGTGGTTGTATATACATTCTATTACTTTCTTTATTGATACAAGATTATATCGCAGTTGCTTAGCCCTGTGCCTATGAAAGCAATGCAGCTCCCTCTTGTTGAAGAAACTCCATATCAAAAATGAGGGAGGAAATCTGACCAGTTAACAGTTTTAAAGGTGCTTGCAGGCTGAGATCTTAAATTGACCAAGTCTTCAATGAGGATATATGCACGCGCGATCGTGTAGCTCGCGGCAAAGAGCGTTATTGGGAGGATTGCTTTCAATGGAACGGTCAGATCCGGGTCGCGGTCCAGGGAATTATTTCGGAGGTGCGATGCGGCCGTTTGGATGATAGTTTGAGGGTAAGAGAGACAAGAGCGGATCCAGATCGTGTGGCGTGCTAGTGATGTACTTAATATCCTTCGCACTGATGATGATTGTGCAGTTTCTTCATATACAGTGGGCTCCTTACCCCTTGAGCATAGTGGGATTATATCTGCAGCTCCCCACGGCTTGGAAAGAAGATGTTTTATCGAAGGCCACAACTGCCATGTCCACATATCTACAGCCCAGCAGCCGCAAATTGCCAACATAACCGTGATTGTTGCGACATGCCATATCGTGGCCTCAATCTGCGATGGAAAGTGGAAGTTCCAACCCGAAATATGCACCGCTGCGTAACTCGTATGGAAAACAAAAAGTATAAATAAACTCGAAGAAGAAAGAGCAGGCGTGTAATCGTCAGAAATCTTCTCGATGGGCCGCCTATTGGGATGAAACACAATTCCTAACTTGCGAAGGATGTTCATCCAGTAGGTGTAATAGAGCATCCAGGAGGTCCATTCATTGCGGCCGACGAAATCAAGAGGTGTTCGCTTATAACTGGTCTGTGAATTGAGGCCTGCCCTTTGGATAATCTCGTCTAGTGATATATTAGGAACAAGCGTAATTGCTGTGCTAACGTCCATTGGTTTGTGGGCCCAAAAAAAGTAAGTTCCGAGCGTACAGACGATAAATCCAAGTGTAGTAAGCTCGAGAGTGGTGATGGCAAGATGCTGAATAACACGGCCAATAGAATTGATGGAGAACCAAAGAATTTGGAAGATAGTTAGAAATCTAGCCATCCCGTCGCCTTTGTTCTTGTCCTGGATAACGCTCTTATCAACGATCACATCAGAAGCGTCCACATAGCCTTGCTTTACGAGAAACAAAACTTGCTCAGAGTATAAAGGGAATAGGACCCCGTCTTCTGTATGGAACGCAAATCCACCCATATCTGCAAAGAAAGCATGAGTCATAGACCATTTGTCGTGGCCTAAGCTATGGAATGCTTTGACAGAGCGGCATGCTGATGTCCATTGTGCTATAGCAAGCTGAAATATAAATTCGGGGCCAAGTACTCCTAAGCCCATCATGAGAAATTTCTGCCACTGCAGCCTTGCGTTGTTCCAACGAGAAGGTGGTACATTGAGGCAGAGTACAGTCCAGCTGCAGAGGAATATAGTAATTAGGCAGCTCCAAATAATGTCGAGTGTCCCCCGGCCCTCAGAGCCTGAGACCCATCCTTGTAAAATTGCATCCGTAGAGGCATTTTGACCAGATAATTGAGCCGTAAAGTTGGTAGATGCTTTGCTCGAGCTGGAAGAACCAAGCAACAGGCGGTCTCCAAAAGAACCTGGGGTTTTGTGATCGACGAGAGCAAGTGATGCGACAAATGCAGTAAGAAAAGAGAGAGAAAGGGCAGTACAGAGTAAACTGCATGCTAAGGAAACCATCGTAGATGAACAAGAAGACCAGCTTCAATATCGAGTGCTCGACGCATGAACGCAGCCCAGGGAGACGAAATGGAGACATTTGGCATGATTTATCCATATTCCTCCATGACGATTCCCGAGGCTAGCTTTCGTAGTTTCATGATATGCACGCGCCGCCAGGATTATATGTACGTCTCGTCACAGCAGGAGATGAGTACGTACCAACCAGTTTCCCACCTTCATATAAATAAATAATAATGGCGGCAATGGCTTGTCGCATCGCTCGCAATTGGAGAGCGGAAGCGATGGGGATGTTCCAATATATGCACGATAGACGCTGGAGTCGCGATATTTGAGATGTAGCCTTTGCGCTAATTAATTGATTGGCCAGCCGCCATCCCTTTATTTTAAGGGCAAAAGAACCATATACAGTACCATGCACGACCCCTGTAAAGAACTGCCAACATCCTTGTCTGCCCCACCTACCCACTCGTCGCCCATTGGTATTCGAAACTGTATTGAACACGTCGCCGTCACCACTGCACTGTCGCTCTCGTGCTCCCATAGTAGGCCCCGTAAGCATGTAGTTAATGACCTCATCATTGATGAGGACGACGGCATCGCCGAGCATTGTGACCGGCTTCACCACATGTGCTACAGCGGCTACGGACCATGTCGGGTACAGCCGCAACGACGGCGCCAAGCGGCAGCATGCCGCCATGATCGCGGATATCTCTACGGCCACGCGGATTCCGGGCGTCTTGTCGGCGAACCCGCTTTTTTTAGGTCGTCCAGGAGGGACTCGAGTTACAGGCGGGTCGCACAAAAGATTGAGTGCTTCAGCATTTGTGTCAAGGTCGTTAATGCTAACCGGCGGCAGAGTGTCTTCATACATCTGTGCCCATATAACAGCAGAAAGGTCTTCAGGGAGGTAAGGGGTAACCTGCGCCCCAGTGGCGAGGATTAGGGTCATGGCATGACCGCAGGGTATGCCATTCTCTTGGAATATGAGGCAGGAGCACGTCTTATCGTTGAGGTTAACGATGTGGATACGTCCGTCAGGCTGCACCACTCGTCCTTCAACAGGTGATGAGATCTGGACTCCATTGCTCTGAGCATAGGCTCTCGCCTCCTCAACCTTCTTATCTACCCAAGGCGTCGTATGTCGGCCTGCAGCAATGACTATATGCGCTAATGCCTTGCGCTCAAAGCGCTTTTCCATTACCCGATGCCAGAGACTGTCAAGCAGCTCAACTACTGGCAATTCTCTGTCGATTTTCAGAACTTGATTAACGCTCTCAACAACGTTACTAGTGTCGTGGCCGTACCGTCGGCCTTGGAACAAAAAGTGTACCCACTTCTCAGGCTCAGCAGCAAGTAAGTATTCTGCTGCTTCAGCCTTCTGCTTGCGTAACTCTGCTAGCGCAGCATCATATGCAACGCGGTTGCTACTTCGAGCAACCTGCCAGAACAGCGGCGTTAGCCCTCTGCCAAACTTTTCAGTAAAGTTCTCACGGAGGTGATGGCAGCACCAAGCCACTGCTAGTAAACCTCCTAGCACAGCTTCTGCTTCGCGTAAGCCTTTGTCACGATCTGAGATCATCGTTACCGGCTCAGCAGAGATCTCAGGCATAGCCCAGGGGCAGTGTCGGAGGAACCACTCCCAAGAGTCTCGGTTCTCAGACTCTACTTGTCACGGTTCACCAAGGCATAGGGCGCCAGTTGGGTATTATGAATTAAACTCAATCTAGAGAAGAAAGGAAAGAGAAGAGGAGCACTCGAGCAGTGGCTCGATCTATATACAGCTATTGTGGAGTGAATTCTCTTTAGCGAGACCAGTTCTGAGAATTCACTCCACAACTGAAAACTTCGCTCCAACCCCGGAAAGCTCCCCGCACCCCTGAACCCCCACTCGAGCTGCAAGGCGCACTTGATATCGTAACACTACTACCCCCCAAGCTAGCAAGACGACTTCACCATTTGCATCAACGCCAACAGCGAGTAGGAGAGTAAGTATGAAGCGGGCCTTCAAAAAGGTCCCATCTACAGCAACGAGGCGGCGACAAAGACAGAAGGTCTCGCGTGAGACTGGGGGACATACAAAGACCTGTTGAAAGCGGTCTATAGATAGTTATTAAGTAGTTCGCTAGACAAAATAAGGGGAAAGAGCTCACTATGCCAGTCAAGAACTAGGTCAATATTTACACGAGGACAAATAGCTTCTAAGTGCTGCTTATAAACTGGCAGCAGCTGGAAGCTGTGTCGCTGAGCGCCAATGTCGCCATCGAGGAGGCGGAGGGGGGCAAAGCTGAGCTACTTTGTAGCTGACCTCAGCAGCGAACCTGTCATACTGACATTCGTTGCACTCAGTTTGCTATCAAACTCAAGAGCAAACTTAGAAATCTCCTCCTCAAACCTACAAGTCACCATACATATCTTGGCTTATCACACCAACAACAGAAGCAATACTACTCAACGATTGCTGCAAACTCTTCTACTACATCTGTTTATGCTACATACATCATGGCATATCATTTGAACACTCATTGAACAAGTTATTAAGAAAATCTCCTCCTTAAGGGGGTGGGCCAATACTACCACATGGCATATCTCTACCAACTAGAGACCTAGGAACATGAACGATAGCTCTAGAAGCTTCTACAACCCTCTATGATTCATTACACGTCATCGCTCCTTAGTTACCCACAAGATTGGTTAAGTTATGACATAATTTGTCTATAGGTACTCTGACCTTGGACCTCCTTTTCACTTCCTATAGGCTAGGAACCCAAGAGATGGTTCTATGGGATTCTCTTACGTTCACTACATGATTAGCAAGCTAGTTGTGGGTCGCACTTGATTTCTAATACATTTACCAAGCCTGGTTAGTCATGGAAAGTCATGGAAAATGAGAGAACTACACTCCTTTGGCATAAATAGGATTGCCCTTTCCTTAAGAAAGGGCAAGCAGGCAATACATTAAATCGACTAGCACATACTTCTACGTCTTTTCCAAGCTTCCAAGCATTGATCTTGTTATTCTCTGTTTTTGAAAAGTCAGTGAGGTGCTAACCTCTGACTTACCCCTGAGTTCTCAGACTCAACATTTGTTGCAACTTGTCTAAACCACTTCACCACATCATACACCTGATTGCTGCGTTGTGGAATAGTCTAAGCTACAACCCTTTGGCTCTGTTTCCTAAGACAGTGTGTTGTCTTAGTAAAATCATCCCTTCCTTGGGTGGCTAGATTCTCATATCTGGTGCACCCACCATTACAGAACCGCACATGTAGGAGGTCGACAATATCTTTAGCCGTTGTGGCCTTTGTCACATTTAAGTGACGAGAGACTACATGGTCTAGCCACTCCTTCTTTGAGGCAGATGAAAAGTGCTGAGTGCCTCGGCCAACACAAGTGTGCTCAGCCACAGTGACAACAAGCTTCCAGTGGCTGTCCTGTGCTCGTTGCACTGCACGGCAGCGCCAGCGACAGTCAAGGGCTTCGGCCTCCACACAAATCCAGGCGGCATGGCCAGGGTCTCAGTATGCCGTCCGGAAGGTAAACTTTCCTTAACTGCCCAATCGTCCAGGGAGCGGATCATAGCGTCAATATCAAGGTACTCTATACCATTGACAGGCTCGACGAGTTCAGCAAGCGAAGCCATGTTCTCAAAAAATGAGCAGCGCTTCTGCAGGCTAGTAAAACCCCAGAAAATCAAGTCCTTTAGGGCGGCCACAAATGAGGGCGGATGGCAGTTGTAAGGATGCCTCCGCCCTCAGTGACGGAAAGCATCGGAGTCGGGCAGGTTACGGTCACGTGGGGAGAGTTAGGGCAGGTTAGCCAAGTCGGACCCATTTCGGGTACTTAAGGGGACTGACCCAACGGGGTTCCTCATCATCTTTTTTGTATCCTTCGTAGTAGACCTATAGGATAGCATCCGTTTAGCCTCCGACTCGCACTCTCATATGCTATTACTGTGAGCTGGGTGCCCTGTGTCCTTATACTGGTTGTGAAGGCAGACTTGAGTAGATTATGGATGGGAAAGAGGGTTCTGAGGGGCTATTCTTATACAGTGATCCAGCGTATAATTGTACAACTGGTATTATGTGCCCTTTTACCCATTCAAGAGGATGCCGCCACTTATCACTAGAGAAGCAAGCATTTAATCGCGCACTCTCTACAGTACGAATTGCTGTCAAGAACTGCTTTGGTCGAGTCCAACAGCTATTCTCTTATACAGCTTATAGTAAGGGTTTAAAAGCTGGCAGTCAACCAGTAGCAGTGTACTTTGCAGTTGCTATTCTCCTAACAAATTGCCATACTTGTATATGTGGTAACGGAATATCACAGCGATTCAAGGTTACTCCACCATTAATTGAAGAGTATTTACATATATTAGAGTAGCTAGCTATATAGAAGTTAACCCCCTTGCCCCATACCTATCCGTACTTGCTGTATAAAAGAAGAGAATAGTAACTGCTGTTCTTTTCAAAGATCCTCAAGCTGCATAGCTATTGCAGCTTGAAGCTGCTCTTCTTGCGCCTTAAGACAGGCTTCTAACTGCTCCTGTAATACTGCTGGATCTAAATACGCAGTTGAGGAAGCAGCAGTTGAAGCAGCAGTTGAAGCAGCTACTTCTACAAGCCCTTCTACCATCGTCATAAGATGATCTTCTTGTTCTTCTAGAGCAAGTAGGTGGCAATTCTTAGGACACTGAGAAGAAGAGGATAAGTGTGGTGAAGGAGAAGCTCGGTATGGAGATGGAATTGGCGATAGAGCAGGACTGTCGTCATCTTCAATAACGATGACATCGTCTAACTCCTCACTGCCCACTAATTGCTGTCCCTGGAGCGCAGGAAGGGTATTCTGAGGTGACGGTAGTGGTGGGTTAATACCCCACTTGTCTTTCATTGTCATAAGCATTGAAGCCCGGGCAAGGCACCAATATTGCCTCGATATTCCTTTCGCTGGCGTATGACAACTGCATCAGCCTCAAGGACTTCAATCCAACTGTCCTCGTATAACTGAGTCTCAGTTTGGCCGTCCTGCTCGCCTGTCCCAAGATTCTCAAGATATTTCTGTCCTATATTGATCCTCCGCTGTAGCACCCAGCGAAGAGTGCCGTGGACTTTCCCTGTCTCACTTTGCCAATCAGCAGTAACGTTATTGAAGAACGGTACTGCCTCTGTTGATCGATAGGTAGGTCCCATCCGTAGGCAGATTTTCAACAGTATGATATAGTCTTCTGGACTCAAGATCCGACCCTTTCCTTGTATTGTATCCTCCTCTTCCCCTTGCCTTTGCCGCTTCTTCGGTCTTCCTTGAATATTCGAATCTCTGTTGGTTGAGGTAGGGGTAGGTAAGCTGTAGTCGTCGCCATCGTAAATATCGCTATCATCGTCAAGGGGAAAGACATCAACTGGAGGGGTTGCTCGAATAAGGGGGCTATCGCCCCTATTTAAATTTGAATCCGAATTCCAGAAGGACTGGAAGCTGGCTGGAATACCAGTAATCGTCAGTTTTGGGGGCATCGTATAGTATAGTGCATAAAATTGTCACTTTTCTCACGATCGTAGGCATGCTTTACTTTAACAACGTTGGATTTACTCTATTACTAAGCTATATACTAACTATATACAGCGAATTGAACCTGTGCAGAGCAGGACAGAAAACAGTTCTGCTCTGAACAGGTTTTTACTCCAAATCGCCTAAAGCGGCCTGTTATGGTTGATCTAGAACAGGGGGCAGGGGGCGGTGGCAGGGTTTTAAAACCGGCGGCTTGGCACCTTCTTATTCAGGCCATGGTCATGGTCACGGCCTGGCTGCTAAAGCCATCTAGTGATTTCACAGTGTCAATGTCAGCCCTGGTGATACAACCGGTATTTGCCACGAATGATTTGGAGCCCTTTTCTTTGTTGCGGAAACCAGAGGAAACAACATCGTCTTTACCGCAAGTGTTGTGCGCTCTGTTGGATTGTGACGCTGACAATTTTATTGGCAGTGGTAAGGATGCGTTAGGACCCAGCATCACTGTCGTGAGTCATGGGACATATAAACGATAGGAGTACTGGTACCTAAATGGTACTTTGGAGGATTCATTCAGGAGATGAGAGTGCAGTCATTCAGCAGCAGGGATTCGCTGATCAAGCGACCGGGAGGGACCGCGGGCGCCAACGCCGGCGACTAGCTCGATTGTTTGTCGACCACACTTCGTTAGCGCTGAACCTCGAATAGTGTCCAATAACTCGCGAACGCAACGAACTCCTAGCCCTTGGCCCCCTACCATACGGGTCTGTCTACCCCTCTGAGGGTTCCATCGAATGTCTTAAGAGTACTTACCGCCCTGCTCATAGTGAGACTGAACACCATGCCACAGTTAAAGTAAAGGAAGATAGCAAGACTACATGTGACCCATGATGGAACAGTGAACAGCGACCTCGGTGCTCTTCTTGATTCGCAGTGTGGACTCTATCCCTGCGCAGCCAAGAAACCAACCCCGGAGTGAAACCTAATTGGTCGGTATGAACACGGACATACACGAGGAGAAGGTAAAAATCACATGACTCAAAATCGAAGGCGTTTTGAAAAATAGCCTGGGCACTTGGCCCACACTAAACACGAACAAGTGCCCCGGCTATTTTTCAAACCGCCGTCGAATTGCCTTGCCGGAGATAACGCGGCTACCAAGAGTCATCGGAAATAAGTGATTGGCTCTCAGAAGTACCTGAAACATACCTGTGAAGTCGAGGTCAACCGAATGGCCGTGCAAGAAATGATCATGTAGACAGCAAGGGAGAGTACCCGGACAGAGTTTCATGAACTCACCAGAAAATAGACGACATCCGCTCCGCCGGCCTTGCAGGAACGACGCGGAATTCATCCAATCAGTTGGTGCTCGTGTCGTGTGGTGTAGCGTAGGGCATCCAAGTTGGTGTGTGGGTGCTGCAAAGGGCTGTGTATGTGACTGCCAGCGTTCGCACGCATAAGATTCGTTTCATCCCCCTTTGCAGTGCTGACGGAAGTATTGGTACTGGCGAGATCCTTGGAACGCGGCAAATACTAATTAAGTGCAAATGCTGGGCATTGATTGCATCTAAGCGTTCCATTTTGCATTGATATGCACCTGCGACTTGGCGTTAGCACATCTTTTAGATAGCCCGAACACCCTTCGAAACTCACCAAGAAATTGCCTGCTGAGAGGCTTCTAGCGTTGACGTGACAACAGTTGGTGAAGTCCAGGGCGAGCTGACGACTTGCTGAAGAAGAGCAAGCCAGAGAAAGTAGTGGATACATTCTCGATGCACGTGACAGCGGAAACTTACGGAGGTACTCCGTAGTCCAACGGAAATGCGCCTATGAACCAGAACATAATCCGACGAGCCAATGAGGTCACATGCACCCCACAGGCTTTTTCTCCGCAAATCAGGTAGCGAGATGATTGATGCGACTTCCACTTCTATCAAGTTGAGGTTGTATCATGTATAGCATGAAGCATTCGGACTCATGAGCGTCGCCCCCGCAACCAAGGAAGTCCTGGAGCAGGCAGATGTCCTGGCAGCCTGGCTGCAACAGATTTCAGACGAAGAGCACTGGCGACCGTACCGAGGCAGCGTCGAGATTGAACAATGTAGTCATCCAGATCGGACAAGTAGGGTCAGGCCCTTGATCAGTGCAGGAAGCGTTGAAGTATGCTCAAATATCCCGCCGCACTTGTTTCGATACTAATTATTACCTCTATACCAAAGGTCGAGCGGCTTTTCTCCTGAGGTGTCGCGGACCGAGTCGCGAATCTCTCGAACCAACATCGCTCGAAATGTTCCCGGGCGAAATCCTGACGTTATATCACGACAAAGATTTCCCCCTAACCATGGATGGGAAACCGTTAATCGTCGGAGAACGGACAATAATCAACCCAGCCCGCTAGCATAAATGTTGCTCCTGGAGATATACTGCTATTGATCGTGATATTCACAAAGCGTTGAAAGCTCTCCAAATCGATAGCATAATGTTCAAAGTTGGAGTTCTCCCCATCAATACCATCTCGATATACCTAGTAAACTGGTAAGAAAACTCCATCTACCCAGTCGGCCGCTAACCCTCCTTTGGAAAGGTTAACGAGCCAATGAGAGGCGTGCTCTCATTTGAGAGTACGTGCTCTCATATGGCCTTTTGAAGCAATTGAGCTGGCAATATACCAGCTCAATTGCACGGTCAGTCGGGGGTCAATTGAGACCCCCAAACCTCCTCCCCCTTCCCTTCCTCCCCTCCACCACAGAACCCCGCTGACACCTCCCAGGCTCCCTCCCTCCTCCGACCCCCTCGATGGAGTGTTGTGAAGGTTTTCTAAATCAATCCTATAGTTATCTGCAAACGGTTAACGTCTGTTTGGAATGACATGGCTGCACTTACCATCACACACTGCCAGCTGCCGGTCAGGCCTGATGCTATGTTAGGGAAAGTATTGTGGTCTAAGTGTTATAAATGATAAGCAACTATCACGGATAATGGACACCTAGACTTGCCTTGTGGAAACGTATGGTTTTCTGCGCCATCGTTTTGTTGGAACTCGACCGCAGCAAGGGTATTAAATCCCGAGGCCAGCACATTCTCCGCTGTTTGTCCAAGGCCCGACGTGATGGAAGTTCCTCCCCCTTGAGGTTTACCAACTGTAGAAGAACTGACCAAGTGTGCTGCAGCGTCATTCAAGCGATGCGTATGTGATGTTGCCGGTAGGTTATTGAGAGAATAGTCATTCACCATTTGGAACCTTTCTAGAGCCTGTGGAACACTGCCGGGAATATGAGAATAGTGGCCACGAGGGCGAGGAGGGCGAGGACCCAGGACGTGTTTTCGCTTCGATAGTCTCGATGGTCTTTTTCTCTCGGGCGTCTCGATGATGAAGAGAAAATCACGGTGTGGTTCAATGGCATCGATGGACTTCAGAAAGGCCTGGAATTCAGCATTTGAAAGACCTTTTAGCAGGCTCACTATCTGCTTATTGTCCGCTGCTGCAGCGGCGAGAGCAGTGACAGTTCGAACTCCTCCGTACTCGAAAAACTTCGCCTCCAGCGAGGATGTGTCGACTGATCCGGCCTTGCACTCGGTAACAATGGTGTGGAGGCGATACGGTGTTGTTTGCCGACTAGACTGGAGTGAACGGCGAAAACAGTCCCCTAGTTGAAGCCGAGTGAGAGTGTGTGGACTGAGTGGAAGTAAGAGAAAGGCACTGATAAGTGTCTCAAGAACGAAGTCATGTTCCCGTTTTACAGCATCTTCGATATCAAGATATCCGTTTCCAAGCAACACTTTGAGTTTCAGGGGGTCCTGGGTGAACATGGTTTTTTAAAGAAACTGACGAGATGTACAGCTCAGATTAGCAAGATAAATCTATTGAACCAAATCGTGCGAGGACAATGTGGTTGTGAATGTAAAACCGATGAGGGAAACTGGGTTTAGACCCGATTCTTCGGTGGGAAGATGGCGTGGGACAGAATTGGTAATGCAGAATCTGGCTTTGTACTGTACGAAATCTCCGCCAAAGAAAATGGCGCGGGGCAACATAGCCCCCGTGACGTCGATCCCTCAGGTGGCGCAGTGTCCCCACTCGCCCTGGGTTTTGGAATGGATTGATCTCCATTCGTTCACTGTGGTTCAAAAGGGTCAATATGCATGCGCTTGGGTACGGCGATCTCATGGAGGGCACATGCAGCCAATAAACTATCCTATTTATGCTATTCTGGGAATCCACTCGGCTTCGGTCATGATTGGCTCTACACAGGTGGCGGAGAACCCGAAAGTGCGGCTGTCGTGCGGTGGGCCGCCAACAAGGTGTGGGTTGGGTGAGCCATCGTTTGGCATGGCGCCAATAACCAGTAACTGTGGATCAGGTAAAGTATCAAAGAGCCGTCGAGGCACCGAACTGATCGGAACGTATCTGGCGGCGGTCAACAGTTTCCTCTGGGAGCCGCAATAGCCGTATGCTCAATGATGTGAGGCCAAATCACAACGTCTACTACAGGACTGCAAATCGTTTCCACTAAGATGAATTGTGCTGGTGACTGTCACGGGAGTTTTGTGTATTACGTACAAGGTATGTTAACTATGGAAACAACTGGTTGGCTCTTCTGGTAGTGCAACATCAATTGAAGATATGCTGATGTGTCTGGGTACTCTCGAGCCTCGGTGTGCTTTGAGAAAACCCTTTTAATTTAGTCACGTGCAACACATTCGGAAGGAAGCTACTTGACCTCAACATAATTCTGCACGTTCTCCACTAGGCATTCATATTGTTTATCCGGCAGGGAAAAGAATCAGCTGAAAGCCATTAAATCGGGCAAAAAAAACGAAGATTCGAGCTGCGCATCGTTAAGGCTTCATTGCAGAGCGTCGTTAAGGGAAGACATTGTAGAGGGAGGTGCTGGAAGGTGTTCGACTTTCGGTACAGAGCAACGAGAGACAATTTCACGGGTCTACGCGCTCGATGACCACCGGGAATGGGTGCGAAGGTGTTGCCGCATGACAACAGCTTGTTCGCACGGGGATTCTTGTTAATCGAGTAATACAAGTGTTGGCAGTGTGGTCGATAGTGTAATATCATATGGGAATTGCCCAAGTCTTGGCAATATCATATGACCAAAATTGCCTAAAATATACCACATTCGCAATACAATACGGAAATTTCTAAACTCTTGGCAATATCATACGGCCCTTTGTCACACTATCGACCACACTGAGTGTTGGACCACGGAGCAGCTGGCAATTAGGAAACATGGGATTGGGTACGAGGGCGTTAGCAGAGTGGCAGGGACGATGAAGACGCTACGTATTCATTAGTAAGAGCATCGCTGCCCGGTTGGGCGGAAGAAGTCTCCTTGGGAAGTTGTTGAATTTTCACTTCATGCAGAATGGCAATGCACAGCTCGATGCGATGGTATGAGTTGGCACGACGGAACGCGTCTGGATTCACAATTGAACGCGGAATGCAAGAGGCTAAGCAGCCGACGTGCCTTTTCATGTATCTAAGAAGCTTCACATTCAGAACCAATGCTGCTGTGCCCAGTTCGTAATTCCAACCAAACGCACCCACTGCAGTGCTATTTGTACGGCCATTCCATTTTCAGCTACAGGGATTTTAAGTGCCCGCAACCCCTAGGTTGCTAAACAATCCCGTGGCCTGGCGGGTCACGTTTATCTTGGACAATATCAAAGGCAGTTTGTGCAATAACACCATTATCAACTAGCCGTCGCACAAAATCTGTCGTCCACTCTTGGCATCTTCTGTTGGTTGTCTGAATGGATAGTCAGTGAGGCGCCACACTATCGTGCAAATTATGGATTCACTCACATCGTTTACAGGAGCCCTGAAGTTTTCGCTGATACGAGGTGGGGCCACCTGGGCTGCTTCGCGCTCCAGTTTATCTCTAGGTTTATTGTCTCTGCTTCGGTCGTTGCTCGTAGATTCGATTATATTGGCTGCAAAAACCTCTCCGATTGGGTACATTTCGTGCCGCTCTTGGGTCATGGTTGGAGAGTAGTTCCGCTTGAATTCGAGCATATAACCAGCCATAGGTGCGCCGACAGCGTGAATCAAAGTCCCCAGATCGGGATTGGCACCGGATGGGACAAAAATTGCAAAGTGCGCTCGCTGTTTGGAAGAATGCGATAGGAGATGAGTTGAAGGGTTCGAGTGGCCATTTTGGCGCTACTTGTGTGCCAAGGACACGATAATAATATAATGATTGATGATTTAGGGAAAGAGTAGAGTACAATTGATGATAGAAACGGCTAGAAAATCGAGACGACTTTGAAGAGCAAAGGGCATCTTAAGTACTCTGAGAGATTCTCGGTGCAGAAAAAAATCAAACAGCGATCTACGAGTTGGCATTACACCCATAAAAGCATTGAAAAAGGAATCCAACACAGCGCTTGCTGAGACGCCTGTGATACAATGTTAGATAATGTGCTCTCAAAGTTGCGCGGTGTAACTTGGATGATTGGTGTCGAGTTTACAACACAAAGTAAATTCAGGGCCTTCAGTAAATCCTCATTTAGCGCGGCCCGCATAACCGCCTGGCATGTAAGTGTGATGGGCGGGCTGTATAACTTGAGCCAATCATCTGTGCCGACCAGGCAAATTATAGCTGCAAGCGCTTTCGATAGCGGCCTGAACTCGTTCAATGTTATTCCCTGCTCCAGTTGAAGTGTCGTTCGTGCACAAAGTAGCGCGCGCTAGAGACGGTGCGATTGTGACGAATGAGCACTGATGAAAGCGCACGCTGAAACAACGCCATACACAAACCCTCGCACAGTGGCCGTGCATTTATAATCAGGCTACTTTACGCGCACAAAGCACAGACGGAGGCTAGCGTTAAATTAGGTATCCTTGTGCGACTGCTTTCGCTGCCTGCGCAGAGTCGACCCACTGTTGCCTTCTCCGTACTCGTCTTCTCTTTTCTCATTCGGTAAGACTTCTATCTGAGCTCTCCTCCCGGACAACCTGTTCGTTATAGTAGTTATTACCAAAAGCTCACAACAAGTTTCCAAAGCATTAATAATGCCAGCCAATCCTCAGATCCATGCCACAGGGCTACCGGATGGCAGAGAACTGAAAATGGACTTTCTCGAATCCTCTTTTTTCAAGAACAACGGACCTAACCGATGCTTGCCAATGCCGGCAGAGGTTCGAGCCTTGTCAGGCACAAACCAGGCGATGCCTCAACCACTTCCTGTGATATTTGAGCATATTAATCTCATTGTCAAGTTCGGTCCTCATGTTGCAATTGCTGAAGCGCAATGTCTTTGGGTGATTAAAAGAGTACTTTGTGACGAAGTTCCTGTGCCAGAGGTCTATGGCTGGCGGGTTGATGGGCGTGATGTGTTCATATATATGCAGTATGTACGAGGGGAGAGACTGAAAGATCGCTGGGATTCTCTGAGTATCGCCGATAAAACCTCTGTTTGCGATCAAATACGCGAGATTACGACATCTTTGCGGCAAGTCGAGCAAGACCCAAATGATTCGTTCATTGGTATGCTGCGAAATGGATAAGCAGTTGAGGATAATGACTAAATCTTCTTCAGGGTCTATCAATCGCCAACATCTCTTAGACATTGTGTTTGAAGGCCACCCTCCAGGCGGACCCTTCGCTACTGTCAAGCAGTTCAATGATTGGTTTTCTCGACTGCCTTGGCTTCGGTTTCCCAACTCGGAAGATATCCAGGATCCTTATAGAACGTTCTTGCCAGATACAGGAACTATCAAGCTAACCATGGGGACCTACACCAAGGCAACATTATCGTCTCTTCAGCAGGGCCGCCACGTGTACATGCGATCGTTGACTGGGCCCATTCTGGATGGTATCCTGATTATTGGGAATATTGCAAAGCAGCATATACTTGTTCGTTTGATGGAGAATGGCGTAATAGATGGATCCCAATATTTTTAGAACCACGGCCTGAGGTGCATGAGATCTTTGCAGAATATACACGGGCGCTGGGAGCTGTATGAAAATTATATCATATTCTGGTTATAAATATTGGTCAGGCATATGTGCAATGTGCAGATTTTGTACTGTGCTGGACGGCGGTCCATGTCTGGTCGCCGACGCTGGGGATGAGTCATATTCGAGCATCATTGGCTATCGAGTGTCGAGCCGAAGATTATCCGGCAAGGCACCTGCAGAGTTTAGGATTTTGAAAGGTAAGAGATCATGAACAGCCTGATATGACCAAGTGTTCGAAATTCCTAATGTCAACTTATGAGAAGCTTTGTATTCGATCTTCAGCGCGGCTACCCGATGCTCAGTCTCACCCTCACCACCGGCATTGTAAACGTACAGTTGGGTCAAATAAGTGTTCGTCGCTCCGAAGAACCACAACCATAAAATCAATCGTAAATAACTCAACCACAACGCTTTGGAATTGAATAAAAATTGAAATGTACTATAGCTAGAGTAATATAGATTAATATTTAATACTACCACCCTTTGCCTTAATGCATAATGCAATCCTTTTTGGCATTGAGTCAGCTAAGGTTTTGAGAAAACTAGCCTGTATACGTGACCACTCGTAGAGTACCGCCACCTCCATTTCTGCAATGTTCTTGATCCTATGCCGTCGAGTAGACACTTGTAGCTTTGCTTGCTGCCACACGTTTTCAATAGGGGCAAGGTCAGGGCTCTGTGGCGGCCATGGTAAACTCTGTACCATACAGAGCCTCTTGTAGTTTGCAGCAATAGGAGCAAAGTGGAATTTTGCTCCATCTTCTTGTATACGTACTTGTGGGCCGTACTTTGCAACCATCTTCTCGTAGAATGGGATAAAGTAGGGTTTGAGAACTAGTTCTGTGTATAGTTGCTGGTTCATCCGCTGCCCTTTAGGAAGCACAACCAACGGTCCAATCTCTGCTCCCATAAAGCAACCCCACACAGAAATTGAAGTACGGCCTGATTTGAAAGTAGGCTTTAGGTGTTTCTCCCAAAATTCTTCTCCTGGGCCTCGGGTAACCCAAAAGTTGCGACTATCATAGCCAACTTCAAATGTAGACTCATCAGACCATATAATAAGTCCAAAATCCACGTTTCTGTTTGCTTTACACCACTGTAGCCGGCCTTTCTTGTGAGCAGGCTTAAGGAACGGCTTCTTGCGTGGTTTTCTCCGTCCTTTGTTGTACTTTTTTAGAGCATTGCGTACTGTTGGTTTTGTGATCTGAGAGCCGCTCTTGCTCGGTGTGCAGAGCGCAATTAGTGGAGCTCTGCAATCTGTAACAGCAGCACGCACTAAGGCCCTCTCTGCTCGGATAGTAAGCTTCCTAGGGGCCCCCGAGCGTGCCTTGCTCTCAAACTTGACTTGCTGAGCTTGTAGGTCGGAAGCCTTTGCTCTGTGGATAATTGTAGTTACAGTAGTGCGGGGTAGGCGTTCTAGGCGGGAAATCTCAGTCACTGTCTTGCCAGCCTTGTACCAAGTCCAGCATGTTGCTCGCTTTGCAACAGAGGTCTCTCTACGAGTACTCTTCGGTAGGAGAGCCATAATAATTGATGACAGTATCTACAACTCACTATTTCTATCTATATTATCCTTTTGAAGAGGGAGTACCCCGCACTCGTTGCTTTTTTTCATGGCGTTTTGGTGGCTGAAAACGACGAACACTTATTTGACCCAACTGTACAACTGATCTGCTTGAGGACGGGAGGATTTCGTTACGGATTGCAATGACTTGGAGTAGTCAGTCCGTCCTTTTTTGCATGGGCTCGAATGCGTTCCGACCGTCGCAGGTTATCAGGGATGCTAAGAGATTGCATTTGCCTCTGTTGCTTGATCGGGACTGAGTGTGTTACTATGGTTTTCAAACTTGACTGCGCCTTTGAGACCAAAACGATGGCGTAATACAATGTCTTAGAAACCGCTCGATGATCTGGGCGGTGGAGTGAGGCGGAATCCGTCTCATCAAAAGGCAGAAACTTGGCTACAGTTGTCTGTCTCGCCTTCTATAGCGGACTTTAGAAAACGACAGACATATTCCTTCAACTAAACATCTATCTTACATTGGCAAGTGGCACCCTTACATACCCAATAGTTCTAGTCGCAAGGTCAAATACCCTCAAGGTCGCCGTGGCAATTGAGCGAGCGAGCAAAGTCGTGCACACTTCTCCCCACAACACCAGAAGCTACCAATATTATTGCATCTGCCAGGGAGAAGATCGTGGCTCTTCTCAATGTCGTGTTCTTCCGTACCCAATTTCCCTTCCGCACTTCTAGTGCTCTGCTGGATATCATTGTCATGTCGTTGTTCATTTCCGCAAGGGTCTGATCCATAAGATGAAACAAAATTTACGACTCCACCAATTCGTATCGTCATTAAGTATCAGGAACATCGTTTATCCTGCCAGCGCTGCGCCTGCTTGGGCCAACTACCAGCCTTGCTTAGCCTCACCTCTGGATAAATTCTCTTTTGCTCACCGAGGCTCATGGAGGTGCGAATGAGTATCCCTGTTAGGCTGCGCACTACTCGCTCAATACTTGGCTCACTCGCTCCAGTGAGTTACTCAGCTGGGTGAGTAGCTGAACCTTTTACTCGACTCGGTGAGTGAGGTCAATACTCAGTTACTCTGTAAAAACCCAGTGAGTACTCGGCTATCACGTGTAAGATTTATGCATCATGTGAACAGTCCCTCATACGATTAATACTGTTTTATGGTTAAGTTAAAGTATTACATCTATCAGCATCACTCTCGCCATCTCTAGTAAGCTGTGAGAACGAATCATGTATATTCCTCTATCTAAGTACCATGATTATCAGAAGATTATCAGAACGCTATTGTCACGGTTCACCAAGGCATAGGGCGCCAGTTGGGTATTATGAATTAAACTCAATCTAGAGAAGAAAGGAAAGAGAAGAGGAGCACTCGAGCAGTGGCTCGATCTATATACAGCTATGTTGTTGTGGAGTGAATTCTCTTTAGCGAGACCAGTTCTGAGAATTCACTCCACAACTGAAAACTTCGCTCCAACCCCGGAAAGCTCCCCACACCCCTGAACCCCCACTCGAGCTGCAAGGCGCACTTGATATCGTAACAGCTATTATCTATTATATATGCTTAAGAACATCTCTCCACCTTGCTTGATGAGGCCGGCCAGACCTACTAATACCTAAAGTATTTATGGGGTCTTGACGAGTAGCTTGAAAGATATCAAGTAAATCTCTTCCAGTCTTCCGAGCATGTTGGATAGGCATTGGTGGCGAGGACGGCATATCCTTATCTTCATCTTCATGAATAGTTGGAAGTATAGGCTCCTCATTATTACCATCTTCTCTTATATCTTCGTTATCTAGGATATCGTCATCTGGGATGTCATATAAGGTCTCGTTAAGACGGTCAGCCCTATCTCTTTCTTCACCTTGTTGGTAGCGCATTTGTCATTCTTCACTTGTGATAAGTCTTGCTGTTGCTGTGGCCGCTGAGGGTTAAACGGAGTATATTGTACCTTTGGATATGTCTCTCGGATATGTGTATTTGATCGTAGTTCTTCTTCATGCTGATATATTGTAACTCGATAGAATTGCACATCCGTTGTCATTGTTCCTCATACTCTTCTTCTACTTGCTCCTCAGTCATATCAACGACGTCCATCATATCTGCAAGCTTGTCACAATGACATTGACGATTCTTGTATTGTCGAGAGTAATATACAAGCATAATACTCTTAATCGTCTCAGGATTAAGTTGGCCACGTCGGTGGCCACACACATCCCTTGCGGCACTAAAGACTCGCTCAACTCCAGACTCAGCAGCAGGAATACAAAGTATATCACGAGCCATTGCTGATAGACCAGGAAATTGCTCTTCCTTTTGTTGCCAAAATAGCAATATCTTTGTGTACACATGTGCTATACAAGTTAGAATAAGATTACTAGAAGATTACCAGAAACTTACGAGCATCAAGATAGAGATCAGCCTCATTCACATATTCCTCTCTCTGGCCCTGAGTCCCATTTAATGTCTGACTTTGCTGCAATACTAAGGCTAATGGATCCATATCTGCATCTCGTAATCCTAATTGATTCGCAACTCGCACTGTAGAGTACTGCTCTTTATAAAGAGTCGTAAACTGTTGTTAAAACTCTGTCTCCCAATTTCGTATTGAAAAGTCAAGCTTGCAAACCTTTTTGTTAAAGTGTGAGAGCTTCACACTAGGATTTAAGATACTAGCAAATGCGAAGATAGATCCAGTATTTGTGTATAGCTTGTTATAATACTTCTTAATCTTCTTCTCTGCAGCATCGATTGCTAAAGTCATCTTTGCTACCCATGGATATGTCTTATGCTGTAGCCGGTGCCGAGTTCCTTCAAGCGTTGATAAGAGTTTTTGATATACTCTGAGTGTATAGCAGCCAGTAGGTCCAGCTGACAATCCAATGTTTGTTGTAAAGAAGTTGAATGGTCTTGTAAGATCAATGATGTATTCGATGTGCTTCCATTCTATCTCGCCAAGTCTAAACATATGAGCACCATGATCGCCTTGGTGTAATGGTGGGTGCACCAGATATGAGAATCTAGCCACCCAAGGAAGGGATGAATTTACTAAGACAACACACTGTCTTAGGAAACAGAGCCAAAGGGTTGTAGCTTAGACTATTCCACAACGCAGCAATCAGGTGTATGATGTGGTGAAGTGGTTTAGACAAGTTGCAACAAATGTTGAGTCTGAGAACTCAGGGGTAAGTCAGAGGTTAGCACCTCACTGACTTTTCAAAAACAGAGAATAACAAGATCAATGCTTGGAAGCTTGGAAAAGACGTAGAAGTATGTGCTAGTCGATTTAATGTATTGCCTGCTTGCCCTTTCTTAAGGAAAGGGCAATCCTATTTATGCCAAAGGAGTGTAGTTCTCTCATTTTCCATGACTTTCCATGACTAACCAGGCTTGGTAAATGTATTAGAAATCAAGTGCGACCCACAACTAGCTTGCTAATCATGTAGTGAACGTAAGAGAATCCCATAGAACCATCTCTTGGGTTCCTAGCCTATAGGAAGTGAAAAGGAGGTCCAA